TCCGGCGAGTCGAGGAACGCTTTACTGTCGGCTCGGGAAAGCCCTCCCTCATCCAGAGCTACGCAGAATTCGAGAATCCGTTCCCTGTTGTGGACAAGGTTCTAGCCACATATCCCGACGCTGAAGCTCAGTTGATCAATGCGCAGGACGTCCAGCACTTCCTGCTCTTGTGCCAGCGACGCGGTCAAAAGCCTGTGCCTTTTGTTCCCTCTCTCGACGAAAACTTCGAGTTCTGGTTCAAGAAGGATTCTCTCTGGCAATCCGAGGATCTTGATGCTGTGGTTGATCAGGATGTTGGCAGGACATGCATCTTACAAGGACCCATGGCTGCTAAATACTCGACTAAGGTCGATGAGCCCATCAAAGAAATTTTGGACGGCATTCACCATGACCACATCAGAGGACTGATCCAAGATTTCTATGGTGGACGTGATTCTGCCGTTCCTGTCATCGAGTATTTTGGTGGGAAGATCATCACTTCTGCGGAGAGCGTGGTGGAGCTGGATGGTGTCACTGTCATCCCTGATGGCTCACGGACCACGTACAGGCTCTCAACATCGCCATCTGCTACACTGCCCGATGCTGAGGCTTGGATTCAGCTTCTCGCTGGGAAAAACTACTCATGGCGACATGCCTTCTTTACAGCCGATGTTTTTGTACAAGGTGCTCGCTATCAGAACAATCCTATCAGACGCATCTTAGCTCCCACCCGTGGCATGACCGTTGAAATCGCTCATCCAAAGGACCCTTACAAGACCACGATCGTCGTCAAGGAGCCCAGCCAATCTGGAAAGTTGGTCAGGACGCTCGACATTAGTCTGTTCGGCAAGAATGAGATCCTCATGAATATGTGGGAAGAAAGGACAGCAGAAGGAGAGCCCGTTGCCCTTCCTTTCAAATTTATTTACCATCCGGAAACTGGCTATGCGCCAATTCATGAAGTTATGGATGGTCGCAACGACCGCATCAAGGAATTCTACTACCGGGTTTGGTTTGGCGAGAAGGATGTGCCATTTGACACCCCTACCACGAACGTCTTCGATGGAGGCAGGGCGACTATTGTAACTCAAGACGTTGCCGACTTTGTCCACGCAGTTGGAAATACTGGTGAAGCCTTCGTCGACCGCCCTGGTAAGGAAGTCTTTGCACCCATGGACTTTGCCATTGTGGTTGGGTGGAAGGCTATCACGAAACCAATCTTCCCTCGCGCGATTGACGGTGACCTTCTCAAGCTCGTTCACCTGTCGAATGGCTTCCGCATGCTTCCTGGCGCTGAACCCTTGAAGGTCGGCGATGAGCTTCACACCTCTGCCCGCATCAATGCGGTGCTCAACCAAGACTCTGGCAAAATGGTAGAGGTTTGCGGCACCATCACCCGCAGAGGACAGCCGGTGATGGAAGTTACCAGTCAATTCCTGTACAGGGGCACCTACGAGGATTACGAGAACACCTTCCAACGCAAACAAGAGACGCCAATGCAAGTCACTCTGGCCACGTCAAAAGACATTGCCGTTCTTCGATCCAAGGAATGGTTTCACCTTGATGAGCCGGATATCGACCTGCTGGGACAAACTCTGACATTCCGTCTGTCAAGCCTCGTCCGCTTCAAGAACAAGTCTGTCTTCTCCAGCGTAGAGACTATGGGTCAGGTCGAACTGGAACTACCTACCAAGGAAATCATTCAAGTCGCATCCGTCGAGTATGAAGCGGGAGTCTCTCATGGCAATCCAGTGATTGACTACCTTCAGCGAAACGGCCAAACTATTGACCAACCTGTCAATTTCGAGAACGCGATCCCTCTCAGCGGCAAGACTCCTTTGACTCTGAGGGCCCCAGCTTCTAATGAGACCTATGCTCGTGTATCAGGCGACTACAATCCTATTCACGTGTCGCGGATATTTGCCAGCTACGCAAACCTTCCTGGTACCATCACTCATGGCATGTATTCCAGCGCTGCCGTCCGAAGCCTGGTCGAGACTTGGGCCGCAGAGAACCATATTGGACGTGTTCGAAGCTACCATGTCTCCTTGGTTGGCATGGTCCTCCCCAACGATGACTTGGAGGTCAAACTCGAGCACGTTGGCATGGTAGCTGGTCGAAAGATAATCAAGATTGAGACGACCAATAAAGAAACTGGCGACAAAGTTCTCCTTGCTGAAGCTGAAGTTGAGCAACCTGTCTCGTCGTATGTGTTCACGGGTCAAGGCTCACAAGAACAAGGCATGGGCATGGACCTCTACGCTCGCAGTCCCGTGGCCAAGGAAGTGTGGGACCGCGCCGATCGTCACTTCATGGACAACTACGGTCTGTCCATCATTAATATTGTCAAGAACAATCCCAAAGAATTGACCATCCATTTTGGTGGGCCACGCGGCAAAGCCATTCGTCAAAACTACATGGCAATGACATTCGAATCCATCAATGCTGACGGCTCTGTCAAATCCGAGAAGATTTTCAAGGAGATCAATGACAACACCTCGTCTTACACCTACCGCTCACCTACCGGTCTGTTGTCTGCCACACAGTTCACGCAGCCAGCCTTGACATTGATGGAGAAGGCTGCATTCGAAGACATGCGCTCCAAGGGCCTTGTCCAGCGTGACAGCAGCTTTGCTGGCCACTCGCTGGGAGAGTACTCCGCCCTCGCCTCGATCGCCGAAGTCATGCCCATTGAGAGCTTGGTGTCAGTCGTGTTTTACCGCGGGTTGACCATGCAAGTTGCCGTGGAGCGTGACGAGCAGGGACGAAGCAACTACTCGATGTGCGCCGTAAACCCGAGCCGTATCTCCAAGACGTTCAATGAACAGGCTTTGCAATATGTCGTGGAGAACATTGCCGAGACCACTGACTGGCTGGTGGAGATCGTCAACTACAACGTTGCCAACATGCAATATGTGTGCGCTGGTGATCTGCGCGCGCTTGACTGCTTGACAAATGTGCTCAACGTCCTCAAGATGCAAAAGATTGACATCCAAGCCTTGATGCAACAGATGTCTTTGGACGATGTGAAGGCTCACCTGGTTGAGATCATTGGTGAATGTCGCAAGCGGACGGAGGCCAAGCCGCAGCCGATCGAGCTCGAACGAGGCTTTGCCGTTATTCCACTCAAGGGCATTGACGTTCCTTTCCACAGCACCTTTTTGCGATCTGGCGTCAAACCGTTCCGTTCTTTCTTGCTGAAGAAGATCAACAAGACAAGCATAGACCCGGCCAAACTGGTTGGGAAATATATCCCCAATGTGACGGCGAGACCCTTTGAGATCTCCAAGGAATATTTTGAGGAGGTGTATCGACTAACAAACTCACCTCGTTTAGCGAAGATCTTAGAAGACTGGGATTCATATGAAAATGCAGGAGATTCAGGGGTGAGGCGCCTTTCTTCGGTGGCATAAGCATTCCAGCATGTATCTGTGCTCCTCGAAGGGGGGGCGTTATCTGCATTTGCGGAGGTGTTTCCAAAATTGGAGCGAGGATAGAAACATCAGGCGCCTGGTAAAGGGTTGACAAGATTTGATATGGGACAGCATGGTCGAACTACAGCAGCATTAGATTTCCCTTTCTTTTCCCGTGTACAGATAGTAGCAGGGACGACAGGTCCAATGCAACCTTTAGAGATAATGAAAGCGGCATTCATTTCTCTCAATCAATTCTAGTATTATTGTGTGAATTCTTTCACCTTCCGCTATAATTTTGCACCTATAATCGACAAGCCGCAGCTGGTTGAGGATTTGAATATATGTCGTGACAAATAGGCCAGCAACCGGTGCCGCGTATTGTACGAGGCACCGTGGAGGTATCTCGAACGGACCAACGAGTACTTGTAGGGAGGGGGGGATTGTTCTGTGGCCTCATTTGACGATTGATATGTCTGTTTGTTCGAACACAAGGGGTCGATGACTCGAGAATCTGAGGCTGAGATCGTGTCATCTCAGATTATGAGTTCTAATCTTCACCTGTTGAAGCGACAAGCAGAATCCCCTGGACCTGCGACGTTGGGAGAGGAGATAGTTTCGATGAGTGGTCTGATGATGGGCTGTCTCAACCCCTTTCTGAATCCTTACTATGTGAGTATTTGTGGTAAGTGGCGGCTCTTTGACTGGCACCCTCACCTCTCGGATCCCTCACTCAAATCTCATCCCAGAGTTCGAAGCGTTGGTCAGAGTGTGTCATGGATGAAAGAAGACAAACAATACTCGTAGGTTGCATAGAGGTGGACGGAAGGCCTGTATCCCAGTGGAGACGATTGAGGCTCTCCCAAGCATCAGTGCCGTGCCGTCGACGGCGAGTCGGGTACCTACATTACTCGTAGACCTGGAGCGCAGGGTGGGCAGCGGGCGAGGAGTGGCCGCCTATCAAATGACCCTATCCGCCTGTTCTCGGTAAGCAGGAGGTCCCCCGCCTACCTACAGGTCCTTGCTAGGCTGAGCCCTGGGCAGTGGGATCCACGAAACCCTTTAAGTGGGTGCCTGACGTCCCTCCACAACTTTGCCATCGTGGCCCCCGAGTTCAATCACAGCTTCGATTCGACCACACATTTCTTCTGAATCTCCTTGCTCAGTCACAACGTCCGCTAATGCAGGCCGATTCCGGTCCTGGCATTTGATCCACGTCTCTTCTCCCGCATGGCCCAACCAGATCCCCCTTCCTGGCTTCGAATTGGCTCTTTGCAACCGTTACAATCACTGCTCCGGCTGCTCAACATTGTCTGGAGGCAACACTGCGTTGTCGAATGGTAAGGCTACCATGGGAGGCCATCAAACGCGCCTGCGCCTGATCAACCGCAAAGTGGTAATGAACCTGACCCTGGCTATGGACTGTTTTCTGTTTCGCTCATTGCTTCTGCACCCTTCTCTCAAAGTCTCCGTCTTGGGGACGCGCTTCTCGAATGCATTGCGCTGTAGTAGAAATGCCCGCGCAGGTACTTGCGCCATGAGTTGACATCCTAACCCACTCCAGCCAGCATTTGCTCAGAACCCTCGTCTGAGAGTAATCAGGCTCAGATGGATATCTCATTACTCGTTCGAGCTGGTACGTCTTTTCTACCCCTTGGGGGGATGCCGTCTCTAACCTCAGCTACTAGTCATCACCGCTTTTGACGACGCCACGAAACTGGTACAGCGCATTCGTGACCAAAGAACGAAGAACAATGGCACGCGATTACCGGAAGAAGCAACTCGAGACCTCTTGGAATCTCTTGCCCTGGGGCCTGTTATCGTCCGTGGCCACTATGAACATGATCTTAAACGATTCGGGGAGCCTTATGCCTGCGGTGATATACAAGCACGAGAACAGCTGAAAGATGTCTTGATCAATTTACAAATGTCCCTGATCATCACCTTGAGGGCGGTGTACATGGACGGGATCGAACTTGACTTTGTTGCCCTCCAAACTGCGTCAGACGACTGCCGAGTCAATGCTGGTGTTTGTCTGGGTCAACTGTCTCAGCGACTTTCGGATGCTATGAAAGCGCAGGCATTCTACCCTCAAACGCTGTCTTACTCGTCATCCTCTGGCTTAATGCCTCCTCTATCTCCATCGCTGGGCTATTCAAGCAGCCGCAGCACCCACTCGTCTACCGCCTTTCCAGCTCCAGGGACTCCTGACGCTTTGGCGGAGCAGCTTGGTCAGCTTCGCGTGTCGTCCTTGTCACATCATCCATCAGGAGAACATACAATGTCGATTAGTTCTGGTGGCTCTCAAGAGAACTATCCATATTCTAAGTCCAAGACAGTTTATCGGCCAGCCGTCGCCAGATTTCATGTAAACGTACCGTCTATGGGAGTTCACAGGATTGACGAAGCCGATGACAGGAGTCTGCGACGGAGGTCATCCCAGGCTCTGCCGTCGGATGACAACATCCTCTTGATGTTCCCTCAACCCGGTGGCCAGCCTGTATTGAACCCTCCAACAAGTGCCCAAGAAATCGATCGAGACTCATATATCTCGACTGGGAGAAACAACCACACGCCCTCGTTACCTGATTTCTCTCAACCACCTAGCGATCGTCAAAGTCAGGGTTCTAGAGTTCGCTTTGGCCCAGATGACTACGGTGACTATGCTGCCCGAGGGGATGGTAGGCAGTTCAGCAATAGTACCATTTACGATATGTACCACCCAACGACTCCAGAAAAACAGGTTTCTACCTCTCATTCCTTGAGAGCACGATCTTCCACCCACAGCAGTCTTGGCCATGTGCAATACCTGCAAGAAAATAGCCGGCCGCCAGCTCGAGAACCGAGATCGCTTGGTGTTGGAAAGAAAGTAAACCGAAAAATCCTCTCACAACGACCATTTCGTTCTCAAACAGGCATTTCAACGGTATCGCGAGAATTGCGGTCCCGCTCGTCTGTCTCTGCACCCATTTCAATTGAGCCAGCTCGAACACCACCACCCACCGGACCTCTCCCGCAGCCCCCGATCTCATCCCATTCTCAAACCGTGGCTCCGATATCTCCTTTGCCCGTTCCTGGTCGTGCCCCTTTGGTTCATACCGTGCCCTCGTCCACTGTTCCCTTGCTCGCTCCCCTGATAAATTCCATGCCCATCATCCTTCCGTCTGACAAAAACCTCCTCGGTTTTTGCAAGGGAGCATTTCGACTTCAAGCCGGCATGGAGCGCAAGGCGTTCACCATTGCCAACCGTCCTCACGGCTTGTCTGGAATGACCGCATACTGGCGCTGCGAGAAGTGCAGTTTCGAGGGACCTGTTTATCACACTGTCAACACCTCCAATGACAAAAAGAAGAAGGGAAAGCCTGAGAGAGTCTTTGATCCTAGAATTCGTGTTTCGGATGGTGGCGGTATAAGGTATCGTTGGACGTTCCTGGCCAGATGCCATGTGTCTTTGAAGGGAATGCTACTTGTCGATACGCCGTCTGGTAGGGACGGAAGTTTCGGGAGTTTTGGGTGCATCTTTTGTTGCGCCGAGGGCATGTCTCGAGGATGGCTGGACTTATCGGGCAAAGGGAACAATCCTGCGGCAAAGACCAGGGACGTGGCACAGGCAACGACACCTATCTTTGGCAACGTGCAAAGCTTTATGCAACACCTCGAGGGCGTTCATCGGCACCAGGATGGCTGGCCGAACGCCGAGATGGTTGGTCGCTTCCACGTTGTGGTGGGCAGAACGGCACTGGCTGAAGAGACTGACTGGGAGTTGAATTTTGTTCCACCGTGAACAGGAGTGTTGTAAGTGGATGCGCCTGGTTCTCGATCTGGCCAAGCAGGCTTCATCTTAAAAACTCGTTATACCCGACAGTCTCTCAGCTGTGTACCTCATTCGTGGCGTTCCAGGACACTTGGAATCAGTGGAAAGTGTCTGTTTCCGATCCTATTCCTATCTTGAGAGACTTATATACTGGCTTGAATCTTTTGCCTAGCAGTCAAAACGCAAGGCAATGCTTGGTAGATCACAGCCTCGCCATATTGGTTCTACTGCTCCGAGTCTGCCTTGTGAGGTGGCAAGGCGCAAGCACGGCGCTTATGCAAAGAGTTGGCGAATGGGCCGCAATTGTTCTAGGCACGAGGGCAGGTCTTCCCGATCTCATGTTGTTCTATCGCAACAACCAAGTCATATCCTCGACCCTCCGACATCCTTTTAATATTTCATATCGCAGCAATCAACCGAACATCTTTTTATGTACATCCAGTCTGTCTAGCGAACCAGCAGCCTGCCGTTCCCGTCCCAGGAAACATCGCTAGAGTCCATCGTCTGCTTCACCCGCACAATTGTCCAACATCGCTTCGGCCCTCACCATGGAGGCTGTGGCCACACTAAGTCTCGTATGCAATATCCTTCAAGTGGTAGACTCATCGGTCAAGGCAGTGGAGATATGCAGCCAGTTCTACAAGTACGGTGCGACCATTGACATCGAAAACTTGAGTTACATCTGTGATCAGCTGTCCCAAACCTCTGCTGCTCTTGGCAAGGCTCAGACGGTCTCTCAACTGTCCAGCAGTGACACCGGGCTGGTCGAAGTTGGCAAGAAGGTCCACGATGCGGCAGAGTCTCTTGGTAAAGAGCTCAACCATCTCAAAAGTGCTCCTGGGGCAGGCCGGAGAGTCGCAGTTAAGAAAACACTGACCCTGAAATGGCGAGCTACCCGCATCGATGGGCTAAAGGGGAGGCTTGAAGGACTTGTTCAGGTTCTGAACACCAAGATCCTTGTGCATTTGAGGTCTGCCACAATATCTAAAACTGAATGGAAGCTCACCGCTAATGACTCTTTCACAGCGCAAAACTGAGTGTCACCATTCGCGACAATGGAGAAATCTTGAAGAAGTTAGACGATAGGCAAGAGAAGATCGCTCGAAGGATCGCAGAGGGGACCACGACTGTGGAGCAGCTTGTCTCATCAATGGGCGACCAGACAAGAGCTCACGTCACTGAGGAGCATATTGTCACCAGAACCCGCATACATGTAGTCGATGAGAAACTAGACAAACTTGTGGGCATTCAACATGACAAGGCCGGGTTTGACAAGTTTATGGAAAGCCTTCATTTTCCGGAGATCAATCTGCGACGGGACACTATCAAAGACGTTCATGAGAAGACGTTCGAATGGATATTCGAGAGACGCGATGATACACAGCAACGTTGGCACAATTTTCCCGAGTGGTTACAAAATGACCAACCGTTGTACTGGGTACTGGGGAAGCCCGGCAGTGGCAAATCCACATTCATGAACTTTCTCGTGCAAGATGGCAGGACGCTGGGTGCACTGGAATCTTCAGGCCAATCAACGACTGTGCTATCTTTCTTCTTCTGGGAAGCCGGCGTGGAGTTGCAGAAAAGCCGCGTTGGTCTTCTACGCTCTTTGATATATCAACTCCTCGAGGCTATCGACCAGCAAAAGGCACTCCGGGTGTGGTGCGATATTGTCCAGCCTCACGTCCCAGCGCTGCCCACCATATGGACCAGTAAGCAGCTACTTCGTCTCCTACAACTGATTGTCCAGGCCGTGGATCAACGCTTCTGTTTCTTTCTTGACGGGCTCGACGAATTCCGAGACGATGTTGACGGGACTACGGCTATCAGGGCCATACAAGATGTCTTGAAGGATCAAAACCGCACAAAGCTGTGCATCTCTAGTCGACCACAGACCAGTCTGGATGCACTATATCAAGGATGCCCGAAGATTATCATGCAGGATCTCACAGAAACAGACATCAGAAGTTATATCGAAGATAACCTCACTGGGAGTCCGTTGATCAGTCAGCTTGGTGGTACAAGCTCAATGCAGGCGTCTCAACTTGTGGATGAGGTCGTTGTAAAGGCTGATGGTGTGTTCCTTTGGGTCACTCTTGTTGTCAAATCATTGTTACGCGGCATCAAGAACGAGGACAACTGGGAGACCTTAATGGAACGTCTTGACCAGCTGCCGTCCGAGATCTTCGACCTCTACACACACATGTGGAAAAGGATGGCAGACGATTATCCAATATACGCCAAGGAAGCTGCTCTTTATCTGAAAATTATCCAGCGTTTCGGGCAACAGGACCTCTTCCAAATGACCATCATGGCTGACGACCATCTGCGCGCCCACTTCTCCAAGTCAACAGCCACCTGGGGGATGGAACAATTTGAGATGGAGGTGGATCACAACAAAACAGAAAAAAGAATTGCCGTGTGTTGTGCTGGGTTCCTGGAGGTGTCATACAAGCCACCCGATCACAATCTCGAGAGAGAATTAGAAGTGCGAAAGACACGGCTTGAACAGAGCGCCCTTAAGCTACAGCCTCAAGTTCTTCAGCGCTTGTTGCAATACTATCGCTTGGAAATAACAACAACCGTTGACTTCGTGCACAGGACGGCTGCCGAATTTCTGCGTACCCCTACTGGCAAAGGATTGCTGCAAGTTCGGCTGTGTACGGAAGAAGAGCTAGTTGAGCGGTATCTCAGCTCAGCTCTCATCCTACATTTTCTTTCTCCGCCGGAGTCGCCCACGGTGACTGTGGACCAGAAGTGGCCCTATTATCTGTCGCAAATGAGGTCTGATGCAGCCTCCGAATTCTTCTCGGAGCTGGAAGACGTCTTTAAGAAACTCTCCCACTGGCGTTGGTGGAATTTGGAGGACTTGGACAGTGGACCGTTCAGCCTTTTAAGTCGAAACTCCCGCAGCGACCCAGACTACATCAAGATCTTCATTAAATTCTGTCCCCCTCAGTACGTGTTGAAGAAGCTTACTGAAGGAGGGCTCGCAGAAGACCGGGATTATCTCACCGAGTTACTTGAAATGTGGACTACCGTTGATCAGTATGGATATGAAGATGATCTTTCTTTCCGGAACGCCCTACTTCTACTTCAACGTGGAGCTGACCCCAACAAGACGTGCCACTGGGATGTTGTAGTCAACCCGCCGCCCCTATGGTCAGTTGTCCTGTTGAAACTTGCATGGAAATACCAACCCCCAAGGTTGACAGACGTTATGACGGAGGTGCTGACGGCACTGCTGAGAGCCGGCGTTGATCCCAACGCCAGTGTTATGCGTTGCGTCAACATTTTCATGTGGCTGGAAGGCCGAGCACGAACGATGTCTTCGCCTTTGATTTTGTTCAAATGGAGCGTTTGGGATATCGTCACAAACGGCTTCAGTATCCCTGTCGATAGCATCAGCAGCCTCCTACGCAATGCAGGAGCGGTAAGCTCCGGGAAAAACTTCCTCTATTACAGACCCCGGAGGCTGTCATGGTGCGTGTATCCTACGCGGACTCTAAAAGGACGTCTCAACGACTTTATCGGTTTATTCCAAGCACCCAGCGATTTCAGCTATCGTGCGAATTATTTCAGCCTGGTTAATCTCCTAGATTCAAATGAAGCTGAGCCCTGTTTCTTCGACAGTGGCCTAGAGGTAATCCATGCTGCCGGATGGACCGACGAAGAGATCCGCACAACCCCAGGACTTGAGATGCTATGGAAGAACTTCGACAAAGCCCCAACGAAGGTGAAGAGGCGCAGTTAGCTAGGTTTGTGCCAGGAGACAGTTCCGAGGAGGGGGAAGACTAGAGCAGGGGTCCAACGTCCGGTGTTCAGCGTTCTCCAGTAGCATTCAGCAATCGACGATTGAGAAGCCCTTTATATATGTGTGTGTGTATCACAAAGGCAACCAAGTTCCTTGCGGATTTCCGGTGTGAGCACGAATCGATGGAAGGGGAAGTCCTTACAAGGTCTTGTACTGCTTTGACGAACGAGGGAGAGAGGAAGACATGCTGATTATGATACGATATGATATGTGATGATTATGATGATGAAACCTCTATATCTTTGTATCGTGACCAAGCAGGAAAATCCATCTCTTTGACGCCAGCTTGGGCGACTATACATGAAAACGACGCAGAGCTGTTCAGGGCTTAGTGGAGCATGTTACATATTAATGACCATTCAGCCATTTCAGAGCAAGACCAACGTCTCGCGCCAACGGTCTGCCGTGCTCCACGCCCGGTCCGTCACGCAGAGCACCGTGCTTCGAACCACGTACCCGTCCTTGCGCTCGATCATCATCGTCATGACCAGGACCTGGTTGCTGAGGCGGTGGAAACCCCTGGCGAAACCGAGAAACTCGCGTGGTCCCGGGGACTGGAGCTTTCCGCCCGACGCCGCCTCGGCGGGATAACAATCGGCAAAGAGCCCCGGGGCTGATTCGGCATGTCGTTGTTCGTCGAGGTGCCATGCATTTCCGCTGCTGGGTTTGATGTGCAATAACGCAACCTCGCCCGTGAAGGAGAGGGGTGGGCAGCCGCCAGCCCCGGGTGAGAATGTAGGAGGGAGGCCGGGAGTGGATTCGAGCTCCTCGATCCGCGCAAAGTCGGCTTCGAAGACGTCGAATTCGCGGAAGTAGACGGGCTCGGCGTCCCAGCTGGCCCAGGAGTAACTGGGGAACACGAGGTTCGTGCGCTTCGCGGGCTGCAAGTGTCGCCACATGAGGGCGCCCGCGATACAGCCCCATTGCATGGGCATGCCGTGCCAGCCGGAGATGCCGTGGCTCTCGGCGATGGTGTTGATGCAGCCCTGGACGGCGCGGATCTTGTCACTCTCCCGACTGAGGCGGCGGCGATGGTACAGCCGCATGACGTTGTTGAAGAGGCTCGAGATCCGCGGCTCCTCGAGAATCTGACCGACTCCGGCGGGGAAGCCGAGCTCGTGGGTCTGGAAAACCCGCGTGGCCAGCCCGTTGCGGATGTGAGGACGGCACGAGCGCAGCGACTCGCGACTGGTCGAGTGCGTGCAGCAGAAGAGCACCTCGTCGGCCGTGAAGTTGACGCATCGCGGCGACAGCCAGCCTTCCTGGAACGTCCACGCCCGAGTCCACCAGGCTGACTGTGTGATCAACTGCTTTGGGGGGAGGTGGTTTGTTATAAACTCTATGCCCTGGAGGCGCACAGTTGGTCGGTCATCCGTACGGGTTTCGGGACGCACACCGGGGAGTCCAGCATTCGCGTCGTCCCCGGCCGCGGCGATGATGGTGACCTTGGCGTTCATGTAGATCGTGTGCATCCTGTCGATGAGGAAATCTTTCATGTCTTGATCGTCCTGGTCGATACAGAGAGAGTCAACCCACAGGAAGGGAATACCTAGCCCGCAGCAGAAGTCGATCGCGTCTGAGATGGTAGGGGGGAGGTCCCGGGGGAGATCTGCACCGGGTGTCTGGTTTCCAGCGTTTGACGGGGTAATAATCTCTTTCAAGGATATATACTTGGGTTGAGCATCGCCCCAAACGTAGCTGAGGGTTGCATACTCTGCATTCTGATCGGCGAGGACAATTTTCCTCTCGACGGTGTCGATCAACCAGAAATGCTTCTCCGGAGCTGCGCTGGACTTGAACTCGCGCAACCTGCACTCTTCATGGTTCTGCAAGCACGAATCGAGCCAGGACCTCAACTCAGAGTACTCGACTTGTGGAGGAACGGTTCGTCCCGCCAGCGGTGCTCGCATCCGGTCTCCCAAGCACGGAACAAGGCGGTTTTGGCACGTAATCGCCATGCCCGCGTCGGGGTTTCCGAAGGCAGGTCCACCGCTGTGAACGAGAATTTCGAGCCACGTCGCGGTAGGCTCGTCAAGGTAGTCTTTCCAGGCCATCATGGGCAAGTCCTGGAGGTGTTCCATGTCGCCGCGGAAGCTTCTCAGGCTGACGATAACGTCGTCGGGCCCAAGCGTGTCCGTCCCGTATCTCCAGTGGTCAATCGGCGCGGGCATCCGGTGGGAGTGCTCCTTGTACTCGAAGTGCTCGGGCTTAACCGCCTCGGGGGAGATGACCGGGGGGGTTTGATCGACGATCAGGCTGCAGAAGGGACAGTGGCTGGCACAGTCGCGGAGGTGGGAGAGGGTGCCGAGGTGGACGCCAGGACGCAGTTCTCCTGCGACATCCTTTGTCGCTGGGGCGAGGAGAGCATTCACATCCAGTGACTCGCATACTGAACAGAGAGTGCCAGGGACGAGTTGGTCGTGTCGAGCCCGGCATTTTCGTTCAGGTAAGGTATAGGGGGGAACTGCTTGAGCCTCCTGAGGGGACTTGAGGGTGTAAGACTCCATACTCCGTACGGGATTAGCTGTCGGCAGTTCACCTCTGAACGACCTACCTACCTACCTGCCCGGTAGGTACCTATGTAGAGAATCTAGTAGTATCGACATCTTCTGAAAGACCGCCAGAGGCTCTTATAGCAAGTGCTGGAGGTTGCCTTGTCACCTCCTAGTAGAGCTTCAGCCCCGTTGCCCGAGGAGTTCGAACTCGGCCCAGTTTGCCTAGTGGGTCACCAGTGCGGCTGAGTCTGTCTTTCGGAGCTTGGCTCAATACCGAGTAACTTGTGCGTATCCATACCAAGTACATACCAAGAACCAAGAAGACACTTCCTCGGGCTGCTCGGGGCGACACAAGAAGAGATCCTCTCTCGACCTGTACTGTACATGTTGTTGGGGCGGCGCTAGCTGGCCTCTTGCTTGGGTCTACCGTTCCTATCTCCGCGCTTGATCATGAAAAGGTAGTATCAGGTATACTGATTCACAGAGGGCGCAAAGACACAAAGACACAAAGACGGGTCCGTCCTGGATTTCTCGCCAGCGGACAAAATGGGGGATGGGAATCGCCTGGGTAGTTTTACTCCCTCGCGAGTACTCTCTGTAAAGGCACTGAATGGACAAGTCTCACTTGTAGATTACCTATTCGAGACGTGACCATGATCCGAATTGAAATGACTTTGGCTTCGGTACCGATTCAAGTACTCTTGTAGGAACTTGGTATTTGCCCAAGTAGGTAGGTATGTATCGCTCTCTACGGACGAAATATCTCAAAGCTCGTAGGCGAGCATCGACTGCTTGAGACACTCTCCCCCGTCCTCTCTCTTGGGAGTCTGAGCTCCCGCAATGTTCTCCCAAGCTCGACTCGGCCAGCCGGCAGGCAGGCTGGGTGGGCTTTCTCGATGCTCTGTCACGGCCCTATTGCGACGGCCTCGCTCCCTTTCCCCTTCTTTCCTGAGTGAAATGGTAATCTGGAGGTACAGTTCGGGGTATATCTTTCGCATGGTTTTATGCGTCTTGTCGATCCTGTCGATTGGCGACCTTGCTTTGGGATGGTTGGACTGTGCAGCGTCTGTAATGGCCGGAAGGCTATAATCCAGTAATCCGAGTGAAATGGCCCAAGTCGAATGAACACTGCGTGTACCTCGTACTCGACAGAGACACCATATCTCCCTGGGAGGAAGAAACCGGATACCATGCCCCCGGGCACAAGCACGGGAACAAGACAGTCGGAGACTGCCTGTAACCATTTGATGTTAGGGGCCCGCGACCCACGACTGATGTAGTCGAGGTACACTGTCTTGACGACCGCTTCTTGGAATGGTTGATACTCGGATGCTGTCACCGCCGTCATCCCTCGTCGTCGCCATCTCGACTCTCAGACAGGGTTGCGTTGCAATGATATATGCCTTTTCGGGCAGAGGAGGTTTGACGTCAACCCCTGATTTGATTATAGAAGACCAGATGCCTGACTTTGTCCCGTGGCTCTGCCTTTTGTGATCCCTGGGACAACTTAAAGTTGACGTGGAGGAGTCCTTGACGGAATATCTTTCGCCGTCCGAGTCAACAGCCCTGGAATCGCAGGAGTCGACTTTGGGATCCGGACTGGTTGCTGGACAGGGCGACTTGTGACTGTCAGGCGTGATGTTGTCTGTGATGGCATCTTCGTTGAGTATCACTACCTCGATAGTGTACTGGCCAGCTAGACCGTCACGTCAAGAGCAGAATGGTCTGCGACTCCCGCAGGACGGTGCTCCACGAGACGTGCAACTCTCCCGCATCGCGTCGCCGCCACACTTCCTTCGCCACCATCTCTGCAGCCTCGGCGTTCTGGAACCCCGCCCACGCCGCGTGCCTCATGCAGAGGATGGCCCGGCGACGAAGACTGTCGCCCAGCGCTTCACACGCGGCGATGAAGCTGGGCCACACGGTGACGCCGAGCCGCACGCCGGGGAAGAAGCACTGTTTGCTCTCGTGGTGCATTTCGAGGTTGCTGAGGATGCTCTCGACGTAGTGCTGCAGGATGATGGGGTTGGTGCCGCGCACGAACCGGAAGAAGTAGACCATCAGTGCGTGGTGCATGGCCGTCGCGATGTTGGATTTCATCGTCTGCGAAGGGTCCGGGATGCTCTCGGCAGAGCTGCAGCTGAGCAGGTCAAACGGGTTATTGTTGTTGTTGTCGCCGCTCTCGGCGGGCCGTTGTGGTGTCTCCCAGTGGCAGATGTCTCGCTCCAGGGCCGCGGCCGCGTCGACCAGGCTCGCAGGCATGTAAGGCTGCGACGTGCCGTGGTGTTGTGGCGGGTCGATCTGAGCGACCATGTTGTTCGTCCGGGCGATCAGCTTCAGGATCGACGCCGGCATGCCGTAGAAGTCGTTGAAGGATTCTTCCTCGGGCCCGCTCAGTCCCAGGTCCGACCACGTCTCGTAGTTGGACGCGAGGGTCGTCGAGTAAGGGAAGCTGTCCTCGGGGATCTTCTTGACGAGCTCGACCTCGTTGGCGAGCATGGGCTTCTTGCCCAGCGTGACGAGGTACTGGTCCCGCGTCTGGACGAAGGTGGTCTTTTCAATCACCCTGATGTAGGCGAATATTCGATGTAGTTGGAGTGCTTTCTTGGAAAAGGCCTCCTTCTTCCGACCGATCTTGTTGACAATCTCTTCGCATTGGAGGATGAAAAGTCGCGAGTCCCACGGATCACCACTGACGATCTATTTTCACGACTATTAGCTTTCGAGTGTCTCCTCGAGTCTTGGAACCCCAAATGCAGGACAGAGACGTGAGGACTTACCCCGGTACAGATCAGGTTCATGGCGCTCACAAAGAGCTCTTTGTATTTGATCTGTTCTGGTTGCTCGGTGGACATTGCTTGCAAACATTTGCGAAAGGCGGTCCGCGCAATCTCCCTGAACTTGAGGCCCTGCGAGTTCCAGTATTGCAAGTTCGTCGCCTGGTCGTCGGTCGACAGGAGCTGCGTCGTGTCCGTTCCGCTCACCGTCGAGGCAGGCTTGTAGAGAGTCGCGAGGTGGTAGCAGGTCAACGACAGGAGACTGTACAGGAGCGACACCCTGGCGAAGCCCGACTGGCCCATGATATCCAGTTCTCCATACGCGGTCATGGCGTAGGGCACGTGGATACTCTTCCAGGGGGCTTCGTTCTGCGGTAACCCCGAAAGAGAGGATATGACATGGTTCATGTAGTGAGATAGCAGGAATCGGATATTCGAGGGCACGTAGGGCGATCCATTGGACAGGGACGACGCAGCAGGGTGTCCATATGTAGCGATGCCCGTAAATCGTGGCTGAGAAAGCTGGATATCATCTTGAAAGGGTGTGCCGGTGCCCGGTATATTTGTACCTGTTTGCTGCAGTTCAGCCACGGGCACGGTCTCCACAACCCGATAGGAAGATCCTTCCTTACCTTCAATCAGCGGCGTGTAGGCGGCGTTGGTGAAAGAATAATTGTAACTTGCTCCAGTAGGGGTTTCGGCAAAGAGTGCTTGAGATCCCACACTGTTGTCCGACACGGACAACGACCAGTCAATGCCGTCCAGACAGGCTGTCGCCGCTTCGCGATCGCCGTCGAGAGAAGACATGGACTCGGGCAGTTGAATGGTCATCTCCGACTGCTCGAGAGCTTCGACATTTTCAGCGACGGAGACGGGGACGAGGGCGGGGACGAGTTGCAAGACAGAAAAGGGGCCCTTATGGATTTGCCAGCCTTTCTTATCGACCCGCGAGTTCTTGGACTCCTTGACCTGTTCATCGAGGCGGTCGAGGACTTGGTCGAGGTGCTGTTGTGGGTTTTGGCCGGTTGAGAGATGCCGAACCAAGTCTTCGGAGAAGCGAGACCTCGAATGGGCTGAAAGGGAAGCAATCTTAGCTAGATGGACACGGGTATTGTGTTCCAGGCCACATAACACGCACCATCAAAGATCTCGGTTCGAGTGCGACGCCCTTCTCCTCCCGCTGCTGCCGCTGCTCCCTCGGTCGTCGAGTTGCCTGGCGACGTCGAGTCAGGCTGTTCCGGATCCCAGACGGGCAGCCACTGGAGCTGGACTTGATAACCCCGACATTGCAGACCCAGCCGGATACAGTTGTTACAGCTTGGACGATGTAAATCACATTTCACTTTGCGCGTCCGGCACGTCAAGCAGCCTGTAAAGGTACGCGTCCGCGCCTTCGGGGCTGAACGGCGCGCTTGAGCCATTGATGTTTGGGGGGCATCAGACAGAGTGAATGGAAAGAAAGAATGATTTTTGGGTCCCTTGGGAGGAGTTAAATTGGGAAAGGGAAGGCTTCGGCGACGACGAGGACCCTCTGGCTGTGGCTTCATTGGTCGATACTTATCGCGTTGTTCTCCGGAATCCAGATTGTGGCGGCGGCGACCAGAGTTTCGGCAATGCTTCGCTTGGGTCGACGGGCAGCTTGCATTAGCAATGAATCTTATCCAGGCAACCGGGACTCGCAGGACCCTGGCATCTTATTATCAGGTCATAGAAACAACTCCCGTGCCCCTCAGCCGCTCTTAGGATGGCTTGTTACAAGTTGATATGACTGTCCAAAATACATGGCCTCAAACCCTAATGCTAGGACTTTCCCATGGGCTTTCAGACGGCATTCGTGGCCGATTCAGGTCATGGAAGAAGGTTTAACAACGGAACCCAAGTAGTTCCGCTGGTCTGTATCCTGTGATCCCTTTTTGTGTATTGGATTTGTATCTTGGGACGTTCATTTCCTTTTGGTGCAACGGCGACGATGTTGTCCGAACAGGATGCATCCAAGCCACTCAGCCTTCGATCTCAGGGGTACGTATAGACTTGTTGCACGATACGTCGGTGTAGATGGTCTCTGATAAAAAGAACTTACAGTGTCAAGCCCCTCAACTATAATATCCGAATCTTCAATATAGAATTTGGGGGAGAATGGACCTACGAAGGGCGGGTGGTGATCGATGCGGAAGCAACTGCTCCTGCAAACCACGTCGTCATCAATGCCCGTGCCCTTGAGATATCTCGCTCTGAGGTGTCGTTCACTGACCTCAATAAATCTTCCTGTAAGTCTGCAGACTGATTTTGACAATGACACAAGGACTGATCGTCACCTAGCGACATACTCGGCGACGTCAATAGTCCTGGGTGAAGAGACTCAGCAGGCTCGCATATCATTCGAGGAGACCATCCCAAAGGGACCCTTGAGATTAGATGTCTCATTCAAAGGGAGAATCGATCATTCCATGGTCGGCTTTTGTCGTGCCAGATATGAGCCAGAGTCAGATACCAGCGCCGCGGGTGTCAAGGTCGGCAAGTATCACTGGCAATTAACCACCCACTTTGAGCCCTGCGATGCACGCAAGGCCTTTCCCTGTTTCGACGAGCCGCACTTGAAAGCGACCTTTGAGCTTGAGCTGGAGATCCCCGCAGAGTTGACGGCGCTAAGCAACATGCCTGAGACATCGGCGCGACTACTCGAGGGAGCCCAAACCGGCTTGAAGGCAGTGCGTTTCGAGAAGACGCCCGTCATGAGCACCTACGTGAGTGAAGTAACCCTCCAAGATATCTGGATTTCAATGCTGACGGGGCCTATCAGCTCCTGTGCTGGGCCGTAGGTGACTTTGAATACATCGAAGGCCTGACAAAGCGAGAACACGCGGGCAAGAGGCTTCCCGTGAGGATCTACACGACCAAGGGACTGACCCAATACGCCCACTTTGCACTCCAAGATGCCTGCGACGCCCTCGACTTCTTCAGCGAGAGCTTTGGCGTCGACTACCCCCTCCCCAAGTGCGACCAGCTCGTCGTCCACGAGTTCATCGGCGGTGCCATGGAGAATTGGGGATTGATCACCTACAAGCCGACCAAGATCCTGTTTGATCCGGCCACCTCGGACAACCGGCTCATGTCCAAGGCCTCGTATGTCATTGCCCACGAACTGGCCCATCAGTGGTTCGGCAATCTGGTCACCATGAGCGGCTGGAATGAATTGTGGTTGAACGAGGGTTTTGCGACCTGGGCAGGGTACCTTGCCGTGGACCATCTTCATCCTGGTAAGGACGACTGCTTGTCCACAATTTGGTGGCATTTGGACTAATCGACTATGTAATATAGATTGGAATATCTGGGGTCAATTTGTGGTAAGTTTTCCAGTCTACGGGGACGGTTCTGTTGTTCATTGTTGACCACGACACAGGGCGAAGCACTGGAAGAGGCCTTCACGCTGGACTCCCTGAACTCGACACATCCCATCGAGTCACAAATCCAAGGCAGCTCTCAAGTGCACCAGATGTTCGACAGCATTACGTACTGCAAGGGCAGCGCCGTGATCCGCATGCTGACCGCGCACATCGGCCAGGACGCCTTCCTGAACGGCATCGCCGCTTACCTGAAAAGCCGCATGTATCAGAACGCCACCTCCAACGACCTCTGGACAGCTCTGTCTGCGGCGTCGGGAGTGGATGTGGCGACGATCATGGATCCGTGGATCCATGAAGCTGGATTTCCTATTGTCACCGCAACGCCGACTGCTGATGGACTTCACCTGAATCAAAAGCCATTTCCCAGGCACAGCGTGCAGGAGAGGACTACGTGCTGGCATGTCCCTCTGGGACTGGATGGGGAGACTTTGACCACGGCGGATAACACCCTCACGACCGAGTCAGGCATTGTCAAGCAGAACCTCTCTCTGGCAAAGCTCAACAAAGATCACGCCGGCTTCTATCGCACTGACTATCCCCGTAACCATCTTCTGTCGCTGACGCACCTCTCGTCAGGCATGTCCTCTGCCGACAAAGTCGGAATTATCACGGATATCACGTCCTTGGTTTTCGCAGGGGTGAGACCTGCGGGAGAGCTCCTGTCGGTGATGAGCGAGCTCCGGCACGAGAAAGATTGTTTCATGTGGTCACAGATACGAAAGGCTGCGGTCGCGGTTGTCTCCTCCGTGTCTGACGACCCCCAAATCGTCAATGTTCTCAAGGCTCACATCCGACACTTGATGGCGGGAGTCAAGTCGGAAATCACCTGGACCGGCTGTGCGGACAGCTACGTCAAGGGCGAGCTGGAGAAGGCTTTGATCCAGCTCGCCGCTTTCGCCGACGACGACGAGGTCATTGGTGAAGTCCAGCGGCGCTTCTCCCTGTGGCAGAACGGTGACAAGGACGCCATCAACCGCAACCTCCAAACCCCCATCTTCAACGTCTCCGTCGCTCGAGGCGGGGAAGAAGCATACCGCGCCGTCAAGGCCGAGTACCTCCGCAACGAGACCATCGACGGGCGCGAACTCTGCATCGCCGCGCTGGGGCGCACGACCCTCCCAGCCCTGACGCGCGACTACCTCGACATGACATTCCGCACCGAGGACCACGTCACGCTGCAAAACATCCACTTTGTCGGCATGGCCGTGGGCAACGGGCCCTGCGCCGAGGCCCTGTGGGAGTACGTCAAGGAGAACTGGGACGCCGTCTACGCGCGGCTGCGGATCAACAGCATCGTCTTTGAGTGGTTCGTCGACAACGCCCTCTCGGGCCTCGACAGCCTCGCGCTCGAAGCCGACATTGCCCGCTTCTTCGCGGACAAGGATCTGCCCGAGATGGCGCATCCGGTCGCCGTCGTGAGGGACAACATTGCGCGGAATGCGGCGTTTAAAGCGCGCGTGAGGCCCGAGGTCGTGCAGTGGTTGAAGGAGAATGGGCTGTTGGGAGCAGAGAGTTCGCGGTTATAGACGACGAGTATAGATTTCCTTTCGGGAGTTGCAAGCCGTTCCAATCGACGTTGGTTGCACGAACAGACAGAGACGGATTGTCTTTTTGATTTACTTGTGTGTATGTGTGTGTATGTGTATGTGTGATGGACTGCACTTTAGGTACAAGCATAGCATGGTATCGCATAGCATAGCATCGCATAGCTGAGGAAGGTAGCTGGCTAAGCCACTCATTCATCCAATCGTGTCAAGTAACGCTCTGGCATAGCAAACCCCTTTTTCTTCCCCGTCAAAACGCCCTTCGTAATACATCTGACAACCTTGAGCTGGTGAGTTGTGGTTGACGAAACGAAACAAACGAGCATATCACCTGTTTCACATTCGCAGGCAGTTCCTGTGGCGTTGCCCACCGTGCTTGCTCGCTGCGACTTGTTCTCATTCCGCAACGCCTCCGCGAAAGAAGTGATGAGGCTGGACTGGATGACTGTCGCGTGATTTAAATCCCCGACGTACCCAGTATCAGCCCCCGATCACAAGACAGTTGGCGTGAGTCGGGCATCTGCGTCTGCGCACAGGTACAGATGGCGAGCAGGAGACCTCTTTGTACCATTAACCTGTTTGTGGATTGTCGAGTTGAGTCAGGTGTCGAGTCTGTAGTCTGGAAGTATCATATCCCATATCGCGTGTCCCAAGTGTAAAGTGTAACGTGTTCGCGGCAATGGCCACGCCTCGCCCACGCATTCCAGAATCGCGGGTGCGGTTATCTACGGAGCTTGGGAATACTTTTCACTAAAGAAAGAGATATACTTGTACTTGGAAGTATACTTACCTATAGGCCGATATCGCGGGTTGGGCAAGGGCTGATAAGTCCTTCGCTATATGTCCATGTAATGGTGAATGCAAGTATGCATTGCATATTGCATAGATAAAGACATACACACATACAGGCCCGATTGGGTCTTGATAAGGGACGGAGAAACCAGCCTGGGCTGGGCGGGCTAGGCTAGGAATGGCTGGTTCTGGGTCTGGGTTTTGGGTTTGGGTTTGGGTGGGTTAGGCTGGACTGGGCTGTAGTGGGCTCTATGTGAAGGTTTGTGACTCTTGTGATAGATACTCGGTACAAATAATAGATAGATACTAGCACCACTATTTACAAGTAGATAGATAAACCGACCACGTTACCTGCACACTGCACAAGTCGCTTATCTGTGGAAATATCGCCATGAGCCATATCACCTGTATTTGGACTTGGGACTTGATAGTCGGTAAACGTACCTGTCCACATTTGATATCTCTCCACGTACCGAGTACAACTAGCCACGCCCCGGTTCGGTATGGGTCTGGGGGCTTAATCACTTGAGATTAGAACCCACGTGGAAGCCAAAGTGGAAGTGGAAGTGGTCTCGTCTGGTCTCGCTTTCTGACATTATGCACAGTACCTCCTTGTACTTCCGTATCTACATCTTTCTGTGGCGAGCTCAATTCCGCTTCATTTTGTAGATATGTGGCAACTCCTCTTCATCATGGACATGGGATGGCAGATGGCTTTCTGTTTTATTGATCGTTGAGATCTCGCTGGTTCTATCCCGCAATGGCCAGTATGGTGACGGAATAGGCATGTCGGAGCAGTTGTTGGTAGTATTTGTGGTCATCTCATACAGAACCTGGAGGAGAGATCAAACGCCTCTTTCGTTCGGCGATAGCGTACTCGGTACTGTAGAATACGACAAATGGGAATCTTGATCGGCAGGGAGCAGTCATTGATCGATCCATCGCATTGCTTGCATAATTACTTGTACACATGAATTGCAAATGCACATCATTTGTATCTTGTCGTCGCATCTTTCAATCTATACCCCGATTACCCTATCCGGTCGAATTTAGCTTGGTCCGATGTTCAGTCTGTCAAAGGCCTCTTCTCCACCATCCCTTCCTTCACCAGCTCGGGTAGATTTTCCATCCCTCAAGCCTCAGAGGTCGCCTTGTCAGAAGTAGCCTTGGACTCTGTGACAAGCACGGTCTCGACGTTCTTGTCACTCGTCTCCGAGCCGGCATTCTCGTCCTCTTGACCATCGATAAGCGACTCGAGGAGGGTGGTCTGGGGATATTCATAGGGGAAAATCCAATGGAGCACGTAGGACAGGACCGAGGCTATAATAATCCCACAAATCAGCCAGAGGTTCGGACTGGTATACACAGACAGCGAGACTTACCAATGACAAAGCCTAGGACAAAAGACAGCGAGAAGATGCGAGTAGCGCCAGTCCCGACCTTGAGCGACGGGTTGACGGCGTGCACGAAACCGGGCATGCTGGGCACGACGGCGCAGACCCACGATACGCAGGTGCGCCAGTTGATCCCATACTTGTACCAGTACACCGACTTCTTCGAACCCTCGTACAGGTCCGGGATGTGGAATAGGCGCCGTTGGATGATCCAGTAGTGCACGCACAGCAAGCCGATCATGGGGCCGAGGAAAACCGCATAGGCCGAGAGGACGGACAAGAACCTGTAGTGCCAATCAGTGAGAGAATGGACATTGTGGCGGAACAACCAAGAACTCACGTCGAGCCGGAGGCCAATTGCTTCCACGGCACGGGGGCCACGCTGAGAACGGCGAGGATGTACGCCCCGCGGCGCAGGTTGATGTATTGCGGGAAAACGCTGGCGACATCGAGGCCACCGGCCAGCACGTTGCCAACGACGTTGATCGACAGCTGCGACACGATGAAGACGACGCCGAGGAAGAAGGCGGCCGCCCGACCGCGAGAGCCATGTTTGTCCTGGATCGCCACGAACAACGTCGAGGGGTCCCAGAGAGGTGTGCCGTTGCCGTATTCTATAAGAACAATATTAGCCTGGCTGGGTCTTTCCATGGCAATCCTGTAAGGCACTCACGGTTCTGTGTCGCTGCAGTCACCACCACACCCACGATGGCCATGACGGAACTTGTGAGCATGAATGAAAAGGCCTGCGTGTAGGTGACGTGGCTGGGTCGCTTTGCAAATCTGGTGAAGTCGTTCTGGTTCAAGATTCCCGAGGCAATACTTCCAATGACCGACATGACACCAGCGGCCATCTGCCACCCCAACTCGGTCGACGAGATGGTGGTCTTGGAGTTGAACACGCTCCCGTACCCTTTGCTGGTTCCCACAGCCCAGCCGAGAAGGACGAACAGGGTGATGCCCACCACGACAGAGCCAATGTGGAAATACGGCCGGAGTTGGCCGGGTCGGAACCAGATGAAGATGCAGCACAGCAAGTTGAAGAGGAAGTACCCCAGAAACTGGGCCGAAGTGATGCCCTGCGACAAGGGGATTTTGTTGGGAATGCGCTCGTCGAGGTCCAGCCAGATCGAGCGCAGGCAGACATAGATCATCTTGCCGCCAATGACGGCTTGCACGCCATACCAGGTGATGGATGTCAGGATGCGGTTGAGGACGGGGAAGTATGCCCCCCACATACCTGCACGGGCACGAGGTCAGTGATACGTTTGTTAAGCGGTCGAGCGGCAGAAGCACGAACCCCAGACACTGCGCGAGACGATGGGAAAGCCCAAGTGGCTGGCAGCGCCCGAAACCGAGTTGAGAACTGCAAAGGTACTGGCGAGGGCATTTCCAACCAAGATGACGATGATGGCTTGCCAGTAAGTCATGCCAGTCGCGATCAGTGAGGAACCGGTTTGATAGGTGCTGATGTTCAGGTTGACGAGGAACCACAGTTCGACGAACTGGAGTGGACCTGGACGTGAAGACTTAGCAACGTGCATGGACATAGCTGGCATCGACGCATTTCCATACCCCAGGTCTGGCGCTCAGGAGGCACTGGACGGATGTCCTCATTGCTCCAGCGATTACCCTGTTCTTCCTCAGGAAGCTCAATCACCCTCAAGGCTCGTTTGATGACAGACATTGTTGGTAGGTCGGGTCAGGACTTCAACTTGGGACAAGATCCGATGCTGGTACTGGATGAAATGTCCACCTCAGACCGCGTGGTATCCCTATATACCATATACCTCCCCTTTGGGCTGGGGGAAACGTTGATAACGATATCGAGGGTCTGGGAAGCCCAGAGTCTCGAACTTTGAGAGTTATCAGAGCCATCAAGATTCGCCTCCAACAACCTAAGGCACTTGGGAAAGCCTGGCCGATCCCGGATGGATATCCCCGCCACCGCCATGTGGATACTGGGGGGCCTTTTAATGCTCGGAAACAGACCGGCACAGTAGTCGAGATGATAAGTTGCTGAAGCAGGAAGCCCTCGCCGACTGGATCCACAATTCAGAGGGTCCTGGGATTCCGTCGACCAGCATTAAGGGCATGGCGAGTCTCGGCGGGCGGGAAGACTAACCATGAGTCCATGCCGTTGTCCATGGGTGGAAACTGGTTGTTATCTGCTCCACAGTAATATCGGGACGACCGCGGCAAAGTTGTCGTTGCCGATCGCCAAATAACTGTAGTAACATATCTCCAGTACCTAATGGCACGACCATGTTTTTAAAGTGACTTATCACAAGTCCTGTTCGTTTTGCTTTGAGACAACAGACCCTGTAGACCAGCAGCTTGTGCAACAGAGGATTCACCTGGCCGCAACAATGGCAATTCAAAAGGTCTACAGGATTGGCGTCGACGTCGGTAAGGCTCCCTTTCAGCCAATCAGATGGTATCCAGGACGACTCTGTTAACTGTGACCAGGCGGGACGAATACGGACTGTGTTATTCTTCGTAAGTCGACGGATTCTTGCTGTGGTCGAAGGCGGCGTGCCCTGACAAGGACACATGATAGACCCCGGCGAGGCGCATTTGCCCGATCGTGGGATTCGCAGTGCGTTCAAGACGCCAACCACCGCAAATGTCACCTTGGGCATCACCAAAGCCATCGAAGGGGCCATAGCGAAATGCGGCATCCCCTTGGAGGCTGTGGCGGCGGTCATGATCGGGACAACAGTGAGTCAGGCGGTCAGGATCAGACTTCTCCTTCCTCAAAGACTAACACTCCCTTCCCAGCACTTCATCAATGCTGTTGTCCAGGCAGACGACCGGAATCTCAGGAAGGTTGCCGTTCTGAGAGTCTGTGGGCCATACACGAAAGAGAATCCTCCTTTTATGGATTTCCCACCGATCCTGGAGCGCATCATGAACGGTCATGTCGGTTACTTGGACGGTGGCCTCGAATGTGAGTCGACATGGTAGAAGTATGGAGACAGTAGCTTATCGTGACCAGTCGATACTCGTGAAATCATGCCCCTCGACGAGGCTCAAGTGCGAAAGGAATGCCAGGCCGTCAAGGCAAAAGGGCTCTCTGACGTTGCCGTTATCGGAGTCTTTTCACCTCTCGATATTTCCGGTAAACAAGAGGCGAGAGTCAAGAAGATCATCCAGGAGGAGCTCCCAGAAGCAGATATCGTCTTGTCCCGAGACAGTAAGCCCGTGATCCAGCCCCAGGTCCTGCCCCTTGTGCATCTTCCATTGCGTGCTAATACATGGGACAGTCGGTCAACTTGGCTACCTCGAGAGAGAAAATGCCACCATTTTAAACACGTCCATTTTGAAGTTTGCTCGCAAGACGATTCGCGGCTTCAAAACGGCTATTCGAACATTGGGTCTTTCGTGTCCGCTCTTCCTGACGCAGAACGACGGCACCATCATCGATGCCGATGCTGCTGAGAAATGCCCCATCAAGACCTTCTCCAGTGGTCCGACCAACTCCATGTCTGGAGCGGCATATCTGGCTGGTCTCGATACTGAAGAGAAGAAGATCCGAAACGCCCAAGTAATCGTTGCAGATGTTGGTGGAACCACTACCGACGTGTGTGCCCTGTAAGTTTCAATTCATGTCTTGTCCAATCGACAGCATCTGACTACTTCCTCGCAGGTTGCCTTCAGGCTTTCCCCGCCAGGCTGGCACTTGGGTAGAGATTGGTGGTGTTCGGAGCGCCTTCTCAATGCCCGAAGTGCTGTCTGTCGCTCTCGGTGGTGGTACGAAAGTCGAAGAGCGGGATGGCAAAGTCCACGTTGGACCAGAGTCTGTCGGTCACAGACTTCTCACCGAAGGTCTTGTCTTTGGTGGCAATACATTGACCACCACGGGTATGCTCTTCGACTCCTTTCCAACTAGTCGACTCGCTAACACAGTCTCCCAGATATTGTTGTTGCCAGTGGCCACGCAGATATCGGCGACAAGTCCAGGGTCAAAGATGTCCCCAAGGATATCATCACAAAGGCGCGCCTTCGCGTCAAGAAGATCCTGGAAAACGCCGTTGATGCTATGAAACTGAGTGCAGATGACGCCGTCGTGATCCTCGTTGGTGGTGGCAGCATCGTGCACATGGAAGACCTGGATGGCGTGGGAAAGATCATCCGTCCACCGTAAGTGTGCCGCTGTTCTTATTGTGTACCATTTTCTGACCTTGTTAGATTCCACGACTGCGCCAACGCTGTCGGAGCGGCAATTGCAAAGATCTCAGGACAGGTCGACGTTGTCAAGGTGCTAGAAGGCCTTGATGAGGACAAGGTGGTCGAAGAAGTCTGCACGGATGCGAAGAACATTGCCATCGCGTCTGGTGCGGATCCAGAGTCGGTCACGATTGTCGCGATCGAGAACATGCCCTTGCAATACGTCCAGATGCGTGCATCTCGGATTGTCGTTAGAGCTGTACGTTGGCGAAACCCCTTCCTTTACAGACCTTGGACTAACTCCTTGGTGATCAGGCTGGAACTTTGAACCAGAAAGCCCTCCTCCATTATGTTCCGACCGAAAGCTCCGAAGACATTGTGGCACTCCAGGAAGTCCTCGAGGAGCGTGTCTCCGCTAAGACGAACGCTGAGAAAGACCCCAAGGACTTCCTGGTGAGTCCCTCAGCTTCGATCGACATTCGCCAATACAAGCCCGAGGTTGACAAGAACGGCGTATGGTGGGTGTCCGAGATCGACTGCGAGTTTTTGGCCACGGGTTGTAGTACCCTCGCATGTGGCGGTGGAGGACCCGGCTATATGTGCTACATGGCGGCCAGAGCAGCAATCAAAGCCGGCGAGCGCTTGCCGGTAGTTGACGCTGAGGCCTTACCTGATGACATTTATGTCCTCGGTAGTATTTCATACGGGTATGTTTCCGTCATTCTCTTTGCGGTTATCAAGGCTCACACAACGCTCTAGTGCCCCGACTGTTACCCTGGAGCGTATCCCCAGCGGTACAGAGTCCGTGGACGCCACCGACGCTCTCCTGAGCTGTTTCCCCGGAATCAAGATGGGAGCCCAGATTGCGGTATGAGCATAAATCTTGTATCGAAAATTCCCCTGGCTGACCAACGGCACAGCTCGAAATCGGAGGAATGAACGGCATTCGTCCACTTCTTGTCGCAAATAGCTACGGGGGTATCCCAACCATAGACGGCGATTACATGGGAAGAGCCTATCCACGGCTCGGCCTGGACACTCCTGCCCGTAAGCACCATATCAACTGCCTTTTGGACCATGACTGATCAGAGATAGTATTTGACTTCCCCCTTTCGCCCTGCACGCAGAGTGACGGCATGGGCAACGTCGTCACCGTCCACAAGGCGGCGTCAACGGAGAAGCTCGAGAAGATCCACCGCAAGGCAGGCCAGGAACTGGGTCTGTTCTCGCAGATGGTCTGGCCGCCCATGTCGGTCAAAGACACCAAGATAATGGGCACATTAGGCACCACCTCTTTGGCATGGTATATCGGCCGAGCCGTGTACCTCGCCAAGCAAGAGAAGACGGATATCATGAAAGCCATTGTAAGAAACATTGTCCTCGTCCGTGCATGAGGAGCAAAGAAGACTAACAGCGATGCTCAGATCGAAGCAAATCCTTCCGGACGTGTCTTGTACACGGGCAAAATCGTGTCCGTCAACCGATACGTCTCAGCGGGTGGCTACACGGAAGGTACCGTGCGTCTCAAGCCCATTGCCAGCGACGAGATGGAATACGGAGACACGGCCTCGGCAGAGACGCGCGACATGATCCTACCGTTCCAGAACGAGTATCTCTACGCCGAGCTTGTCGAGCCGGATGCGCCAAAGGGCACCAAGGGCGAGATTCTGTGCACCGTTCCCGACTTGATATCGCTTATTGGCACGGACGGATATGCGCTGGGAACCCAGGATCTACGATACGGTGTGCGAGTTAGTGTGGTAGCGTTCGTTGCTCACCGGCATTGGTAAGTCATGTCGTCCCGGATAGATCTTGTCTTGAAAATGGGAATTGCTGACACCATGACAGGTATACACCAAGAGGTATTGAAACCGGAGGCCCGAAAGCATTTGGTTACGATATGGACTTTGTCCCGCTCGGTACGCCATATTACGAGCCCAAGCGGGTGACCAAGGAGTTCCGCCCTACGTCATGAGCGAGACGCTTCGATAAAGCGGCTATTGTCACTCAGCAGCACCCCAGGTGATTATGTGAATTCGCGTCGACGAGGCACCTGGTGTGGACGAGCGATAAACAACATCGTAACCTCCGCTCACAACTTGTTGTTGCTCGGCCCGAAATTGCTCGGCATTCCCTTGGACAGAATCCAGCATAACCTTTCGGCCCGAGAAGGATGCTTCACAAGACACTTTCAACCATTGCTACGCATGTCGTGGGAATCGTTTCAAGAAACGGCGTTATCAGCTGCCCCTATCTATCCAGATTACGAGTAGATGTGCGAAACCAGAACGACAGCACGAGATTTATACACCCAGGGAAGGGGGATGGGGAGGATAAACTAGATGAAATATCAATAAACATATACATAAGTTATATATTATATACATAGTCTTAGCATAGATTCAAGAAGATGTCACATTATTAGCTTTTGTATGCTACAGCATGAACGTCTCGTGAATACACAATCGAAGGCCTCAAGAGGTCCGGGTGCGCCTCAAGAAGCGTGGTGGCTCTGCTCGCTATACGAGGTATACCTTACCAAATACGAATATATTAGGAGAAGAGAATATCTGCTCCAGCCTATCAGCGGCACGTAGACCAAAGTCCAGAACCACGAACCTTTAGTTGGATGCTTGCATTTCGTTGCACAAAAGTCAGGGAAGGAAAGGAGGATGTTGGTTAAGGATGCTGATAAATCTCATGGAAGGTCGGGGCTTGAACTGCTCCGCTGGAAAACAACAAAAGGCTCGTACACGACTTGGCTTTGTGGGCGTATAAGAGATGTCGAGTCCTGGGAGATGCTCGAGGTCCGATAGTATCGTGATCAGTCGATTCCTAGGAGGATACTTGTGGAGGTATTCCCCTCGAGGTATCATATAGAGAAAGCATGGCTTCCACAGCAATCATCAACGTCCGCGTTTTCGACGGCGAAAATGTCCTTCCAGCCACGACGGTGGTTGTATCCGGTGCGACGATAAATGCCGTGGGAGGAACCGTCCCGGACGGAGCGACAGTGATCAACGGCGAAGGCTGCACGTTATTGCCCGGCCTCATTGACTCTCACGTCCACACCGGCATTCCGCAGCTGGAACTCGCCCTCAAGTTCGGGGTCACGACCGAGCTGGAGATGATGGGCTACTGGGACGCGGAGTCGCGACGACAAATCGCTGAGCGCGACGACCTCGCGGACCTGCGCACAGCAAGTTATGGCTTGACAGCCCCAGATGGCCATCCGAACCAGTTGACCAAGCGCCTCGATGCGTCGGTGCCGCTGCCGCATCACCACCATCATGAGACCCCGACGGGTGAAGCGGTGCTCACGACCGCGACCACTCCCGACGAGGCGGTCGCTTTCGTCAGACAACGCGTCGACGAAGGGGCGGATTACATCAAGATCATGATCGAAGACGGCACGGTCTTTGCGTCGCCGGGGCTGCCTATGTTATCTCGAGAGACGCTATCGGCCGCGGTGACCGAGGCACACAAGCACGACAAGTTGGTAATAGCCCATGCGATGACTTATGAAGCCGCAGAAGTTGCCGCCGAGGTCGGCGTCGACGGTCTCTCTCACCTCTTTCTCGACCGGGTCGCGGATTCGAACATCCTGGAGAAACTGAAGAGCAAATTCGTCATACCGTGTCTCTGCCTCGACGCTTCCATCCTGGGCATCAAACCCACTGCATTCGCCAGCGATCCCCGCGTATCTGCTTCGCTTCCGCCAGCCTGGCTCACCCACCTCGAGGGCAGCATGGACACCTTCCCCAGCGGCGACTTCACCACCGTGCTCAAGACCGTAGCGGCCCTGCGTGCAACGGGGACCATCGACGTTCTCGTCGGCACGGACAGCTCCTTTCCCGTCCCCCATCTCGCGGGCATCGCCCACGGCGCCAGTGTTCACTACGAACTGCAGCTTTTGGTAGAATCCGGGTTCACGCCCGTCGAGGCATTGCGTGCCGCGACGAGCGTTCCTGCCCGGTGCTTTGGGCTCGGTGATCGGGGATTGATCAGAGAGGGGATGCGTGCGGATTTGGTCCTTGTCCAGGGGGATCCGACGGGGCATATTCGCGATACGCTCTCCGTGAAATCTGTTTGGAGGAGAGGGAAGATGTTGGCTTCCTCCGCTGGTTGATAATATACCTGCGTTTGCAGGTCTGACGGTGTAGAATAGGCTGAGGAGATCGGAAAGGGGATAGTGAATCCGGGTTGGATCCCTCATCAAAATATTTAAGTAAGACTGTCTGATGCTTAATCACTGCTTTGACGTCCATAAAGCGAGGTCTAGGAGTAAATCTTTGCTCAGACGTAAGTGATATCCCTCTCAACTAATACCTTTCACATTCATCGAGTGCATGGCATCCCGATGTTCGACTACCCCGTCATCATATCTGAGTGCGATCCAGCCAGAAAGCTCACTGTCGCAAGGCCGTTGGAGACGCCGCGCGCGTCGTCGAGTTGTTCGTACATCTGGGTGGCATCTTAGTTCGAGGTAACAAGTGACAGGGGAATGGGGGATGACTTACATCTGTGGGCACAGGTCCGGGGCCGCTGTGGGTGACCACTGTAGTCCGTACCATAAATCCCGGTGATCCAAAAACGCCCAAAACAGGAGAAGGTTAGAAGTTGCTTCGTTCCTCTGCCTGATCGCTTCAAATGATATCATCCACGTTGTCCAGATATTGCGATCGTACGCCGGAAGTGGGATGCCATCCTTCTTGTGAAATTGCATAAGATCTTTCCACCGGGTATTATATAGTCTGATATGCTCTTTGAAATCGATACCGGTCTGCTGCATGTACGCGGCGGCTTGAGTCAAGGCTAGTGGTAAGCCATCTAACAACTTTAACAAGTAAGTAGCATTGTCCTCGTCCTGCATTTCCAAGTCACAATGGGAGACTGCTGAGGATCGAGAGACATGGAGACATACCAAACTTGTTGTCCAAGCTGGCCTAGTCGAGTCGTAATCCAAATGGAACTGTGGTCCGCCCACGGGAAGTACCGTGCGACATCGTAGGCGCCTGGCTGGGTGTTTGGTGCACGGTATTCCCGATTGATATTGTCAATTACCATCAGCCAGCAATCGTTGTCGGATTGACTTCTTCGAATCCCGAGGTATAAGGCACGTGACAGTGATTTGCTTGTCACGTGCATGTCCAAGTGGAATCTAGTGTGTCAGGCAGATTGGAGCACTCCGTACGAGGTACTGTGGTGAACAGCCACAGGTGGATTCCTCTGGTTGCCTAGCCACTTCACACACCGCTTGGGATAAAATAGTTTGCCGTCTCATTCTGCTTTTTTGTAACGCCTACAGCAGGCACCGAAATTCATCCCTTACCCCGTACATTGCGGTTGGCGTTCAATTCTTCGTCAGGCAACGACTGCCCCCTGAACATTCTCTGGCTTGTACGAGGTATTTCGGGCAGTCATCTGGCTTCTGCAAGTCATACCACCCGCAATGGCCTCCGCAGCTCCGAATAGGAAGTCCATCGAGATCTTTGCTCGATGGCGACGGCTGACTCAGTCGGAATCTGCGCAGGACGAGGTCGTTCGGGAGATAGGTTCTGGAGATGGCCGTTCCCTGTTGTCAATCTCCGTAAGTCGGCAGGGTCAGACAGGAAACCAGTCGTGGACGAGCCCTGCAGCCTTCAAAGCCATATTCAATCCAGAACACGACAACGGCGCGATATTTGACTCCATCGTTGCGCCTGCTATCCCGCGAGTTCTACAGGGTGGGAACTGCAACTTTTTTGCATACGGACATACCGGCAGCGGCAAGACACATACAATCCTGGGTTATAATTATGACGATGAGAAAGAGCTCGGATTGACTCTCGCGGCTGCTCGCCAACTTTTTGAGGCAATCCACGTCTTAAATGAGGACAATCCTGCCGAAGAGAAGCTGGGAATTGGCTTCAGCTTGTTCGAAATGCGAAAGAAGTCGGCCTTTGATCTTCTCAATCGACGTGTAGAGTGCCACATCAGAGAAGGCGCCGATGGCAAGGTTTACATCCGCGGGGAAACTGAGATACTCCAGGGCGGCAAAGTCAGGGTCTGCCCAATCGTCAAGCAACCCTGCTGGACCTATGAATCTTTCCGCCGAGAGCTAACTCAGGCCCTTGGCCGCCGAGCTGTAGGCTCATCGACTCTTCACGACCAGAGCTCCAGGACTCACGCGATCTTGGAATTAGAAATTATCTGCCAATCGCTAGTAGATGCACGTCAGGCTGTAATAGAGCGGCAGTCAGAGTTGGTCCCCGTGGGAAAGCGTGCGACCGACGTCCACCTGGAGGAGCAGTACAAGGGCCTCATCGCCCGTCCGGAGGGTGGATGGGCATACAACCCAGATTATAAGATCAATCAAGAGCGCATTGACGCAGCCGAAGCCGAGAAGGCTGTCTGCGAGGAAAGGGTTGCTGCTGCAGAAGAGCTGGTGGATAAGATTCTCGAGTCGTGTGCATCTCGCTGCCTGGGTGCCAAGATGGTATTTGTCGACCTTGCTGGTGCTGAGTATCAACAAGAACAGGAGAGCGTTCGACCACAACTGGCCAAGCAGACCCCTCAAGAGCGCCAGGAAGGTCGTCAGATCAACACGGACCTGCTAGCACTGAAGGAGGTGATGAGGGCCTGGTCCAAAAATCAGCAGAGAATACCATTCCGGTCGTCGGCACTGACCATGGTGCTCCGCGAGCATTTCTTGAGTTCGGAAAAAGGAAATTCCGCCATGATCGTCACCGTCTCACCTGCGAGGGAACAGTACTCAGCCACACTGAATTCTTTGAAATACGGAAGTCTGGTTGGCGTTGCAGGCAACACCAGGTAGTGGCGGGTCGACATAGGGGGCCACGGAAGAGCCGACAGCCAAGGTAAGTCAAGGTAGGCGTTATGCTTAGAATGGGCTGTTAAATGAGTGTATGAACCCAGAACGACAGACGAAAATTAGAGGTTCTAGCTATACGACAGGCGCGGGCACGGTCACTACTGTACATCGCCACCCCATGTCACTTGCCTCGGAAACCACCTAGAATACCAAGTATGTCGCTGGGTGTTCAGCCATCGGTCTCGTCGCCGCACACCAGCCTTCTTTGATTTCCTGGGTCGGACTGATAAAGCTGATGGATCAACTGCTCATGAGTCAATTTCAGAGTCGTGTTGAGAAACGACCTGGCCTGGCAAAGCAAACGACATCTTCTGCGGTGAGCTTCAAATATCAACTTGAATTAATCAGTCTGGCCTAAAATTGGTTTCCGAAAGCCTCACCTCTGATTTGAATATATCGACCCCAGCTACCGAAGTCACGGAGGACAAATCGAAGAAGACTGGGACCTCGTCCAGCAGCGCCGATATTGGTCAAGGTTCCCAGCCCCTGGCCGCCCCTAGCCTTCCTCCCTGGGCCCGATACACACCTGATCCTTCACCTTCCTACTGCTTCGAGGGCGTCTCATCCGAATGGACCCAGTGTGCCGTGACAGTAATGGGATCCGTTGTTTTCACACTCCAGGGTTTTCAGTGAGTTCATCCTTTTCACCTGACATCGTCTTTTCACGGCGGGACGATCTAGCATGCTGATCCCGCAACCTAGACGGTGCTCTCATAGGTCTAGTGACCCAATATCGACGTGGTGAAGTGCCGCTCTCGTTGGAACGGGGAGAGTGACGTGATCTGACGGCGCCGACTGTCCCATCCGTGTTGATCGACTCGCTAACTTCTCTCTTTCGAAGCGGCCTCGAAAGCGCATTCTGACTCTGCACACGACAAGCCCTGCTTGACGCTTTGCCATTCGAGCTCAACGACTCCTTAGATGCCCTGAAGTGTTTCAGTGGAGCTCATTCCAGCGATGTTATTATATGCAGTGACCACCGTTGGGGTCTTGGGTCCCGGTGTGCCTTGTTATATTAGTGCTGGCCACGTGGCGGAAATGGGAAGGGGGATAATGCAAGGAGAGCTACAAACAAGGAGGATGGTCGGCATAACTCTGGTAGGGTGAGCATCGGCGAAATAAGGCGCCAATTGTAGGGATGTCATACCTGAAGAAGAAAAGCCTAGTGAAGCCTTCATTGATACCATCCATCAGCAGGCAAGTTATAATATTCGAGACTAGATGGGCAGATTTTCTTGCTTCTTATCGAACTCCACATTCAGGAGCCAGGCCATACCATCAAGAGTCATCTCTTTAATTTTGCGAGAATGGCTAGCTGGCCACGGTGGCGATACCCAAGCTGTGTGCCCCTCTCCCTCGAGCACGGTCGACTTGACTTGCACCCCTACCGACTCTGACAGCCACTTGGCGTAGATCACAGAATCGTCACGAAATTGGTCGAATTGTCCGCCATAAACGAAGACTTTTGGTGAATGATCCTGAGTGATCTTTGGATCAGTCAAGTCCAGATTGACCGGCGAGAACCAGGGAGAGTCGAGAGTAAGACGAGACTCGAGATCCAAACGTAGCGCTTCGTTAGCGGCCTTGTATTCGAAGTTGTCTTCTCTAGATCTAAATAGGTCTCGATATCGTAAAGGAACGATGTCTTTAGTGATTAAGAAGGGTAAACCTGAGAAAATTCCGGTGATGGGGCTTCGAAGAGAAGACAGTCCGACAAAGTCTTTGACGCCTGCTCGGGCTGCCCCAGGTATGCTTCCAATGACCGCAGCCGCCGTGCCGCCCGAACTGAGGCCGCCAACCACAAAGCCGCGACCTAGATTGACCTGAGCTCCAGCGTCTTTCAAGACACTATTGTTCAGGTTATCGCCATCAGACAACCACACGCACACATCCCAAGCTATCTGCACGGGTGCAGGAAACGGCTGCTCAGGGAGCTGATTCAGGGTTGGACATGCCACCACACAGTTAAATAGCTCTGCAAAGCCGCGAGCAGGGGCTAAAACTAGATCGGGGCTGCACACTGACAGCCCGCCACCGTGAAAGTAGACGATGAGCGGACACTGGATGGGCAACTTTGCCGGCGGGCTGGGCCACACCACTTTGGTTCTGTTCGCTTGGGCACCTGCCACGGGGATATCAATCCATGCCTCATGCAGGTGAGCTGGACATGGACCAATGTACTCGAGGCCAGCAGCCTCAGCTTCGGCCATAGCCTGACGCTGCTCGTCTACTGACAAAGATTTGTTAGACGCCATTATTAAAGCAATGAGAACAGCGTTTCCGAGATGGTAGATAGAAGAAGTGTATGAAAATGGACAGAATTTGGCTCTCTTGTTAATGTAAGAGAAGCCCGCGGAGGCTGTTAGAGAGGTCGATAGAAGGAATAAACTAAAGCTAGGTAGCGACGGCCTCCAAGGCACTTCCCCAGATCACGTGAGGGATCCCAGGCAAGGCTTGGCAGACCGTGACACTGCGGCTCTCACTCTCGTCTGGGAAGACGGATAGGCCAGACCGGGTATGGTTCCTTTAGTTCTACAAGAGCCTATAGAGCCAAGGCTGTAGCCCTGGAGACGATGACAATCATTTTATGAATGCACTCGTTATCAGTCAGCTGCGGCCACTTTCCGGTGTAGTTGCCACCAGCCGCCTGCGGTTCTGCGGTTCTTTTGCTGGCCACAGTGAACGCCGTTGGAACGCCGAAGTCCCACCCCACAACGTGCGTATCCAGAATGCTACGGCGACGATTAAGCGCGGAGATCCTAGTCCTAGACACTGATTAACGCTTTTCACGCGTTCGAGGTGCGGAGAGATTGCTCACTGGATATGGCAGGCTTCCTATTCGCTGAGGCCGCCTCCGCCAATATCGCAGTGTCTTTGCATTGATTGATGGCCATCCCCGTCGCGCTCACCTGCGAGAGATAAAGGTTCATAATGCCAGGCTAAGAGGGTGGGTGTCGTCGCCTTGTCGCCAGCATTCACGGTCGACCTTCAGATACTTACTCCTTCTACCATGACTACCATTGTGCCAGTCCCGAAAGATTATCCCAAGGAAATCATTGGTTATGCGCAACCTTGGATCGTGAGCCCAGGGGATAACGTCGACATCAAGGTCTCTTGTACCGAAGCCAGGTACAATTACCGCACCGTCCGCGTCATCCAGGGCCACGAGGGAGAGAAAAGCCCACGGCACAAGGAAGAGGAAATCACAGAGATCCCCCGCGGTTCTCGCGATGGTCGATACCAAGTGGCTCACATCGGCTCGTATGGCAAAGTCAAGGATATTGGTCTGACCGCAGGAGACGACGGGCTGAAGATCTCCGTCTACGTGCAACCATGGCTGATCCCATGCAACCACGTCCAGGCAATCGTCTCTACTTTGGACGTCTCGAGCAAGACTGGAATTGACGTGGTCCTCGATCAGCAAGGGCAGGTTGAGTTTTGGGTCGGATGTGGCGCTGACGTCCAAGTTGTTCGTTCCGGCTTCACTCCCGTCAAGCGGAGGTGGTTCAAACTCGACCTGACCGTTCGTGGAACGCAACTGGAGGCGGTCTTGACACCGAAATCTCGCATTACCGAACCGGCAGCAAAGCAGAGTGTGTTCACCGCTGATTTGAAAGGCGCATTCAAAGTCGCCGCGTGTACGCCATTGCTCGTGGCGGCCAGTCGACAGGCGTCTCCTCAAGACAAGTTGCAGACGGCCGTTCCGACAAACAAGTACAACGGCCGACTCGACTCACTCGAGCTGAGAGCAACGGGGGCACGTGAGCGTGTCCTCGCCAAATATGATTTCGCCATCGAAATCTCGAGTGATCGTTTCTTCGATGTCTCTCAAGCCAAGCGGCATGGTGACTTGGTCAACGCGCCCACCCGAGCGATGAAGGGCCACGACTGGGATGGATCGGAAACGGATTGGACAAAGGCAAAGTATGGTTACGGAGCCATTCATTTCCACGAAGACGATTTGGACGATGCCGAGTGGGACACGGATTTCACGATTCAAATCCCCAAGGACGCCAGATCGGGCGTGTACAGTGTCGTGATCCGCGGCACTGACGACGATGTTGGCGAGAACGTGGTCTTTTACGTGAGACCGACTCCAGAAACTACGGCCAAGGTGAGATACCGTTCGAAAGAATGATGCAAGACGTGGGAAAACCGAGGGCGCTAACAAGATTCTCATAGGTAGGGGCTAAGGTCGCCATAGTCATGTCCACCTTTACCTATCTCGCCTACGCCAATGACCACATGTTTGACCCCGACACACCCGCTCGTGCTGAAATCCCTGCTGGTCTCGACAACCTGGAATTCTACAAGGACGAGACGTTCTACAAGCAAGATCGACGCAGAGACCTCGGTCTTTCCCAGTATGACGTCCACAAGGACCACAGCGGCGTCGTCTTCTCTTCCGCCAAACGTCCATTGCTCAACAACCGACCCGACTATATCAACTGGTCGGGCCACCGTCCTCGCGAGCTCAGTGCCGAGTTGATCATGGTCGGATTCCTCGACCAGTCGGGCGTGCCGTACGATGTGGTCACTGACCACGACCTTCACACCTACGGCGCCTCCATGCTCGCGCCCTACACGACGGTCATTACCGGGTGTCACCCAGAGTATCCTACTCTACAGTCATATGCGGCCTACGAAGGATTTGTGCAGCAAGGAGGAAACATGATGTATCTCGGTGGAAATGGTTTCTACTGGGTTTCGGTGACAGACCCAAAACGACCATGGCGGTCAGAGGTCCGCCGTGGAGGCCAGGGAGTGCGCACTTCGTGGCAGGAGCCTGGCGAGCGGCATCACTCTCTCAACGGCCAGCAAGGGGGCCTTTGGCGGGATTATGGCAAGGCGGCGAATTACTTGGTGGGTATCGGATGCTGTGGAGAGGGACATGGCGCAGGTAAGTGTTTTTATCTTCAACATCCCTCTTTTCTTCAACAGTCTATCTAACACGAAGCCCTAGGTGTCGCATATCGTCAGACCGAGGATCTTCGCAAATCCCATCCCGAACTGACCTCGTGGCTGTTCCGTGACATTCCCGAAGACCAACTGATCGGTGAGAATTCTCTGGGCGAGTACGGTGGCGGCGCCAGTGCCGACGAGATTGACCGCGTCGACTTTGCCTATGGCAGTCCCGCCAACGTGGTCGTGGTCGCGTCCAGCGTCGGCCACTCTGACGATTTTGGCCTCTTCCCAGAAGACGTCAGCTTCCCCATCCAGGGCACGCTGGGGACCCAGACCAACCTGATTCGCTCGGACATGACATACTACGAGACGAGTGGTGGAGGGGCAGTCTTTTCCGTGGGCAGCATCAGCTGGTACTGCGGACTGGGATATAACGGGTACGACAACACGGCTGCGCTGGTGACGAGGAACGTGTTGCTAGAATTTGCAAAGGGGCCCAAAGGAACTATTATCCAGCAGTAGAAAAGATGTGACAGAGCTTAGAGAGGTGAATACTCGGTACAGCTTTTTCTCATTCCTGTGTCATGATTTGTCTATAGAGCTCTCCCACCCTCTGGGTTCTGTACCTCGGAAGCCAATCGTGCTCTCTCAAATTCGTATTATATTCATTTGATGCCCTCATGACAATGTCTATGCATTCCTACCACATCCTCCGCTCGTACTAACTAGGTGTACTTGTTCTTTTTGTGCGCGACGCGCTCGGCCTCGGGGTCGATCGTACTGCGGGGATCTTTGAACTCGAGCCATCCGAGCATGGGCTGGCGGGGGGGTTAGCAGGAGAAAATGGAATCAGGGAAAACTGAGGGGAAAAGGCGGGCTCACATCACTCAGGGCGTAGCCCATGATCTTCTGGATCCTGACGGGAAGGGTTCTGGCAATCTCGGGCGGCACCGCGAGGTACTGGTTCTCCTCCTGGCGCAGCCACCCGCGGGTCATGAAGCAGCTGAACAGCAACCGTTCCTCGTCGGCGGTGGTGTTGGCGCTGCCGCCGTGGTAGCAGCTCGAGAGCATGATGAAGCCGTCGCCGGGGTTGAGTTCGGCGTAGTGGGCGAAGCGTTCGTCAGGCGGGTGTTCGGTCGCCTCGAGGTGGCTGGCCGGGATGAACCTGGTGGCACCGTTGGCCTTGGACGTCTTTGTGCCGGCCACGAAGAAGCCGATGCCGTACTCGCGCGAATTGGTGCGCGGGTACACGTCGACCCGCGGCCGGTCGGCGTAGTGGATGTCGTCGTCGCGGTGTAGCGGTTGGTCGTAGCTGTTGCCTGGCCGCACGGAAAAGGCAATCGTGTTGTTGAGCTGCGGTGGCGACACGTTGAGTGTGTCACGGTCCCCATACCACGGGTAGCTCTTGGTCGTCAGGAAGCGCTCGCACACGGCCTGGTAGAGGTCGTTGCCGACCAGGTCGATGGCGAAGGTGCGCGATTTGGCGCACAGCCCAAACGCCCGCCGCGTGGATGGCGGGAAGAAGTTGTTGTCGGCCTCCCAGGGCACGTCAGCCTCAAGATACGGCCGCACATCCCGTTCAATCTGCGCAAGCGACTCCGGCGACAGGATTCTGCGCACCACGACGCCGCCCACGGCCCTCAGCCCTTCGACCACGTCATCCACCTGCGCATTGGCTGCGTCGAATTCGGGAACCGCGACATGTTTGCGGGCCGGCCATGCCTTTAGATCGCTCCCAGCCACCATGCGCTCGTACGAGATGAAAGCCTCTTCATGGCGCACCGTCGGAGGCGCAAAGGACGACTTCGTCCCGTAAGAAGGAGCCGCCGCCGGTGCGGTCTTCTCCAACACGGCCACCTGTGTGATCTCTTCCGTCCCGAGGCTACCCATGATGTGAGATAATCAGCAAATACTGGCCAGATAAGAGAGAAGCACTCGTGTTGTGTATCAACAACTATCAGTCCGACTAGACGCTTTTCCTTTTTATCTCACCCAGCGATAACGCGGATGATGCCAAAAAGGGAGTCAGCAAGTTGCCCATCGGCATGAGGAAGCAAAAGACAAATCAGCGAGGCAGATCATGTCTCTTTCATTGGTGCACGCAGTTTGTTCCTGCAGCAACGAACACGTCCAGCGACATGTGCCACGTCTGCCACGTCTGCCACGTCTATCAGTCTGCCCTGTATCAGGCTCGCTGAGTTGCTGGGACTTTGCTGGATAGTGGCAATTTGTCCGCTCCGAGACCGCGTCCTTGTCAATTCGCCGTCGAAACGCCCTCGAAACACCGAGGAAGATCGACTTCCCCACGACCTAAAAGTGTCTAGCGGTATTATAGAGAGTCTTCTTGCCACCTTTGGTCATCATCTATTCCCGTTTCATCATTGGATTCTCTCATCTTCGACCCAAGTACCATGTTGACCATGCTCCCCACCCCAACGTGGCGCTTCCGCTCAGTCGCCGATCCAGAGCCAGAGATTGCAATCCCGGCCGCAAGCCTTGCTCGCGCTTGTCGACAGCTAGATTGATGCCCCAGAAAGGAATCGCGTGGCTATCTCCCCGAGGATAGGCAAGTGGTCCGCCATCTAATTCAACTGACATATCGCGGCTGGGCAACTCTTGATCAAAAGATGCATATATATGGAGTCGGGGGATACATGAGAGCCAACCCTTACCAACCTCACCTGACCGTTCTGTTCAAGATTCATCCAGGAGGACGACAATTCTCGGTCACATACACTTTGGAGAGATGGCCAACTCGAGCGCCCTCAAGGGCAAGCTGCGGTTGAACCGCCCCTTCAACCAAAATTTTCTCATGGGATGTATCCTCGCTTGTCTGCCTGGGATATACCTGGCCTTGACGGGTCTGGGGGCTGGTGGAGGTCAACCCACTTCGCAGCACGTTGCATCCATCACAAACTCGTATGTGTCAGGGCTGCTTGTGAGAGGGGGTGTCGAGATCTGACGTTGGTATAGCATTCTTTATGGCGTCTACACCTTCTTTGGATGGTGTGCCGGCACGTTCCTGAACTACTTTGGCCCAAGCATCACCGTCTGTATTGGCGGTCTTGGCTATCCGTGAGTTCTTGTATCTGTTGTTGGAATGACAAAAGTACTGAGTTCTCTTGCCAGTCTATACGCCGGTTCCCTATGGGCTTTTGGAAATGGTGTTGACCAAGCGTTTCCACTGTTTGGTTTGTCACTTCCCCCTTTCGAGAAGAGAAACCCTTGCTAAGAATTATAGCCGGTGCCTTTCTCGGATTCTCTGCCGCCCTGCTCTGGACAGGTGCCGGATTCATCCAGTTCGCCTATGCAGAGGAGAAGGACAAGGCCAAGGTGAGAGATTGGGAGAACGAACCACGACGAGCTGCAGAACTAACGGACTCACACAGTACATTACGTATCAATGGTCTTTGTCGGCCGTCGGCGGCACCATCGGATCGCTCATTGCCTTTGCGGCCAACTTCCACAAGACCAGTGTCGATGGCGCCTCCGCCGCGGTCTATATCGTTTTCATCATCATCATGTGCATGTAAGGAATGCCACGAGCCAAAGCTGCAAGAAGCACTGTCTGATCTGTCTAGTGCCATTGTCGGTGCCTTGCTGCTGTTGGTCAAGCCCAAGAACGTGGTCCGCGACGACGGGCGTCACATCGCCGTGTTCAAACAGCCCAACATCAAAACCGAGATTGTGGGCGTGTGGAAGGTCATGTCAGACCCCAAGATCATCATTCTCCTGCCGGCCATGTTTGCCGGTGAGATGATTCTCGCTCCGGCGAGTAGTATCAATGGTGAGTTTACTTTACACACCCGCTTCTGCAGGGAGCACCAGTCAGATTGACAAAAGACCTGGGTTAACACTTTTTGGACAGGCTACTTCTTCAACCTCCGAACACGATCCCTGGCCAACTTGCTGTTCAACTTCATCATGATTCCGGCACCCCTGTTGCTCGCCTGGGTCATGGACAGCCCGAAAATCAAGTCGCGGAAGATGCGCGGCGTGGTCGGGGTGACGGCGATCGGGACCATCACCATGGCGTCGCTGGCGGGCGTGCTGGGCTGGATCTGCGTGCACGACATCGACCGACACAAGACGCCGCCAGGGGCGGACTGGACCGACGGCAGCGCGGCGGTCGGCTACATCTTCCTGTACCTGTTCTTCGGCATCGTCGACGCGTGCTTCCAGATCGTGGTGCAGTGGACGCTGTCGGCGCTGACCAACGACCCCGTGCTGTGCGCTCGCTACGCCGGCGCCTTCCGCGGCACCGTCAGCCTGGGCATGTGCATCGCCTTCACCCTCGACGCCCGCACCGTCAGCTACAAGAACCAGATCATCATCCAGCTGTGCGTCTACGCCCTGGCCCTGGCCTCGCTGTACTACGTCATCTTGACCTACGTCAAGGAGACAAACTACTTTGCCGAGGAGAACGTCATCGTCCCCGTCGCGTTCGAGGAAAAGGCCATCGTCGAGGGCCTCGTCGCCGACGATGTCATCCGCCGCGAACGCGAGCTCGAAAAGATCGCCCGTGGCCTCGCGCTTGACGAGGAGTCCAACGAGTCCAACGAGGCCGTGGCCGAGGCGGAGACCGTCCACGTCAAGGGGTAAACAGGTTGCAGTGTGGACGAGAGGTCGGGGGCCAGCAAGACGAGGTGGGCGAGGACGAGCACGATGTGAAAATAGAATATAGCGATAGTTCCAATGAGCTTCACGAGGCTATCATAAAAGACTTCTCAGTGGCTACACTCAGATATCGTCCCGGTTACCGAGTACATAGAGAGAGATGTGACCCAAATCAACCGCGTCCTAACCTCGTGGAATATGGTAAAAGTCAAGCTTGGCTTCTCATACATCTGAATCAATCAATTAAATCCTCTCGCGCATACTGTAGCACGTTACTGCCTGTCTATCTATCTATCCTTGGATCAGAAGAGAGGGACTGGGTTCCCCGGGTGCGTGATAAACACACATGCATCCATCCATCCATACATACATACATACCCTTCTCATAAGTAAAGTATCCATCCTGCATCATCGAAATTGCTGTTGATGTTGAAACTGCGCCTGGTCGTAATACATGTCCCAGCCCCAGCCCGCATTGTCGTCGTGGGCCATCATCTGCGCCTGGAAGAGAGGGTCGGTAAAGTACATTTCGGGGGCCCAGTCGGTGTGGGCGCCGTTGGATCCGGCCAAAGATTGCACGGTGGCGTCTTCGAACGGTTCTCCTACCTCACCGGCGGCGGCTACGGTGGCACGACCAGTAGGGGTTGGGATGGAGGGCCTTTGGCCGTGATCTGAGCCGTCCACGCCATCGTCGTGTCTTATCGTTGTTGTCGCAGTTGCCGATACCGGACGTCTTCCTGTCCGAGAACGCTTATTCATCTTCTTGACCAAGTCCTCGTAAAACATTTGAGCCTGCTGGGCCACGGACGAACGGCTCCCCAGCTTGCGAGCCCACGGAAGACCGCGCTGCAGGTTGCGCACGCCGGTACGCGAGGTGGCCGGATCGGAGCTGTTGGCCTGACGCGCGTGGAGCACCATGGCCAGGTCGAATTCGTGGATGCCAAAGTTCCACAGCGACCCCAGCAGGTCCTGCCGGTCGAGATCTTCACAGACATGTGAGATGTCTGCGGCCGCGCGGAACATGGTGTCAGTCCCCTCGGGAAGCAATGTGCAGAACCGCAGCAACGCCGCTTGGTAGGTGATGTGCAAAGTGGCTGTCCACAGAGTGAACCCCGTGCCTAAGGCACCCCCGCCCCCGCCGCCACCACCAGCAGAGCTTCGAGGTGGTTGTAGAGTCGTCGGTATGCCCTTGTGCCACTGTTGCAGCTCGGTGAGGAGCGCCAGGGCTCGAGAGTTGCGGTCGAGATTGTTGCCTCGTCCACCGCCCTGGTGGTCACGGTATCGGCAGGGTCGGAGTAGGTCCAACCAGCTAGATATTATAAGACAGAGGTTGACTAATTCCAAAAAGAACCGCGTGTGTTCGGCCGACGGTAGTGATCCAGGATATTCGGGCTGAAAGTCGGCCTCTGTCAGGTATTCGACGTCGCAATCAGCGAGGTTTCTGCAGAAAGATTAGACAAGAACTCTCAAAGGGACAAGGGCCGCGATCTCTCACATGGCTCTTGGACGACCCCACTCGAAAGAACACAACGTCTATATTGTCAGCACATATGGTCATGATCGCGGATCAGCACCTACATCGTGGACAAAAAGCGACCACCAGATACGCTTCCACTGTCTTCGCATCGGTTCGCTTGCATTGGCTTTGCCCAATGCACGGTGCATCCCTAGGCCCTGCGGAGGAGAGTCAACACAGATCACCCTGGTGAACGACGGGAACCACCTTACCTGTGCTATCCTCACGGCGGTGCCGAGACACAGCCACATGTTTTGCAGCGTGTCGTCACAGCTGTCCGAGACAAATGTGCTAAAGAGGAGGTGAGACTGGACCAGCACCAGACGGTCTTGTTCAAATCTGTTCTCGACCAAGGCCTTGGCTCGGCCGTACAGTCTCCAGGACACCTCCCCGTGAGGAAGTTTGAGATTGGGATGCTCGAATGTCGTTGATCCGGAGAGTAAGACGCTGTGTAGGAGGAGAAGGGACACGTTGGACGGCTTCGGCGCGGCCGAGTATCCTTTGAGAAAGGCGGACCTGTCGAGGATGGGCAGCGTGGCGTGGACGCGGTCGAAAAAGGCCGCAATGAAGCTGTCGGCCACCTCAGGGCTGGGGAGGGTAAATGAGCCGTACAGGTCGAGGACGGCGAGTTCGGACAGGCCCATGCTTCGGGGAATTCCCCCGTGGGCGCGTTTGAAAAAGGGGGCATCACGATAGTGGTAGACGTCGGTCTGGAAGCCGCGGCCGAATTCGTTGGCCAGCAGCCTTGCGACCGTCGTGTAGTTGTCGTTGAACGTGACCTGGTAGTCACTGATGGCACCGAGGGAGAAATCTTGGGCCACAAAGTCCACCAGGATCGAGGTCTCCTTGGAAATGTCGCCAAACCCGCCGGGAGACACCTCGATCCTTCGTGGGCTATCTCCTTCCCCCAAACTGCCAAACCGTGCTCGGATCTCGTCCAGCGCCGAGGGGACTGTGATGCGGTCGACCTGTTCGACCGCCTCCGCAGGACTCGACGGGTTTGTGGCGCTGGCGGTCTCGTTAGTTCTAACATCGCTCAATATCGGCGGCGTGCAGTGCCAGTTGTATACCTCGGCGCGCCCAACGTGGCTGCTTCTACAGCACGAATAGGCCGTCTCCGACGTTGAAGCCGGTCGCAGGACAGACCGGAATCTTCACACCGCGTACACGGGTGGCCTCGCGTGGACAGGTCACATCTCACCTTGCGGAGATGGCAGCTCGTACATGCCGCCGCCGCGGACTTGGAACCTGGATCGCAGTGAGTCAATCTTCCATGAGGCAACAAGCGCACAAATACCTGTCCGGCCGGACCGCTGCGGAGTGGTCATTGAGCGATTGTCAGGGAGGAGCAAGCGATGCCATGGATTTCAGGCTGGTAGATTGTCTCGATTACATCCCTCGTACGTTTTAGTATAGTGCATTGGGGGAAAGAGAAGTGAGGCAAAAGGGCGCAGGGTGGCACAGTGCTTCGTAGTAGGTCTTAATGGGGGCATTGGGGTTGTATCGGGTTGGTTTTTGGGGGTGAAGCTAATAACTAGTGGTGACTAAGGGAGACGCCCAGTGGCACCCAATGGATTACCGAGCGCCCAAGTCCTCCATTGGGTAGGCGGGGTTTCCTGGTGCGGGCAGCACCCTGGCAGTGTCACATGACTTCGCGTACTTGGCGTGCGACGCGGGTTTCTCGAGGACTTCGAATTCCATCTCTCATCCCTCCATTTGTAGCCTCCAGTCATTTCCTCTTGCACCCTCCCTCCCCACTCCCTCTCTGCTCACAATGTCGCCTCGGCCTGAATCTCGACAATCATTTCAGGAAAGCACAGCTTCGATGAGCCGACACACGTCCAGGTTGGCCGGTGACCAGGGCACCGCTCGCGCCAGATCTTCATCATGACGGGTTCAAGGTCGGTGTCAAGCATGAATGTCAGGAACTTGTGAACGCCCAGCAGGCCCTTTTCGACGCCGGCCTTTTTCAGCGCCGCCTCGACGCAGTCAAACGCCGCCGAGATCTGGGCCTCCGCAGACGTTGTCACCACCTTGCCCGTCTTCAGGTCGCACCCTGCTTGACCGGCCGTGATGACGATCTTGGCCGACGCAGGCAGTACAACAGCCTGGGAGAAGCCGTGGTTCTGGGAGAACTCGCCTGCGGGTCCGTCGTATTGATAGAAGCTCATCCTGAACGCGTTTAAAGCTTCTCGAGTTGTGTTGTTTGTGTGGTCTCCTGTATGTCATGTCAGTGAAGGGAGACGTGTATAGGAAAGCCTGAGAACGACATGCCTGATTGTATTTTGCGCGGCAACCTAGATCGACTTGAATCGAGCAACAGCAATCAACCCTGCAACTTTGGATGTGGACGAAAATCAAACAACGATCGGGAAGGTGGTATCATCTCGGGTTCCTTATAGCATCTCCAAGTGGAATAGTCTTCACATGGCTCTAATCTTCGATAATCTTCGACAAACAGCTTCCGATTCCCGCCAGGGACCCTCTTCAGAGTTCCACAATCCTGGGCACTTGAACTTTGGTCGGCCACCCTCCGCTAGAACATCGCTTCCAGTACCATTAGGACAAGCCCGCCGTCTACGCCACACCCGTCCGACCGATTTAATATCGGTGTTCCACACGGTAACTTGGCCGTTGAAACGCCGTGACGCCGCCGAAGCCTTATCGACGAGAACCCGACTCTTAGTTACGTGCGATGCGAGGCTGGAAGGCACGAAGACCTGGATTGTCCTGCAAGGCTAAGGACACATCTATCAGCACGTGGATAAATCGGGATACATGGCGGCTGAATAGGGATATGTCTACAATATACTTCAACTGGCTCCACCACGAACGCGAAATCAAATTCGATAGTTTATGGGATATGAAAAGTGACACTATCAACTTCCATAATGGTCAATCTTCTCCTTGGCCTGACCGCCGTTCAACAACAAGTTTCGCGGGTCGTCAAAGTCAACCCATCCAAGCCAGGGCATCGACACGGAATAGCCAATGATCTTCTGCAGCCGGGCGTCGTACTGCCTGACGCTGTCGAGCGAGTTTGCCAGGAACTGGTTCTCCTCCTGCCGCAAGGTGCCCTTGATCATGAAACAACTGAACACAAGCCGTTCTTCGTCGGTGGTGGTGTTGGCGCTCCCTCCGTGATAGGCGGACGCCAGCATTATGAAGGCATCACCGGGCTCTAGCTCGGCATAGTAACAGAGGTCCTCATTAGGCGGCTGCGTCTTAGCCCAGAGGTGACTGCGCGGGATGAAGCGTGTAGCGCCATTGGCCCTGGTCGTCTTCTTACCGGCGACAAACAGTCCCACGGCACAATCGCGGCCGATCGTGTAGTCGGTATGCGAGGCGAGCGCCGGTAGCTCGTTGTGGTAGTTCATGTCATCGCGGTGTAGCTCCTGGCGCTTGGCACCTGGTGCGATGGAGAAGACGATGGTGTTGTTGACCTGTGGTGGCGCGACCGACCGCTCAAGTTTTTGACCCAGCCAGGCATCGTGTGTCGAGGAGATGAGTCGATTGCAGACCTCTTGGTACAGCTCATTGCCGAGTACCTTGCGCGTGAACGTGGGCGACTTTTCCACCAGGCCCGTCACCCGGCGCGTCTCGGGCGGGAAGAAGTCGCCTTGCCACGGTTGATCTTTGAGGATGTACGGACGCACGTCGGCATCGATGTTCTTGATGTCGTCCCGGCTGACGAGGTTGCGCACGATACAGCCTCCGGTGCGGATGAGCGACTCGACGACGTCGTCAACGGTGGCACTGCTCGCGTCAAATGCGTCGACCTTGGCCGCCCTCGAGTCCTCGGCCAGGTGCTTGGGAAAGCCTCCCGCCGGCGCGTTGGGGAGTGGTTCTTCGAGACGAGACGGCGACATATCGAAGCTCGTTAGGATATCTTCAGGTTCAATCACCGAGCGATTCAGATGCTCAAGCAATGCCGCCTGACCTTTTTATGTCCGCGGCCTTGTCTCTTGATCCCACGTTGTAGGATTTTCAAAGTCAGGGTCAACGGCTGTGCCGCTTAGCTAATGAAATGAGACAGTATCGTGGTATGACACCCACCACCCAAGGGTGCCCGGACACGCCCCAGTCCGCCTTTTAGGTGGCAGAGACCACGAACATGGTAAAAAGCCGACATATGCGCGGGAGGAATACTTCGTTCCGTATGAGGCAGTTGAGATTGTGGGGTCAAGATGGGGAGAACGGAGAGTCGCCTCTCGAAAACATTGGCTGTGATGGTACCAACACTGAACCGTGCTGCCGGCGATTCAGCGGACAATGCGCGGCGCACAGGGGCACGAGTGGATCTTGGAGATACACACAGCATTTCCACTCAATCCCCAACGACAATCATGATGCCGCAGACAGGTCGGCTTCAAGTCCGTTGTTAGAGCGAACTGTTGTCCAGGTCCAGCCAGGTATGGAGAACGACCCTGGGCCCTAGCAGTCTGCGCAGTCTGAACATCACATTCCTGCCCATGAGACTGGGCATGCTTGGCTAGGATGATATCTACGGCTGAAATGATCTTGGCCGCGTCGAATCGCCGTCACTGCCGACCAACCTCCACAAACACGTGGCAAGAGAAGGACAAAGAGACATCGAAATTCCGACAAAATAAATGCCATGTAGATGTCAGATACTGAAGCGTCACGATCTATCAATCATCTAGACCATCTCCACGGTCTACACAGCCACAGAACATCAACATAGTCCCTTTCTCCCTGAACGAGGCCGTTGAATGGCCGGGGCACCGAGCAAGTCAAGGTGTTGGCCTATGGGCAAACTAGCAATGAGTGACCTGCTGCCCCAGGCAGGCCGAGATCGAGACCAGGACACCACAGACCGGCCGCGAAGCCAACCATCATGCGAGAGCAGATCGAAAGATGCTCATCCGAGATTGAGAGATGGAAATTCCGCCGTGCAGCCGAGAATCCCATAGTGCGTGTCGTGATATCGGCAGTCCACCAGCGCCAGCTCTTCTCGGCCACTCAACGGTCAGGACGAATTCAGGTCATACTGCGTACGAACAGGCACAGTGTCCTGTAAGAAACAGCAGAGTGTCGCCTCGTCCACGATTGAACCCTGTGTTCCTGCCTTGTAACCACTTATCCCACCACCGGAGGAAATCTTGTAAGAACCCGATCTGCGGACCAGATGTGGCGAAGTTGGGATACACATGCGTCCATGGTCCTGTCGAGCCCGTGCACGGGACATTCGAGGCGTTATAACATGAGGAACACCGCGTTCGAGTATCCCGCAAACCATGCACCGACGAGATAGACGCAGCGTTGGATGGCAGAGTAGTCTTCGCGGACTGAAGCGTGGTTTGCGGAACTCGTCGCGTCGCTGGTGCTCATGCCATTCGACCATCCAGTTCCAGCTGGCTTCCAGACAATTCATCCACAGGTCCCGCCACTTGTCACCGACTAGGGCCGGATCAGGAGGTGTCGAGGCGATGCTGAACATCGTCGCGCATTAGTCGAAGTCGTCGACCAGGAGACAGCCGTCCCCATAATGCACGTCGTCTACATAGCGGTCATCGGTTGAGCAGAGAGGATGGACCCCTTCAATGCAGGAGGGCGTCGAGCTGCCACTTGCAACCCGTTAAACGCACCCCACGAGACCCTGATCATGCCAATCGACCCGGAACGTCACTCTTGAGCGGCGATCCACTGTGATACCTCGAAGGGGATCGTCCTGTTCCTTCTGGAGATATTCGCCAGGGAAGATGCCATCGGAGCCACCACCGCCTCTCGCATGCCGACGCGACCACAGGCATATCCATACGAGGCGACTTAGGAGTGATTAACAACGTCTCGTTCTGCCTTTCCATCGCGCCTTCGGTAAGGTATGTACTAGAGCATGGCTGGCCCTAGGTTTAGTATGGTATCTTCTGGCTGACAGATCATGGCGGACAGGACAATGTTGTCGAACAGATGGATCTGAAGGACGATATCGTGGTCATGTTGCCCTATCGGACCTTCAAGAACCACGAACGGGTGTCCTTGTTGGACGCAATAAGAAAGCAATGGTAGAGAGGGTGTGGATTGAAGTTAAGACAACAATACCAGGAAGATACATCAGTCTCGTTGCACACAATGCCACATACGATAAGAGCAGGGACCTGCCACCACTGTCAGAAGAGACGTAAACAATATTCTCTCCCTTATCTGCAATGATCACTCCAGATCCTCAGCCCGCGGTGCCGCGACAGTAGCTCACATGTGTAGTATATCTACCGTTGTGCGATCTAGCGACCATCTCGCATCATTTCTCATCTCGCTGAAGCTTTCGTCCAAGATCCGACAAGTCTTTTGCCAGCCAAAGACCAAGGCTGGTTGGGTGGAGGGCCAATCTTATTCCCCTTCAATCCTCAGATCCAGGGACGGCGTTGGTACCTCCCAAATATTCCCCCTTTGGTCGTTGGTGGGCTGTTCGTAAATCTTGATAGGAATCGTCCTCCTCCACCAGACGCATGATACCCGTTCGAGTATCAAAAGGGAGATCGTGGAGTGATCCGCTCTAATCAGTCAGTCTGATCCTCACCCTCACCCCGCCCTTTCTCCTTTTCCATGTGCCATGCCCGGACCCATGCATGCCTTACAAGGACATGCGAAGTGTGCCGTCTCCTCGGTATCCTCGCGTCATTGGATCATCGAGCGGCGTCTAACCCGAGGTGTTGAAGTTCTGGAGCGCAAGCGTGTAGAGCCGAGGAGGGGGGTATGTGTCGCTCTGCTCGCATTGCTAACTACATTCAGGCATGGTGACCAAACTCTCGTTTTCTCCCTGCCTCCTTCCTACCTCCTAGTTCGATCGGATTCGAGGTCAATACGAGTGGTAGATAACAAACTATTAGTTAGTCTCGGGATTTCTTATCAGTGGCCAAGCGGCGAGGCTGTTCGAAGCACCAGTCAAGAGCCAAGAATGCCACGAATGCATATATTTACCGTAAATGGAACAGTGTGGTCGGTACAGTTCGACATCCAGGCGCTGGGAAGCATTTTGCAGAATTTGGCTTGGTTCCGGGCCTGGAACTTGTGACCCAAATCTTCCTCGCGGGGGGAGATGGATGGATCAATCTGCCTGTCTCGTACTGACTGGGGTACAACAACGATATCAAATTCTCCATGAATATACCTGATCGAGATAGATAACCATGCCGCTATCTGTAGATCCCCCTCTCCCGTCTAGTCTAGGCCTTCAGTGACACAGGAGACGGAGACGTGAATGTACCACTACTTCAAGGTCCAGTGTCAGAGATAAAGAATGTAACAAGCCCTTCGACGACACCAACTGCTCACACCATACCAATAAGTGAAGCCCATACAACCAACTCCTCATCTCAGTGACTACCCGAAATGGCAGCCGACATCGCAACTCCCCTGACTGCCATCCCCACGGCGACGGCGGCAGACGCAGCAACACTTCTCAATGACCTCGATGACCTCGACCTCCCCGACTTCGACCCAGCAATCCACCTTGCGTTCCAACCACCCGCCCAACGCCACACGTTTGGCGAAGTTGGCCTCCCCAAGCCGCCGCACAATGTCCCCGATCTGTGCTACACGGACCCGTTCCCCCTGTTTTCCGCCGAAGGGGTGCGCATCCTCCGACGAGAGATGCTCAGTAAGCCGATCTTGGACAGGTACCTCAAGTCGTGGGAGCGGGCTCCGGCGTATGTAGCTGGTCATGAAAAGGTTGGTTTTGATTCTCTGTTTCTAACGAGCGCACTCGAGAGAGATAGAGTTATAGAGAAACGGGGGTTTGAGGCTGATTCTGAGAGCGATAGTCGGCAAAGTTCACGCTTCAGGCATGGCAACATCCCGCCACTCAGGCTGCCATCGACAGAGCCGCTGGATTTCCGCTCCGTCGACTCTACAAGACCGGCGACATCGGCATGCTCAACATCCAACTCGGCCCCGAAGGGTTGGCGGGCGTCTATAAGCTCACGGAGACGCCCCTGCCACCACAATCGCCGCTGGATTTGGAAAAGTCCGTGTACGACAACGTCCCGATCGACTCGTGGCACAAAGACCAGGTCCCCGTCGTGTGTGTGGTCATGCTGAGCGACACGAGCGCGATGCAGGGCGGCGAGACAGCGATCAAGACCGGCGACGGGTCCATCGTCAGAGTCAAAAGCCCAACCATCGGCGGAGCTGTCATCATGCAAGGCGGGTGCACCGAGCACGCGGCCCTGCGAGCGACCAATGTCCCCGAACGAATCAGCATGGTGACCAGCTACACGTATGCGGATCCCAATATGGACGACCGGTACTCTTCCCTGCGGAGCGTCGACCCGGCAAACGACGACATGGCCCTGATGATCAACCTGTTCCTTAAGGACAAGCTCACCCGTCTTCGGGGTCGCATTGATCTGGTTTTGGCAGGCCTGGCCGAGAAGGAGAACACGGGAGAAATGATTCAACGGGACGAGGTTGAGCGATGGATCAAAGACCAAACGGAATTTCTGCGGCGCAGTGCATGGGAAATGTTTGAACGGGTCCCAAATTTCCTGCATAAGGATCCGCCAGAGGACGTTATCCAGGATTATCTCAAATAGAGTCAACAGTTGTAGATTGCGGGCGGAATTCTCCTGCCCAAACATGATTGATCAAGCAACGATTCCTCATGGTGTCTTCAACAAATTGTTTTCTGTTCGTTGACACGACACACAGACCAAACCAGCACATTGGGTCAGACGGCGATGATCGGAGTGCCTTTCTGTTCCCATTGACGAGCAAGGAGTGTCCAGTCAGAATTCGAACTTTGCCAGAGCTCCTGGAGAAAGATTGAGATGTTGGTATAGTGTTCAAATCGCGTGTTCGCCGATAACCTCTGGCAAATCCCACTAATGAACCCCATGCGGTTTTCGTCCCCTCGGCAAGAGGTTCCAGCGATAAACAGAGGCCATGCTAAGTTATGCAAAGCCTCGTTCATGTCCTCAAACTGGTCTAGCACTTTGAAAAGCTCATCCGTGTGAAGTACCATCTGTCGTTCCCCGTCGTTCTCGGAGGATGTACTCAGACGAGTCAACGCGTAGAGGATTCCAGCATGGTGGTACGCTTGGACGAGTCGAATAAAGTCCCTTCTGTGCAATGCGGTCAGCGTCTGTGTGAGCGTCCCTGCAGCCAATAAAGTCGAGCCGCTTGCAAGCTTGAATTCCGCTTCAAGATTTTCCACCTGTCGCGCATGCTTGGCACTATGGAAAGACGTTACGGTGATTTGGTGTAAGATCTTGAGGAAATCACCAAAAGGGACGTCCGGTTGTGATAGATGTGGCAAAATAGCGTGCTGAACGTGCTCGTAGTTGAACAATGTTGTGCAGCACAGAACATCGTAAATGGCCAACTGGTTTTTCAGAAAGATGGTGAGGTCATCATCAGGAGGTCGTTTCAGTGCCAGTGAATTCATCAGAATCCGGGCGGCTTGCCGGTGAGATTGTGCATGAGACAATTCAGACTTCACCAGCGAATGGTTTGAGAGGATGAGCATCGCGGCCAGAACGTTCGCAGTGACTCCTCCGTTGACGTCAATTTGTGGATCGTCCACATTGCGTTCTGTCATCTGACGCACTCGTTCGGTGATCATGAGAATCGCAGCTTCGCCCGTGGAATGGGAGAATCCAGGTGGCAGGGAGTCTTCATCTTGCATGTGTTCTGCGGAGATGGTAAGAAGTGCCAGACGGAGGATCACATCCTTCTCTGCCAGAGGAATGACCAAACGCTTATACTCATTCTTGTCCGAATCAAGCCAGACCATCAGTGGTGCAATGTTGGCGGCGTAGTATTCAAGTAGACGTTGTGCTGTGGAGGGTGGCAGCTGCTGAGCCAAGGCAAGACCGAACTGATAGTTTGGGGTACAGATTGCTTCATCATTGACTCTCTGTAGAGGTCGAGCATCCAGGTTCAGAGACTGAGTATTCTGTACATCAGGCGCGCCACGGCCTTTGAAACGACCACGGACAGCAATGGCATTCGTCCAACGGAATCTTGGTCCGTAGCCAGGGCATTCAACACCTTTTCGTGCACATTTCGTGCAGAATGGCAGGGTACGGTCGCAATGTATTCGCCTTCTGTTGCACACACGACAGTCTGATGAGGTTAGGCTCAGATAAAGCTCCAATGCCTCTAAGTCCTTTCGTACCTTTGGTTGCCAGTGTGTTTGATGGTGGGCTTGACTCTCCGGCCACCATCGTGGTGATTACGGCTCCATATTGCACTTGATCACACAGGGAGCCTTGGATGAGCTTCGAGTACCATTGGAAGGTCTATACGCTGGTCGATAAGGTATCCATGGCAGATTGGAAGGGTTCTCCTGTCTAGAACGAAAGCACGACATCGTGGATTGTGACAAGGCGACTGATAAGAACCGAAAGTGGAGCCTGGCACGTGCCTGGCAAAACAAAATGCCAAGGTATGGAAAGAAGCCCTTGGACGCCGAGACCACCTTGGCATCTGCACTCACGTAAGCAAGCGAGAAAATATCTGAGTATATATATCTCTTTGCAAATATGTCCTTCAACAATTGTCCTGTTGCGCAGTCAGTTGTATCAAACCATTCATTCGGAGAGATGGCCGAGTTGGTTATGGCGTCAGGTTAAGGCTTCAGTCTTGACACCACGTTTCCTGATGGGGCAACCCGCGTGGGTTCGAATCCCACTCTCTTCATTTTTGTTTTTTGGGGTCCTCAATCTACGACGATCGATGGACCTGTTTCAAGGGTCGAATTACTCTCTTCTTTGTTTGGTTGGACCTTTGTATTCTTTTTGGCTCCTGTAAGTAATTACAATGACTTCGAGCATCCTGTTGTCGAAGGAGTCCGTCACTTCTGTGCCTATCGAAATGGTTGTTTTCTTTGCTCTCCGAGGCTTCATTTAGCAACACCAAGCATCAAGTACAGTGTCTGAGGGTGCCTTGGGCTTCATTCAGTTCTGCAAGGCTTGCCGATGATGTTGTTAACAGACATACACGGCAGCGGGCCTGCCCCTAATCACTCTAACACTCTCATCGATCATCATGAAGCGACAGCTCTAGCAATGACCGCCAAAAACCTTTGCTTTCCTGCAGTAGTGGATGATACAGAATCCCAGATCTCTATCGACCTTGCGCTGAACCCTTGTTCGTGTTCGCCCAACTGAGGTGTAAGTCGCATCGGAAGGTCATGTCCCAGTAAGGATACTTTTTCCAGCCCTGACTGGAGCGACATGTTCACTGTCGCATGTTCCCAGCCGACGTTGCAACGTTGGCAATTCTTGAAGGGACTCCGCGATAACCAGTGGTGAGGAATGATTCGCTGAGCGCGAGATACGCCGCCCTTCAACAAGAAGCACCGATCTACGCACTTGTGGTTGACGGCGTCTCCTTTTCTTGCCCTCATCAGGCTTAGCTTGGACTCGACAGGGCGTGGACCCCATTTGCCGAACAAAGCACCGAGTGAATATGAACTCACGATCGCGCCATCTATTTGGTGGCCATCCATACTTACTCACAAGATCACGGCGTGCAAGATTGGGATATACTGTACCTCGTATGGGAAGATATCCAGCTCCTCTTGACGCTATCAGTGTTAACGGTCTTCTAGATTTAGCCTGACCTTCGGCAACGCCACAATCAAAGGGGTGATTTTATACCTGTGTGGGCGTTCCTACTGTACTTTTGGAGAGGCGCGGCATGGGCTCTATCAAGGACGCTCTGACTGGAGAATGCGCTTACAGCGTCTCCGGAGCCAATGGACTCGGACAGAGCAATCTTCCACTCCGAGACCTTGGTACACTGACAAGGACTCTGGCCCCAATCACAACAGCAGACCTGTTCAAAGCTGAATGCTATAGCAAGAGGCCAAAGTCGAGTATTGATGTCAGAAAGTTTCTCAGCCGCGAAGGGCGCGTCCGACAGCCATCGTCTCTGAAAGCCAGCGTGGCCGAGATGGGCGAAGACATGATCAGCTTGGGCACGGGCCGCCCATCGCCAGACACATATCCTTTCGAGAAGATGGAATTTGCATATTCACTGCCCGACGCTAGTGCCTGGAGTGGTCAGGCTATGAATGGAAATGGACCCCGAATCAAGCAAGAAACAGCGGTGGTATACAAGCAAGACGTGTCGGCTTCAATCGATCTATCAATTGCATTGTCCTACGGCTATTCGCTTGGGCACGAACAGCTCATTCAGTACCTTACCACTCACGTCTCCCATCTCCACAATCCACCCTATTCAGACTGGGAGATATGTCTTACGGGAGGAAACACATCGGCAATGGAGACTGCCTTTCGCAACTTTGCAGATCCCGGTGATTTTGTCCTGGTGGAAGAATACACGTATTCTGGGATGATAGAGGCGGCCACAGCATTGAACCTGATCCTGGTCCCTGTTGCCATGGACGAAGACGGTCTGTCTCCTCAATCCCTGGATAACATTCTGTCGACCTGGGACGAAGTCCATTTGGGAACGCGGGCACCGAGGCTGTTGTACACGATACCCACCGGACACAATCCCACAGGCATAACCCAGCCGCAGCATCGCCGGCAGGAGATTATGGTAGTTGCCGAGAAACACGACATTATGATTCTCGAAGACGACCCTTACTATTATCTGCACTTTCCACGAGGCCTTGGAGGGTCAGATACTGTCGCGCTGCCGTCCTACCTATCGCTCGACACCGCAGGACGTGTCATGAGACTCGACAGCACGTCCAAGATTCTCGCGCCAGGGTTGAGACTGGGTTGGCTGACAGCGCCAAAGGCCATTGTCGAGACATTCCAAGCCGCACATGACCTCGGTTTGGTCCATCCAAGCGGCCTCAGTCAGCTGGCTGTGTATAAGCTGTTGTCGGAGACATGGGGTCACGAGGGATTCCTGAATTGGCTCAAGGTTTTGGCGGGCAACTACCAGGAAAAAGCTACAGGGATGCTCCAAGCTTTGGGAATGGAACTTAGAAGGGGAGTATTGGCGGATATATGTTCTTGGGGCGACATCTCTGCGGGCATGTTCATCTGGTTGAAGGTTGACTGCAGCAAGCTGATAGACGTATCACGAACACAAATGGACGCCGAAGCAAGACACCAAGCACTGTTGGACATTGAGAACAGGATCTATGTGGAGGGCTTGAAGGAGGGGGTGCTCGTCTGCAAGGGCAGCCTTTTCCGAGCGCCCCTGTTGAAATCCACTGGTGTTGTCAATGGCAAGGGCCAGATGTCAAGTGAATATGAAAGGACTCTTGCGCAGGAGGAGGACGCTGTGTACTTCCGCCTGACCTTTGCATCTGCTGAGGAGGCAGCTCTTGCGAAAGCAGTTGGACGTCTTGGGACAGCACTCGGTAGGGTATTCACTGATGTCACCAGCAAAATAAGCCCAGAGACAGCCTCTCTCTGAGGGAGCGAGCATTATAATTTATCGACTTCTAATTTGTTACCGAGATTCTAGTGCCATCTGAACAGCTTCGCGTGCGCGGTACAAAAGTCCGCTACTGACATGCATCCACAGACACGGTAAACCCATGTGGGAGGACCATACAAGCGACAGAATGCCAAGTTAACCAACTTCGGGAGGAAGAAGTAAAGACGCAGGGCCAAGATATGCCGAAGCCTTTATCTTCGAGGGCTTGGGTTCGGCTGCTGATCTAGGCCCAGCACGACTGATAAGAAGTCTCCATTTATCAACCAGTTTTGGGCTGGACGGTGTTTCCTGGTTTCAAAGGTACGAATTCGCTCTGACCTATCGTATGGATTTACCTTGTCAGGAAGCTGGATCATTTTGGCCACGGTCTTAATCACGTCCGCAATCCTGCCCGTCTTACCATGGTCAATCGGCAGTAAGCATTGTTGGCCATGGTGTTCTATAAGATATTCTGGTGCCCCAGGGAGGGCCGATCCCATGTCTGTTACCACAGCTGAACATCCCCATCTCCCATGGCGTCCATCAAATCTTTACCCTCACAATCGATAGACAAGATGAGCGAGAAGCGTGGCTATGAGGTGCAAGAGGGCGAGGCGGCGGCGGTGATCGAAAACGTCGACTCCCTCAAGCGACGATTGTCAAACCGGCAGATGCAGCTCATAGCGATTGGTGGCTCGATTGGAACTGCGCTCTTCGTCAGCATCGGATATGGACTCATCGAAGGCGGCCCCGGCAGCCTGTTCATCGCCTTCACCCTGTACTCGTGCGTCCTCGGCCTCGTCAACAGCTGTATGGCCGAGATGGCCGTCTTCATGCCCGTCAGCGGCTCCTTCATTCGAATGGGATCTAAATGGGTCGACGAGGCCTTCGGGTTCATGGTTGGCTGGAACTTTTTCATCTACGAGGCTGTCTTGATCCCATGGGAGATTGCGGCGCTGAACTTGGTCCTGACCTACTGGTCCGACAACATCCCCAAGGTCGCCATTTGCCTTGGGTGTATTGTTCTCTACGGGTAAGCTGAGTCTTGCAGCTGGTCCTCCTCGATTGGTGCTAATATCCCAGATTGATCAATCTCTTTGCAGTCAAGTGGTACGGCGAGTCCGAGTTTTGGCTGTCGGGCGGCAAAGTAATCCTGGTCTTTATCGTCTTTGGCTTCACCTTTGTCACTATGGTATGCACAAGCCCTGGGTCTTAGATGCCGTCGCATTTGGATTAACAGAGTCTAGGTGGGAGGGAACCCGCAGCACGATGCATACGGATTTCGATACTGGAACAACCCTGGGGTGAGACATTCTCAACATCCACTACATCGGACTCTTACTTACCCATCGCAGGCTTTTGCAGAGTATGTCACAACTGGCGCCCTCGGCCGCTTCGAAGGGTTCCTGGGAGCCCTGTTCATGGCTGCATTCACCATTGTGGGCCCAGAGTATGTGGCCATGGTCAGCGGCGAGGCCATGTATCCACGGAAGCACCTCAAACAGGCCTTCAAGACAGTCTACTGGCGGTTCGGCATCTTCTTCATTGTCGGCGCTCTCTGCGTCGGCATCGTCGTTCCCTACAACGATCCGACTCTGAATGACGTTCTCAATGGAGGTTCCGCCGGCACCGCAGGCGCATCGGCCTATGTGATTGCGATGCAGAACATGGGCATCAGCGTGCTCCCGGACATCGTGAACGCTCTTCTCGTTACGAGTATCTTCTCGGCGGGAAACACCTACGTGTACGTTGTGTTCAAATTTCCGGTGACAGTTCCCAAGACTGATGACGCTCTTCTCTTCATAGGTACTGCGCTTCCAGGACGCTCTACGGTCTCTCGCTCGACGGGCATGCTCCGAAATTCTTGCAGAAATGCACAAAGGCCGGAGTGCCCATCTACTGCTTCTTGGTCACCATGCTATTTCCGCTCTTGTCGCTGCTCACGCTGGGCACGAGCAGTACGCAAGTCATTACCTGGTGTGCACCGTCCATACCCATGGTTTCAACGAGAAGCGGCTCTAACTTCAGACACCAGGTTGACCAATCTCACCGAGGCGTCTCAAATCATCGACTTTATCGTGATGGTAAAGAACCCCCTTGTGCATGCGTTTGATACTAGCCATATCGGATCAGCTAACAATCCGGATGTGGTGAACAGTGCATCATCTACCTCTTCTTCTACCGCGCGCTCAAGGCGCAGGGCTACGACCGCAACACCCTGCCATACAAGGGCTGGGGCCAACCATACGTGGCCTGGGCGGCCATGATCTTCATGATCTTCATCGTCGGCACGTACGGGTACACGACCTTCCTGCCCGGGTGGTGGGACGTCGGCGTCTTCTTCTCCTACTACACCATGTGCTTCGTCTGTCCGCTGCTGTACGTGGGGTGGAAGGTCGTCAAGAAGACCAAGATCGTCAGGCCCGAGGAGGCAGATCTCGTCTGGGAGCGTCCCGTGATTGACGCGTACGAGGCGAGCTTTGTCGACAAGCCGCTCGGCTTCTGGCAGGAGATTAGGCTGCATCTGCCCAAGCTGGGGAAGAAGGGGCGGGCAGCAGCTTGAAAATTGATATGGAGGGTTCGCCGTCGCTTCTCATGAGGAGCATCGTTCTCTGATCTCTACCTCTAACCAGATGGGGGCTACGTTAGTACATATGGTTCAAAATGGCAATATATGTGTGCAATATGCATTATACTGCGTATAGTTTGAATCCTAGGATCACAAGACTAAATAAATGCCCGAGTTTCTTGCTCAGAGTGTATATACACATGTGATACGCCAAGGTCCGTTCCCTTCCTCGAATGAACAGGAACGAGTTCATTCTCCTCCATTCCTAACAGTCTAAATGAAAAACCTTCGAGATAGACAGCTAGGAATCGAACAAAAAAAAATCGTATCAGAGTACCCTTTTATCGAGTGAGGTCTTACTATTCACTCGCTCCGCCCAAGGCAACTTTCCTCTCCTCCTGCAACAAATCCAGCAAAGGCCCCTCGAGCACATCCTCACGATCGAGAACAATCTCCACCATCCTCAACCCTCTCCCACTCGTCATCTCCTTCGACGCCAGCACCCGCTGCAAATCCCCCCAGTCGCGCACCGTAGCCGTAAAGACGTCGTCGTCCTCAGCCCCCAAGAAAGACGGCGCCTGTAGATACCGCCACGGGGCGACGTCATTGTAGCTCTTCCGCAACCCGTGGATGCAGCGCTCGATCGTGTACCCGTCGTTATTGAGGAGGAAGATGACCACGTCGAGCTTCTCGCGGATGATGGTACTCAGTTCCTGCACCGTCATTTGGAAGCTGCCGTCGCCGATGAACAGCACGGTGCGCGGGTGCGCCTGCTTGATGTGGCCGTTGGATCTGGAAGAGGCGGAGAGGAGAAGGTCCCTCTGCGCCAGGGCCGCGCCTTGCGCCGCGGGCAGCATGTACCCGATCGAGAGCCAGGTGACCGGCGCGAATGCCCTTGTGTCCTGTGGGAGGGACATCTCTTGCACACCGTAGCCGGCAGTGCCAGTCTCGCCGAGGACAATGTCCCCCGGGCGGATGGAGTTGGCGAGCACGCGCCACATTCGGTCCTGGGTGACTTTCTGTTTGCTGGTAAGTAGCGAATGGCACACCATCGGACGTTTCTCTGGCAATTCAGGCCCTGGTACCACGGGCAGCGTCGGGGCCAGGGCACTCAGCTCCTCACGCAGACGGGAAACGGCGGCCCTGGCCCGGACGTCGCGAAATATCTGATCGCCTATCCGAACCTCATTGTCTGTGTAGGTGACAGTGACGGCCTGTGGGGGGATGCTTGTCGAGTCGAAGGTGTTGGTAGTGCTGAAGTGGGGCCCAAAACATAACACGAGATCAGAGCTGTCCACGAATGCCTTTGCCTTGGGGTCATAGCTGCCCCGGTAGACTCCATGGACGTTGGGAACCGTCTCGTCCACAAGACCCTTTGCAAACACGGTGACCCAGGTAGGCCACCTTGTGAGTCGGACGATGTGCTGTACGTCCCCGGTGATTCCGAGGGCTCTGCTCTCCCCGTCAACCAGGATGGTCGGTCGCTTTGCCGTCTTGATCTTCTCCAGCACAAGCGACAGCACCGCGTCGTGGGCAGGTGTGATGGTGTTGTTCATCGAAGTGACAGCCGCAGATAGACACTGTGAGTATAATCTGTCCGCTCCGACAGGTGCATCCACCAAATCCACCGGCACCTGGATATAGACCGGCCTGCTATGTGAGAGACACTGTCTTAGCACCGCATCAATCTGCTCCGGCGCCGTGAGAGGATCCCAGAGACTCGCCTGCGCGACCGTAATCTGGGCGTGCATCTGAGCAAAACGGTCAAAATTCCCGTCCGCAAACGTGTGGTGGACCTTCAGACGGGAATCCTGGACAGATCTCTCGGGTGTGCCAACGACATGCACCACCGCTGAGCGTTCGCAGTATGCGCCAGCGATGGCGTTGATAGCAGAGAGCTCCCCGACGCCGAATGTGGTGATCAGTGCTCCGAGGCCGTTGATCCGCGCATATCCATCGACAGCGTATCCCGCGTTCAGCTCATTGCAGTTGCCCACCCAGTGCAGTCCCGACGGCTCGATGTGATCCAGGAGAGTCAAGTTGTAATCACCTGGGACACCGTGGATCGAGCGCACTCCAAGCTGATGAAGACGTGTGAACAGATACTCTGCGAGCTTAACCGTGGAAGAAGGCATTTCGGGTTCGGTTACGTCTCAGAGAACAGTCTGTTGCAAAAGTTTGGGATATTTTAGAGATTTACTGCAAGCCACCGCACATAAGGATGCAATGCCTTGACACAACTCCGCAAAAGAGGGTACAAGTAAGTCGGCATCTTTTGGAGGGGTAACAATTGTATCGCAAGAACTTGCTCAATCAAGAACAGAGATGAATAGACGGGTTTGCACTGGCTCCGGTGGCTCCATAGGACCAAGGCGACACACCACACATTACATTATAGAATTATCTGGGGCTCTGTCTACACCATGTGGAAGGATTCGCTCAACGTGCCATCGAGATTACTCTGCGTTGTGGCAAACATCCCCGTCAGTCTGAGCGTCTCCACATTTAACCCGTATTGGGTTTAGCTCTCCATTCTATGCCCATTTCTGGTCATTTTCCCCACGCCCTAGTCCGGAATAGGAAGACAATGTCAAGTTTTCATGCCCTCCAGAATTCTAGAACGAATCCCACGAGCCCACCTCGTTGGGACAGACACATGGCCTCAATTACAAATTGATACGCACACAGTGATCTCTTCTAGATCTTCCCTCTTTCCAGGAACGCTGTCGGGATCTCAACATGCTTGGCCCGCAGATACTCGGCGACGTTCTTGCCGAGAATGTCGTATGTGCTGCTACTCGCGACGCCACGGTCCAGGTGATCCAGCAACAGGAAATGAACAGCCCAGATATTTGGCAGCTCGAACCTCTCGACTAGTCCGCCCTTGTAATCTTCCCCGAGAAGCTCCTTGACCCTGGCGATGGTCAGCGTCGACCTGAGCCACTCGTACTCGTCCGCGTGGCGGACGTAGAAGCCGACATTGCAATTGGACGACTTGTCTCCAGACCGGGCATGCACGATATATCCCAGCGGAGCCGTGGTCGTGGGACCCCAGGACGTCAATGGGCGTGGATTTTCAGGATCATACGAAGGCTGGTGACGTGGGTAGGTTTGGGTTTTGGTCGGGGTGGGAATGTCGATCGTCTTGTCTGGCAAGTGGAGCTGGTGGGAGACGACTCCCTGAGGGATCAATGCCACCCAGAATTCCTGAACAACAGAAGTCTCAGTCAGTCGGGTGATTCTTTCATCACATACACATTTCACAAAGGGATATCCTCACATAATACACCTTCGGCGTGCCTTGGCGCATATCCAGGCTGAACTGCGCGCCAGGGTACGTCTGCATCACCGTGTCCACGACGGGCTGCAAGAAGACCGAAGTCGCCAGATCGTCGGCGTTCCGGGCTTGGGCAAAGACTCGGAGGTCGCACGTGGCGGACTCTTGACTTCGTGGGTTGTCAGGGCTCCTCCCATTCAGAGATACCCTGAAACAATGGTATTTGTCGATTGGAAGGACGTCTCGGATCTGCGTCTCGAACATGGCTGCTTTCTCCTCAACGTCTAGACCGACCACATAGAAGTGAGTCTCGGCCTGGTAGCCGCCAATTGCAGTGACGCCGACCTTGGTCGTGGGTGGTGGCGGGAGGCCTTTGACGCCCGAGACCCTGACACGGTTTGGACCGAGCTGCTCCATGCTGATATTCGAGAGCTCGGCGACAACATCCTAAAGGAAGGCCGTCAGCCCACATGCCCAAGTGCAGATACTGCAGGGCTCAAAGCTAAGACTTACCGAGTTGAAATACCACGGGCCCTGGATCTCATACAGAAGCTGGCTCTTGCAGGTTTCGATCGACACAACGCCGTTGGACCCCTGCTCCTTGGAAATGATGCACGTTCCATCCTGTGCAAGCTCTGCAATCGGGTAGCCCAGGTTGAGAATGCTTTTGCCAGTTCCGAGCGACTTGAATCCCGACCAGTTTGCTCCGCAGACGTATGCGCCGCATTCGATCAGATGGCCACAGACCAGGGCCCCGGCGAGTTCATCCAGCTGGTTCTCATCCCAGCCGTGCCACCAGATGCCAGCGGCAATGACGGGAGCTGGATCAGAGACTCGACCGGTAAGGACGATATCAGCGCCCTCGGCCCAAGCCTTTGCAATGCCACGTCCACCGAGGTAGCATTGGGCATAGATTGGGTCAAACTCCCAAGTCGAAAAGTCCTTGTCCGTGGTAAGTCTTTGCAACTTGTCTCCCTTTGTATGAAGGGCCTTGAGGTCCTCGATTGGGATTTCGTCCCCAGACACCCACGCGACTTTCAGGTTCAAACCCTTACTCGCGATCATTTCTCTGACATGTTTGGTGAGGAGTTCCGTACCAGAGGCCCCCGCGTTGGCTGCGAGCTTGATCTTTTTGGCCGCTAAGTGCTCCAGGGCCGGTTCCAGTGATTGAAGGAAAACCGATTCGTAGCCCAGTGCTGCCGGGTCTTGTAACTTCTCCGCGCCCCGAGTGGTCATGTTGTACTCGCTCATCCAGTCGCCGAAGATGACGTCGACGTCTTCGTTCTGAGCCATGCGTGCCAGAACTCCATGGTGGTCTGTGATGCCCCCTTCGCAACCTCCGATCCGCACAGCACGATTCTGGATGGACGGCATTGTGTGCTAAGAGGTGAATTGAAGAGATGATGCTGTTTTGGATCTTGAGAAAAGGAGATGAAAGGAAGGGGTGTCTCGTAATACACGTCACAACCTTTTTATATGCTACCTCACAAACTTCGAATGACAATGGTCCTATATGATGCGGCAAACCGGCCTGGAGGATTGTGAACCGAGAATTCAGCACCAACGGCACGAACCTGGTCTTATGTCTTCCAGAGACTTCCCCGCTGTAGGAATCTTGCGGTATATCATCTCCCTGTCCGTGAACCTTGCGTGGCAAGAAGTCGAGAGCTCGGAGGTCGCGATCTCCGAGCTTGGGAGCATCCACCCCAGCTGGCAAGAGTCTGTCCAATCAACTTGATTGATAGACACCTACTAGCAGATAGAGAGGAGGGACGCGTAGTGGGGGAGAACCTGGAGTATTACGAGTACTTCTGTGCATGGTAGCAGAAGTATATAAAAAGATGTGGGACCAGTGGGGATTTTACGGGTCGGTAATCCCCCGCACAAGCAGCCGAGGGTGTCAACATCAGTTCTTCTGGGACTCAGGACCGCTGTGAATCTCATTTCAGAACAGGTGCGGTCTTGGTGGTGTATCATAAGATCTGGAGCGTTCATGTTCGTGGAAAGATCCTGGCCCGACCTAGACTTGTCTGATAGCCTCCTTGAACAGTGTGGCAGATCAAGTGAATAGAGTAAGGTTCCTATGTTGGACCCAGCGTATCCTGGAGAACAAAGCAGCCTTGGGGCTATAAGAAGACAATACAGCCTGTCGCTCCTTCGACATTGCGAGAGTTGAACAGTTCATATCAGAATGAGCTGTACTTTTTTCAATTGGTTATGGGCATTACACGAACTTATATAACGACATCCAGTATGATATTTTCGTCTAACTCTTGAAGCAGATCAATAGCTCGTATTCTGGACCCATAGGCTCATGACAATAGTAGGATATTAGGAGTGCAAAGTAGAGATGTGAGATATAGACTATAGACGCTCATCTATCCTTCATAGCCATCAAGGAGACTGAGGTAGCTCCATCTCCCGCTTAATGCTTGCGGTCCAAACCTCCAACCCTGCGGCTTTCCAGGCATCAATTCTCCATGTTTGTGGATAATGCCAGTGGGGAAGGAGAATGAATACCGAGTCTGGGGAGTGGCAGAGCCGGGTGGAAAGCCAAAGGTCACCACATACACCTCTGAACAACTTGGAGAACCGAAGATGGCAAAGCATATCTCCGCTTTCATCGAGGGCCCTTCCCAATGAATATCCTTTTCTCAGTCGAATAATTTCGTCCGTCATTTTGTTCACGAAACCAACACAGTCTGTTGACATCTTCCACACTTGACCATGATTGTCAAAGAATCAAGATGGGACCAGCGAGGCAAGCGTCCGGCCAGAATCGCCAACGTGTCAGGCGCCAGAAGTTCGTGTTCCGAAAATATTCATATCACCCTGGCACCGAGGCTAACGTTCTTCAGCCGACCCCGGGTACCATATGCGTCGACAAGCAGAATGGGGTGACGTTGATTTCTTGACAGGCGACTATCTCGCGGGTAAGTGCTGAGCCCATGTTGTGAGATTCCGGCATTGTCAAGACTAGCACTGATGGATTCGCGCATGAATGCGGAAACAGAGATCAATCTCCCAGAAAACAAAAAGGGAATGGATGCCGGCCTGCATGACGGCTGGGAACCGACCTGCTGGGACGGCTTCATGCAAACCATTGATCTGATCGCTCAGAAGGAGCTGAAGGTCATTGTCAACGGAGGAGCTCTAAACCCTGGAGGCCTCGCAGCCAAAGTCCAGCAACTGGTAAGACTTTCCTACGTCCATGATGGCCTTCTTTTCTCCGAGACCATAGGAGCTCTCTCTGACCAAGACTAGGTCAACGAAAAAGGCTACTCCCTCAAAGTCGCCTACCTGTCCGGCGACGATCTGACCGAGGAAACAAAGGACCAAATCGCCCGCACGGGTCAAATCCCCGCTCATCTGGATTCTAACAATCCCGACGTCAAGGTCGAAAAGCTAGCTGTTGCCCTCCAGGACTACCAATCCAGACCCGTGATCACTTCGCACGCGTATCTTGGGGCGAGGGGGATTGTTGGGGCACTAGACGGCGGCGCGGATATCGTCATTGCCGGCCGAGTCGCCGACGCTTCTCCAGTGATTGCTGCCGCCTGGTACTGGCATCAATGGAAGCCGACAGACTACGACCAACTCGCGAGCGCCCTCATCGCGGGCCACTTGATCGAATGCTCGGCATACACGACAGGCGCCAATTTCGCCGGATTCGACCAGTTCGACTTGGACCTGTTGGTAGACCTTCCCTTCGGCATCGCCGAGGTGGCCAAAGACGGAACTGCGGTCATCACCAAGCATGAAAACACCGAAAAGGGCGTCGTCAACGCAGACACCATCAAATGCCAGTTCCTCTACGAGATCCAGGGCGCCATCTACCTGAACAGCGATGTTTCGGCCGACACGACCAACATCGTCATCAGGGACGTGGGCAAGAACCGTGTCGAAATGTCGGGTATCAAGGGCTACCCGCCGCCTCCGACGACGAAGCTCGCTGTCTTCTACGACGCAGGGTATCAATGCCAGCTTTTGGCCAACGCGGCTGGATACGCGACGGACAAGAAGTGGCAGTTGTTCGAGAAGCAGATGCGGTTTTTCCTCAACGAGAAGGGTGTGTTGGATCAGTTTGACCACCTCGAATTCCAGATGTGAGTGGGCTTCATTCCTGTCTTCGAGGCTCTTCGAACCTCTCCTGGGTGCCGAGTTTGTTTCTTCCAATCCTCGACGCTAACCATTCAACACCCTCTGCTAGTGTGGGCGTTCCGGAACACAATCCGCGAAGCCAACTCCGCAGCACGACGTATTGTCGTGTCTTTGCACAGGCTCCGACAGAGGAGCCAGTAGCCCAAATATTCTCTGCCTGGGCAGATCATGTAATGCAGCATTTTCATGGCAAGTATTCCCCCAAACCCCTCGGGATAGACCCTCTTTCCAACCATCATCATTGTCCGATCCATTCTGATATCAAATCCAGGACTACACTGGTCGCTCGACTACCGCACGGCGCACCCCAAGCCGTATATCTCCTTCTACCCGGGCCTCTACGACCAGACCGCTCTCAAAGAAGCCGCGCACATTCTCGGCCCCGACGGCAAAGTCACCCAGACCATCCCCGCGAAGCTCCCCGCCGAGTTCTACCACCTCGAGCGCCGGATCAACTTCGACGCCACGCCATACACCCCGCGGAACCCGGCCGGTCCCACGCGCACCGTCATGCTGGGCGACATCGCCTACGGCCGCTCCGGCGACAAGGGCGCCAACTGCAACTTCGGCATCTACCCGCGCAACCCGGCGCACTGGGACTGGTTCCGCGGGTACATGTCGCGGGCGAAGCTGCAGGAGCTGATCGGCGACGACTGGCGCGACTCGTACTTTATCGAGCGGATGGAATTTCCCGAGATCAAGGCCGTGCATTTTGTCGTCTACGGCATCCTCGGGCGGGGCGTGTTGGCCAGCACCTTGCTCGATTCCCTGGGGAAAGCGTTTGCCGACTATATCCGGGCGAAAACGGTGGATGTCCCTGTGGAGATTTTGGAGCTGTAGAAGAAAAGGGCGGAAAAAAGAAAAAAAAAAAGAAGCATTCTGGCTGATCTATTAGGGTTTTGCCATGGTCAGAGAGTGTCTGATCTATCTGTCTCGCTGGCTGGCTGTTTAGTCACGTCTCGTTGCGAGGTAATGCCTCCAGTAACAGGTCCAGGCTCTTGATCTTGGTCCAAGAGTTCAGCCATTGAAGCCATCCACTCTGCAATATCTCCTCTTCCGTGGAGGAACCTTTTCTTTGTTTTTAGGGTTACCCTCTTTTGCCCCTTAATCGTATCCTTCGTTTTGAGAAGACCGTTCGAAAGCATACGGACTCAGACCCCTGAGCGTTCTGTCCCAGCGCAACCTGTTATTGATGCCTGATCCTCTCCTTCAGCGACTGTACAGACGTGAGAACTACCAACTACCACAGACTGAGTGAGCATCACGGCGTAACTCAGCCTTGTACGCGAGCCTTGTGTGGGGTTAAATCAACTGGTTCTGACATGCTTTGAACGCCCAATGCCACCGTGTGTGATAGTATTGGGATCGAGATCGAGATGAGGACCTTTCTCTCGGGCGTCCGGGATATTTCGGAGAGTTGAGACTCCGGCGGTGTTGTAAAAGCGTGCAGGCTCGGAGATCAATCACCGAGTGGGACGGACCGGACTCGGAAGCGGATGGTGGAAGGTGGAAAGGGAGGGAGGGGATGCTCAAAGGGGCGGAAGAGGGTGTGGATTGGCTAAAAGGGTGTCCAGTGGCAGTGAGATAGTCAAGTGGCCCAAGAACTCCAAAATCCGAACACGCTGCGCACAAAGCCCCAGTAGACTTCTAAATACCCTTTTCCATGGTAGCCTGTCAGGTACAAATTGTCATTCCTCTGTTCCTCCTTGCCTTCGAGAAGTCCGTGCGAGCGCGAAAAGCATCCCTGACCAGTGATCACAAAGGTGATGGTTCAGTTGAGGGACAAAAATAACGGATGAGGAAGTAACGGGTCTTTGGTCACACATCCAACCCTCCTGTTCGCTCAACATCATCTTTGGGATCAAATTTCAGCATCAACCCTCGACGCTGTCACATTACGGCCGCTAAGCACCCAGTCCGAGACCGATCAGAGCAAGATATCCAATCAACTAGTCACACAGTATATAGATACCCCTTTGGAGCCCTGATATTTCTCTTTAAGAAGGACGCGTCCAGGGTTCCCGTCTCGACTTTGTCGAGGTGTAATGTCTCAGGAAGAGGAGGTACGGCCGCGGTCCAGCTTGGAGCTTCTTCACGGTTGAAATTGGTGTGTCTGTGCTCGGATTCATCCATCGATTTATCCCGCCGAAGTCCAAGTTCCAGACGCCAGTTGAACGCGTCAACCAGAGCCTCGACCATACTCGCAAGGATGGCATAGGTGATCGGATCTGGCTCTTTTGGATCCGGCATTTGGCAGAGTCGCCAGGAATGTTCGTTGTGGAAGAAAAAGTAATCGCACTCGTATCCCATCATGATCAGCTCAGCCGAGCAGAGATCTTCATAGAGACGATAGAGTGAGCGTAGCGGTGTGTCTCGCATTCGGAAGAGGGGGATGCGGCGGAGTTGCATGATGCCTGGCTGCTGTGAATCTTGTAGCATTCCCCCATCTCGCTCGAGCTCTGCCACAGTGGGTCGAGCTTCTAATCGAAAGTGCCATGGGAGCGGCCATAATAGACGCAGCAAGAGTCTCCATGGCCTACGACAGGTCGACAAGCGGCCGATGGAGGTGCGTACTTGGAGCGGAGATTTGCTGATGGTGAGAATACGTGGAACCATTATGCTGGGCTCAGGATCGAAAGATGCGATAAAAGAGGGTGGAGAAGGTTTGGGAAGTAGAGACTTGATTGCCCCTGTGAGTTGAGATGTCGGTCAAATATTCAGAGTGTTTGTAAGCTTTGGTGACACTGTGTAACAACTGACAGCGCGGTCGTGGAACAAAGGACGCCTGTGTGCCAAGGCGCTAAGTCGCTTGGGAGCGTTGATTCGTTAGGCTCTGACGCCAAGTAGCAGGTGTTGGTCAGGCTGGCTTTGATCAGGTGCGTCATGAAAGCCCTACAGCGGTTGCAGCCTATCATATTGAAGGTATGGCATGTTGAAGCGTTTGTTCTTGAATAGATTGATGAATGAACTGTATGTACCGAGTAGCTTGAACGGACGAGAAGCTAGAAGCTCCTTGGTGGGTGCTAAGCTTTGGCCCCCGCGACTTCCGCGACAAAGTTAACGACTCAAGCGGACTCTGCCGAGATCCCACGACGCGCTAGGCTCTTTCGAGAGAGATTCGAATGGCTACTGAACAACCCTTCAGATTTACAGCGGATGACTTTGCTGAAGGTTAGATCACTATTGATTATGTTCTACACATCGATTGATTAAACTCGTCTGACAAGCTCTCAGCGCTTGCTGACCTGGACGGAGAGATTGGGAAGTCCAGAAACTTGGGAAAGATTGTCCCTGTCAGGCTGCTCAGCGCAGGAGGCTTTGTTGCGGTCAGCCACCTGGGGAACCGTTCCGCTACCGAAGATATCGACTATATCATCGATCCAAATATCGAAAATTTAGGAAAGATCAAGGAGAAGCTCCAAAAAGCAATCCGTACCGTTGCCGACAAGAGAAAAATCAGCGAAGAATGGATCAACGCGCACATGGAGGTCTTTGCGGTGGGCGGAACTAAGATGAGACTTTTTCAGGAATCGAATCGATTGAACAGCAAGTGATTCTCTGGCATGGGAAGAATTTGGTCATCTACGCAGTTAAGTGGGAGTGGTCGCTCGCACGGAAATTGAAACGAATAGGATCTGAACGAAGAGAGATCGATATCAACGATGCAGTTGCAATACTGAAAATAATGATGGACCAGAAAGGGGGTCCTCTGGAGCGGGAGATGATGAAGGGTTGGAATACGATCGTACACACCTCGATCGAGGATTCTGTGCTGGACATAGTCGCTGCCGGTTTCTCAGCCAAGTAGGGAGTTCCAGGTATAGTTTGAAAAGTGTGTGGTACGCTAATCAATATCCCATCCTATCGACAATTTAACCTCGTATTCACGGGCAGATGGACCTCGAGTGAAGCAGCAATCCCAGGTACTTTTCGATCAGGCAAGGCAGGGCAAACACAAACACTCTCACATACATTCACGCACACACATCTACATACCGCACCCCCACTGCCTCTGTGTCTTATCATGTACAAACACAAACACAAACACACAATTCCCTGACTTTCTTTTTTCACTTTGTTGTTTTCCTTTCATTAGAGATACCCGGAAACAAAACCACGCCCCTAGCCATCTTTCTCACTTCCAAGAACATTTCAAGAACGCCGCAATGGACTCCACCGACGAGGAAAACAAGGACGTACCGCCGCCACCACCATCCTCACCGGCGACACCAAAGGCCGTCGACAAAAACCCTCCTGCACAAGAAACTGTGGACGGTAACCACGAAGACGACCACGACCAGCACAAGACCAATACGAAGAAGCAAATCCTCTGCCGCGTCGTCCTGAACAAGAGATACGCTGTCGACCCGTTCACCTTCCCCGCCGCAGACGCCACGACCGTCGAAGCGCTGCTCAACAAGGCGTGGCCGGTCGTCACGACGGCAGTCTCGCGCTACAGACTCAAGCTCAAACCCTTCACGACCATGTTCCTCAACCTGCAGGAATCCTGTGCCGAGAAGCCCTACAGCGAGTACCTGTGGACGACGGTCAACACCGAGCGAGATCCCCCGGAACAGTATGCGGAGTGGTATGTGCGTAATGTGGTGAATGGCAAGGGTGACGAAGAGAAGAAAGTCATGGTTGAAATCCACGTGCTGGCAAAGGGCAAGGCAGGGGATAAAAACCACGCCATCTTCGAGGGTGAGATGAGAGAGGGCGGCAAGGGTGGCGAGGGGCCCAGGAGTGTCATGGCGCCGTACATCCGGCTGAGACACTCGGTTTAGTCACTTAACCAAACCAAGAGGTTGACAAGACACGACACGACACGACGAAGAATGCGTCAAAGTATGTCCCAGTTCAGCATAGGCTCGCTACTCTTGGAAGCAGAAAGCTTGGAGGTTCCGTTTTGAACAGGCACAGGGTTATCTCAGGGACAAACTCGCGGGAGTCACACACATCAAGGGCATTCACTCATGTCGATTTCCTTCCTCAGCTTGGACGAGTGTGTGTGTCTGGATCAAGAGATGATGCATCGTCTATGAAAGAGTGCTGGTGGAGGTCAGATGAAGTAGTACCTTGCTGCTAGATAGCATGCAAACCTTCCATGTCAACAGATGATGTCAGGTCGTCAACATAGCTAGTAGGCTTAGCCAGCAAGCCCTTTACTTCCCGACCGTTTCTATTTCTTCTTCAGCAGACTCTCGTCGACATTGACCTCTACCGTCCTAGAACCCTCAGTCTTCTGCGCAATCCGCACAACAACATTCTCCAACCGCCACTCCATACCCGGGTACGCATCGCTCATCACGAGAATATCGACTTTCATTTCCCCCTGCCCACTTCTCAAGTTAAATTCCGGCGCTGGGATCTTGAGCTTGACGTTTGCAGTTCCTACCACCCTGCTTTGAGTTCCCTGTTTGGTGGTAGACCAATTCGCCCTTTTCAACGCCAAGATATCCATTCCTTGGGTGGTTGTCGCTGATCCAGGAGGCAGCACAAGTACAAAGTAGCCCTCTGTCTGTGGTTTGGGGAATTTCGGGGCATATATTCTGCCTTCATGGTCCAGTAGCCGATTGCTGCGTTTCATAGTGAGTTGCAAATTGTCCGTGTCGCCCGTAGCAGACAAAGTAAGGGCAGGAAGCGCATTCACAGCTTTGATGAATGCCGTTCGTGTATTGTGGCCTTTTATTCCGAACATGTTCATCAACCCTTCAATCGTCTTCGCTCCATGCTTTGTGGACAGCACAGCCGTCGTGACCAAATCCTTGGGAACTTTGCCCTCGAGCTTTTCGTCAAACACCTCATCCACACCGGGCAATATGCTCAGTGGATAGTCCTCCGGCCATCGAGCAGACTTGATACATTGCAGTAGTCTCACCATTTGCACCACAGCATCAAACCGGTTGAGCTCCGTCATGACGTCGATTCCGGCTTGGATGATACGAATGCCTTGGTCCAATACCGAAATTTGGTCACCGACATAATCGGAAATAGGGAGGTCGATACGGGCCATGAACGCCTGGATGAGAAGGAATGCTTTGACATGAGGATCCCACATCGGCAGATTCTCCATCAGGCCTTCGGTATCCAGAGGCAAGTTCTTGGCCAGCTCCGCATTGATAAGGTCTTCATTATGCCGTACAGGAAGATCATCAAATTCAGTTGCCAGGCTAATCCAAGCCAGAGCATCTGCGAAGGTTGTAGAGGTGGTCTTGCGGGCTTTTGACAAGAACTTGCGGATCGTCAAGTGGCTGAGATAGTAATACGACATGATTTTGCCAAATGGAGTGCTATCCACGTCTCCGTTGTTGTGTACCAGAACACAGTCGCTTTCTGCGAGGTCGTCGAGTGACTTGTCTACCAATGTGATCATGTAATCTGCCGCAGCTTGTCTTGCGGCAAGCTGATTCTCCTTGTGCTCTTCTGCTGAGATCTCAAGACCGTAGTATGTTGGGTTCTTATGAAGGCGGCGAAAGAAAAAAGTCCAGGTCAAGTAATCGAGGGCGTCTTGCTTGGTTGTTATGACTCCAGCGGAGACCTCGGCGCCCAGATGGTTGTCAAGGACTTTATGCAACGAGCTCTCCACGGGGAATCCAGTATGTAGGAAATGCTTGTAAAAGGCCTTCTTTGAGTCCTGGGTAAAGATCCGAGCGATACCTGAAGTGTCAAACTGTGGTCGTCCTGCTCGGCCCAGCATCTGAAGCACGTCGGTCAAGTCCATATCTTTGTATCCTTCGATCTTGGCATCGAAGAATTGTGTTCCCTTGACAACAACGAGGTGAGCAGGCAAGTTGACACCCCACGCAAGTGTTGAAGTCGCGACGAGGATCTGGATCTTGTTCGCAGCAAAAAGTTGCTCAGAAAGCGTTCGGTCGGACTCGACCAGCCCAGCATGATGCAGTCCGATCCCAAAGCTCAATGCTTCTTTGAGCGCAGCATCCTTGACAGCAGAGAGGGTATGCTGAAGATCATCTTCATTGTCAAAATGCAGGAATCTTCTTGGATTCTCTTCCATGCCACAGAAATTAATGAGATCTTTGGCCGTGAGACGAGTTTGTCTTCTCGATGCCACAAAGACAATGACCGGCTTGTCAGGGCTGTGGTTTTTAATGGCCAGGTAGGTTGGCCGGTTCATGCTCTGCATCAACGGACAGAATCCCCTCTGCTCAGGAAACCCGTCAATATATATCTCGAGTGGGACAGGACGAACACTGTGGCGAAAGTTGAAGAGCCCTTGGTTGTTTCCGGGTTTAACCCCAAGCCAGTTCCCAAGGTCGGTGGCATTTGCGCATGCGGTTGACATCCCCACCAAACGGATAGATCCGCTGTCTGCTTGCGATGCAATGTAGTTCATTCTTGACACGATGATCTCGAGGATTGGTCCGCGGTCACCGCCCAGCAAATGTATCTCATCGATGATGACAAGAGAAACTTGCCGGACATAAGACCTGGTCTGCCATGATCGCGATATACCGTCCCACTTCTCCGGGGTGGTGATGATAATATCTGCATCGCGAATGGTCCGGGTATCTGGTGTATTGTCGCCAGTCAACTCTACCAGTTTCAAGCCCAGTGGAACCGTGAGCCGCTTGCGCCAGTCTTGCACTCTCTCTCGAACAAGCGCCTTCATAGGTGCAATGTACACGACTTTACTCCCCGGTCTCTCACGGAAAGCCCACCACATGGCTAGCTCTGCGGCAACAGTCTTCCCGGAACCAGTTGGCGAGCCTAAGAGGACGTTGTTCGAAGTATGATATAAGGTATGGAAAATCTGAGTCTGCATCGGATTGAAAAACTGGAAGCGTTGTCCATAGAGCTCTTCTAGTGCTGGATTCTTCAGGGCGGTGATCGGAAGCGGCTGCAGATCTAGAAGATCGGTATACACACTCTCAGTGTCTGGTCGTATCAAATGTTGGAAAGAGACTGGATGCACAGTCTCTGCTCCCAGCCAACGATCCGATATGACTCTGACATATATCTGAGAAGGCAAAGGATCGGCTAGCGGGATGGTAAAGTTGAGTTCATGATTATCGTGCATCTTCTTCCGGCTCAGGATGAAATACTCGTGATGGTAAATTTCTGACGTCTCTGAATTTTCAACCCAGACCCAGTATGCCTCAGAGGTGCCGTGGTGGCGGTCATTCCAGACAAACTCTGGGTACAGGTATAACCTCATACGGAGCACATCTCTGTTGAGAGGTGCAGTTTCTGCCTCGACAGATATGGTAGGAAAATTGTCCAGCAACTTCGTCAGGGTATTACCCATTTTTTGATTGTGCACAAGACTTCCAATTTCAGCCGGCTCCATTTCTCGCAGGCTTTCAATATTCGATGAGGGGGCTTTGTCGTCCAAATTCTTCAAAACCGGTACCGGGAGATCAAATTGATGAAATGGATGTTGGAAAGGCCAGATTTGCTTCTCGATGGCCTTGCACATAGATAGCAGCACCTGGCACTGATAACCCCAGCCACGATTCAACGCAATCATGAACAAAGCTCGACAAATCCTGGCCGAGTTCTGTGCCACGTACGCCAGGTCTGATACTAGGGCAAAATCTTCAAGTTTCGCCCTCGATATGTACGATTGGAGCAGGATATTTGTCTTCGCGTGATTTTCAATGACTTTCTGCTCTTTCTCATCTTCGGAGCCCTTGGATGCAATCTTTCGATCTTGGATCTCACATATGACGGCTTCCTGGCGAAGTCGATGGAGCTCTTGCGCTTCATTGTCTCGAGATTGAATGTTATCAAACTCGCCGCTCATGCTGATCATTTTCAGAACATCCGCCTCGCTTGCATGTGGCCGCATCATGGTATTGAATATTTCAATACTGCTTTGGAGGACATAGTATTGGCTAGCAATCCGGCCAACATCTTTCGCCCGGAGTTCGTCCGTCCGTTCATTGAAGATGATCATTTGACTTCGATGCAGCGTTCTAGCAGCATCTATGATGAGCTTGCGCCGCCTCTGGCCCAGTTGAGGATCATCTTGGTGCTCGATCCAGTCTATACCGTAGGCTTGGGGGTTCCGCCGCATGCGAATGAATAAATAGGTGTAACCCAGCCACGTCACTGCCTCTTGGACAGTAGTCACTGTGCCCAGACTGATCTCGGCGTTGAGGTTATCAACCAGCTTCTGCGAGAACTTGGACTCAATCGGTTGTTGCTGAGTGACGGCCGAGAGATAATGCTGTAACTTGTCCTGGGTGGTACAAATGTATCCGACACCACTGTCTTGAAACTGGGGCCGACCAGCACGTCCAAAAATCTGAAGGACGTCTAATATCCCAAGATCCACAAACTTACCAGCTTCAGCACTATAAAGCTGGGTTCCTTTGATGATGACAGCCGCAGCGGGCAAGTTGACACCCCATGCAAGGGTTGCTGTACAGCAAAGTACTTTGATGGCACCGTCGGAGAAGACTCGTTCAACAAAATTCCTGTCTGATCGCGGCATGCCAGCATTGTGGCATCCGAACCCCTTGGGCACAATTTCTCGCAGTTCTCGGCCTCTGGTGGTTTTCAAATCTGCCATTGCTCTAACATAAGCGGGATTGTCGGCATCCGGGGCAAATAACTCCGCACATCCATCGTCGACAGCCATCTGATAAAGAGTGCGAGCAGCCAAGACTGTGTCTTTTCTGGAATGAACAAAGACCATGACTTGCTTGTCCTGTTTCAAAAGCTCCTTAACCTTCACGAAGGTGGTGTGGTCCAGGTTCTCGCGCTGAATCTTGCTTCCCTTACCTTTGACACCAATGAAGTGCTGCTCGAGGGGAACTGGGCGGAAAGAGGCGTCAAAGTAGAAGAGGCCAGAATTTCGATTGACTTTCAGAAAGTCTGAAACATCGATATAATTTGGAAGAGTGGCAGATAGTCCAACAATACGAATCAGTGACTGCGTACTTTCCACTTGGCGCTCTGTCCTAGCCACCAAGGACTCGATGACAGCACCTCGCTCGTCGTGAAGCATGTGGACTTCGTCGATGATGAGAAGCCGGACCTTTTGCACCAGTTCTGTGTCTCCCGTGCTTTTCCGAGTAACCACGTCCCATTTCTCTGGTGTGGTTACGATGATTTGAGTGGCAGCAATCTCCTTCTTGGTCAATTGCATGTCACCAGTCAGCTCTCGCACTTGGATGCCCAGCCAGGCCAGTCGCTTGCCCAGCTTCTCTGTCACCTCGGCAGCTAGAGCTTTCATTGGCGCAACGTAGACGATCTTGAAATCGTCTGCCATTACTATGAATTCTGTGGCGTTGGGCTCTTCAATTGGATTGGGAATGATATTCTTCGAAATCGTTTGCAGGATTGTGAGCATAGCAGCATCGGTCTTACCAGCACCAGTAGGGGCGCAAATCAGCATGTTCTCGGCGGTTGTGTATGCCACTGGGTAAAGGAGACTCTGCATTCGATTCAGGCTCTTATAGCCCTTGAAGGTACGTTGACAAAGACCATCCATCTCGGAGATGTTGACCAGTTTCTGTCCTGCGGCAAGAGAGCCTACCTTTGAAGCCGGGATTGAATACTCCTCATACTTTGGATGGTCATGGCGGGTACTGCCAACAGGGAGGGCATATCTTTTGCCAGCTACATCCAACATATTACCCGTGGCGGCGACATCAGACTTGAAGACATGCGGATACTTGGGTCCAGATCTGTCAAAGGCCGGAGCTAAAGCAGCATGTTTGTGGTCATAGTCTTGTCGTCTGAGTGTCGCTTCCCGCTCTTCACGAGTCTCCAGCGTCCCAAAAAGCCCATCGGTTTGCCGACTGGTTGCACTTTGGGCATTTAGAACTTCTTTGCGATGAGAGATGAGTTCAATAACAAAGTCAAGATCGTCAAATCCAATGATATCTGCGAGTGACATCTGCAATTCCTCGTCCGAACTGTCTGATGCCAACAGAGCAGTGATTTGATGTTCGATCTCGGTGGGATCGATGCCGGAGCTTGATGTGCGAGCCCAGGCAGCACATTTGGAACGCAGCCATGTCTTGTCAAAAACACCATTCGTGGCGCGGTTGGGAGTTTTGAACCCGTTGACCGTGTCGTCGACATCGTCTGTGAAAGGGCTCTCGTCGACGGCGCTCTCAGCATCCCAGATGTCATCATCGATGTCTTCACTCAGTTCTTCATCCAGATCGAGATCGGATCCATACATCTGCGACGCATCGTTGAGGGATGGCAATTTCAAATCGGCAATCGCCTGCCGCATAGCTGCCACTTGGGCGAGCCATTGTTCCTCGGACTGAAAAGTTTTGTCCACCATTTTGCGATCAGCTGGACAAGCGGAACTATGAAGGCTTCTGGGATATGCAGTGAGAGGAAATGTGGCAGCCTGTTCGGAAGGTTATGTTGTTACGAGAGGACAGATGAAGTGAAAATGTGACTTTTATGTTGCGGATGACTCGCACAAAAATCGCAGCCTCGCGCTAAGCAGAAGGCGACATTGATAGGCTCAAAGGTATTCCGGGGGCCTGAGTGAGTGCCTAGGCTGATTGGTTTGGGTGAAGAATGGGGGCCACCAGGCTGAAACTTGAATGAAGCGTGGAGGGGCTTTGGCGGGCTGGCACCTGCGGGCGCCGCCCGCAAAGCACAAAGGAAGACAACGGGGACCTTTCGTCCCGGCGCTACACTTTGTGACGTTCCCCAAGATCCTTTGCATGAACCCATTCGTATCTATCGTTTCTTAACAACAACCTCCCTCCCTCTCGGATTCCTGTCTTTCATAGCAGAATCATACCCGAGGACTCTCTCCTACTGCATTAGTCCTTCAAGCTGCTCTTTTACCTCGAGACACTTGATCCTCCTCGACCACTCACCCCGTGAAGAACAAAGAACACACACCGCCAGAATGAAGATCTTCTACATCGGAGTGAGCAGGCTTTGGCTATAGATCAGGCCGCAGTAGAGAGATGCTAACCTCTCTCCAGATCCTCCGGAACGAATCCGCCCCTGCCATCGAACTTGCCGTTGAGCGAGACTTGTCCTCGTTCTCCCGCTTCACTCGAGATAGGTAGGTTTCCGCACTTCCAACATCCCCTCGCCTCTTCCCGCCTTCGAGCGTGCTGACACGCGGCTTTTCTATCAGTTATGGCGAATTCATGTCGGTGTTTGCCAAAACAGTGGCCGAACGCACCAAGCCCGGTGTCAGAGCAGACATTGAAGAGAAATCCTACACCTTCCACGCCTACAGTACCAGCCTTGGATTGTGTGGTATCATCATATCTGACGGCGAATATCCGGCGCTCGTCGCACACCAGCTCCTCTCCAAGATCATCGACGAATATTCCGCGCAGAATCCGCGATCCTCGTACTCGACGAATCCTCCGAACACGAGGCCATTCCCACCGCTTAAGGAGTATATTGTGAAATACCAAGATCCGGGACAGGCGGATAGCATCATGAAAGTTCAGAGGGAGCTGGATGAGACCAAGATTGTGCTGCACAAGACGATCCAGAGTGTTTTGGAGCGAGGGGAGAAGATTGACTCCCTCGTAGCCAAGAGTGACGGTCTGAGCGCACAGAGTCGGATCTTCTACCAGCAGGCCAAGAAGCAAAACAGTTGTTGTGTGGTTATGTGAGCGCCGGGCTGGAGAGTTGCAAGGGACCAGAGCGTGTGCGGGACTTTCGGGATGTTTGTGGAAATCGATCGACGTTGGTCGGGTTATGAGGACGGAATGCAGCAACAAAGAATTAGCCTGTTGGATCGGACTGCCATGTTGGAAGTCGGAGTTAGATACTTGCGCAGGAATCGGGCAATGCAGGCGTTTAGGAGTTCACCATGGGGTGCGACAAGATTGAGACGAAGTGAAAGACCTGATATCGACCTTAAGGCAACCCAAACATATTATCCTTGGCCTTCTGTGATTGATGCCCCCCATTACACCTTTCTAGTTGCTGCGCCGGTTCTATGCCACATTATATGCCACAGATGCCGTTCTCATGACCGTGTGGTGATAGTTCTAGAACAGCCAAAAGGCCACTCATCCCTACCAGACCAGGACCAGGGCCAGAAACCACACCCATTTGCCTTTTTATCAATTCCCCTCGACCATCTTGCTCAGCCTCTCCAACTGCTCGCCTTCGACCCTCATGCCCACCCACTCCTCCATCCTCGTGGCACCGACGCTCCCGCCCTGGTAGAATTCGATGCTCGGGGTATTCCACTTCAAGACGGACCACTCGAGCCGGCGACAGTTGAGCCGGCGACATTCTCGTGCGAGGGCACGGATCAGCGCGGTGCCGTACCCGCGGCCGCGGTACGTCGGGTGCACGAACAGGTCTTCGAGGTAGATGCCCGGTCGGGCCTGCCAGGTCGAGTAGTTGTGGAAGTACAGGGCCATGCCGGCGACCTCTTCCTGTTGGCTGGCGTTATTGCCGGCGCCTGAAGGTGCAGATGCCGGACAGATGAGCAGCGTCTTCGCGTAGCCCTCTGTAAAGCCCTTGTCCAGATCCTGGGGGTCGACGGGGAACGAGAGCGACTCGCGCAGTGACTGCTCCGTGGCGAGCACCTCGTGCAGCGCCTTCTCGTAGATGGCCAGCTCGCGAATCAAATGGAGAATCACGGGGACGTCGTGCTCGGTGGCGTACCGGATCTTGTACGTTGATGTTGTCTGTTCCGCCATGGCTCTTTTTCGGCCAGCCTTTTCTCACTGTCTTAACGTGTCTGTTGTGTTCGGAAGTCGCCAACGGATAGGGGTTTCTCGGTGAAAAAGTGGGTGTAATTCACTTCGTCCCAAATCATGAAGAGGTGCTGGGTGAGGCGTGGTAATATACTTGGTACTTGTAGGCAAAGACTCTTTTTGAGGCCTGATTTGGCACAAGCACGAGAAAAAGCCCACTTCACGGGCGCCAAGCCGTTTTCGTTTCGCTCAATGACTTATAGTACTTGAAGATATATTGAAGTCCTAGTAGAAGAGTAATCTGAGGTAATGTGGGGGTATATAACATTGGTCGGCACGTCGAGTGGCCAATGTGTAAGTAACTTTATGTCCCGCAAAGCGATGTAACAGCGGCAACCGAGTTTCTAAATGCTCAAAGGGCGTGTCGTGTACCTTAGCCGTATGCATGCATGATATGAGATACTAGGTGTTCAGATCCGAGGGTTGAGATCTTAGCATACTCGTAAGAACCACGTCGAACCATATAGAATGACACCTCTCGATTTTTCCCGACGATTGTATCTCTGCCTGTTACTAATGGTATACATGGGAGAAATCCTTGGACAAAGTACTCTGATGTGAGCGAAGACATCGGGTACTTGTGGTTGATTCATCGGGAAGAGGACTCCTGGCGCAATACGAGGCTGAAGAGAACGCGGATAAGTGGTACACGATAGGTAAAAGACGGACATTATTCGTATGTGACTAACGGTGCTGCTTTCTCCCGCCGAATAACCTGATGTAAGTGAATAAGGAGGTGACTATTCAGAAGGCGCTTCAAAACAGTCGATAGCCTTGTTTTACAACTGCTCGTTCATGTGACCAACAACGAGCTTGAATATGAATATAAGCTTGACGAACAACAAAGAGGTTGCCTTAGACGGAAGTGGCAGCGTCCGATAGCGGTAAGAGGTGGTCAGGTTCTCTATCAATCACCAGCATGACCGAGAGTCACCGTCCGCTGGGCGTATTCGGCTGCACAAAGCCGGAGACAAGTCGAGCTGAGTCCCTGCTTCGACCTCCAGAAAGTACGGACGAGGTCCCTTGGCTCGGTCCTAATTTCTTCTTGAATGTCCTTCCCATTCAGACGGCGGCATCGACCAGATCTGACATAGTCAGACGGTTTTCAACCATATCCAGCAGATACAATCACCGCACGAGTCAGATCAGAGCCAGTGCTCCTTTTGGAGGATTTCTTCGACACTAGGTCTCGTTCCCCCTTATCCCCTCTTTCCTGTGGGTGTTTCCTAGAATGTTCTGATGATCCCTACATCACGTAACCATAACCTCATCACTGAGGACGAAACACAAAATCTCTCTAGACATAGGGAGACCTGCGTCCAACTCTTCGGAATGACGGGGTGCCTCCGACTGGGCTATCCGAGCAATGATGTTTGAGATTCAGGTACGAGGAGAAGCTCGATTTCGGGTGCAATAGCTGTTTGCCAGGTCTGTAGAGTCTGAAATTCTCCAATAGAACGTAGCTCGTTGTTCATTCCATACCCAAGGGTCGACTCAGATCCGGGATTGTCGAGGAGATCATCACCCGTGTCGCGTTTCAGCTGTGTAGGGTCTGAGGATATAATCATGACAAAACAGAATCAAAGACCTCCTTGCCCGGCTTATCATGTAGCAATCCAATCCACATGAAAGATTTCAAGACTGTCCGCATATCGTTCCACGACGTCACTTGACACCGGTCGATATGTTGTCGCAAACACTCCCTCAACCATGAGTGGTCGGATGTCGTGAATGCAGTAACAGCTCCAACCATCAGAAACCAAATCATGGTCTGAGGGGAAGCTGCACTCATGATTTCGGGATCCAGAAGACACTTTTTGAAAAGAGAAGGAAAGTGAAGATAGGGCAACCGCAGATACTGCCACTTTAAGAACATGTGATGGGTCAGTCCCAGGAGGCTGAGCCGCACCGCTTCGTCCACGGAGCCACTGTCAAAGCTCATATAGAGAAGCCGATACATGACCGAAGCTATAGTATCGTAGAGGAGTTGCGGGGAGAGCATTAGTTGTGTTTCAACCGCAAGATTGACAATTGAACAGAATCTCTCCATAACTGTCCAGACTTCATGGAGCCTCTCATCCAGCTTGGGGAGCGATTGTGCCCAGTTCCGCAAAGAGCCAGCCTTGCCGGTGCTGTTTCGAATTGACAGCATCTCCTGGTCGGGAAAAGGCACAAGAGGCTCTGAAACAAGGTCTTTGAAGAAGACGGGCTCTGATCCGCTTTGCATAGCCATGCCTATGTCGCACCTGTACCACCATCAGGTCTTCCCGAGGCCGACGTAGGTAGAAAGCAAAAGGACTGGTTGCTTACCTGAATATTTCTGTGAGAAGCTTGTTCCCTCGAAAGGCAGCAATACCTCCTCTCAAGTCGACCATCTTCCTAAGGCCGACCATATGATGCTTGAAGGATTCCACTTCACCCATGAAAAATGCACTTATGGCCAAGGTCAGAACCACGGCAATTGTAGAATTGGAAATTTTGCCGCTCTCATCTTCTAGAGAAAGCCTCTTGCGAAGGATACTGATCCCTTTCAAAAAATGTACGGTGGCGTATCGGTTAGTGGTGGGATATTGCCGACCTAGTATCCTGTCCATGAAAGCCTCGGCGGCGAACACTGTTACATGAAGATAGGCAGGGTCGAACCTGAGCGGAACGAACCAGGCCATATCCCTGTGGCTAAATCCAGTCACCGACACTAGAGGGAACAATGCCCTGGCTATCATGTCGAAGACTAGTTTCGCATCGGGTCAGTTTCTGGCATAATCGTAGAGCAAGGGTGAGCAGCCCACATCTTCCGATATCAGCAAATGCGGCCGTGTCCAGCTCAGCAGCAAGCGTAATGGAGGACAGCTCTGAGCCCACTCTGCCTGGTATGGAAGACTTCGCTGAGTGGTATGCGTCGATGAACGTGTCCACTGGCTCTGGCGGATCCCGTTTCAAATCGACCACGACGGCCCAGCTGGTCGATCTTCGTTGTTTGGCACGAAGAGACTTGCCCCGGTTTTTCCCCATCATCACCTGGCTACGGATGAGCCGCTGCGTCGCTGCATCCGCCTTCTTGACATTTGTCGACACGATGAAATGCATCCCTGCTCGTTTACGGGAATCCTTGAGAAAGAGATCGAGTTAGACGATGAAATAGCCGAGATCTTTGTAGGTATGCTCCTGGGCCGTGGTCAGAGGCAAGGGTCTCTGGCTGTTTCTGGATATGACAAGCACAGATCAATGGCTTGAGCGAGAATGCACAAGCTACCTCGTACTCGGCAGGTATGACCCCTCAGCCGCATTTTGATGCTTCTGTCTTGATTTGCCGTGGTGAAATCAGGCACCAAGGGAGAGACGAAAGAATCTCGCCTGGTGCCAAGTCTTGGCGGACGACGCGCGTGTGGCAAGCCATGATGCCAACGCGAGAAGACTAGGTCACGTGCAATGACGGCAGGCCCAAAATGGTTGGTACATGTTTATGTACCAACCTAAACACTTCACGGTTGACTGCCACGCTTTTCTTTGGAAGGCGATGTGTCGCCTCGCCCGTTCATCTTGTCCTCTACTTACGAAATAACCTCACTACTGCACGCGGCGAGTTCATTATGTCCTCCGAGCTTGATCGATTGCGTCAGGAGCTTCGGGAAGTGAAGCGCCTGCGGTTGGCAGAGCAACAACGGCGACAAGAGGACCAGTTTCGATTTCAGAGAAGAACAAGAAAGACAAACTTGGCCGAATTTCTCGACGCATGTCACCAGCACTTGTACCATAACTTAGCTATTCAGGACGCGTCTCAGTCGACACAAGGCACTCCCGTCAATGGCGATCGAAAGCTTCGCCCTCGTCGTATCGTGCCCTGGACCGACTTTCCTACGCATCAAGTGAATATATGGAACGTGTTGATGGAGTCGGATTTTGTCCTAGAGAGACACTTTACCTCTCGACATACGTTGGAAGAAAACGGAGAACAGCTACAGCGGCAGCAACTTAGCTCCGAGTTGGACCTTCAATACTTTATTCAATTTGCGATTCACGACCAGGTGACCTCGATCATCGAGCACCTTTCCCAGCATGCAGTTCTCCAGCAATCTCTTAATCTTCAGGGGACCATCAGATTTGAGAATCATGGGAACATGTTAACTCCTGTCGACCCTGCGACGAACCTGACCAATCTGACCATCTCCCAACCGCAGCCGCGACGTCGGTCGCCGCGCCTGCGAGAACAATCTCACCAGACATCATCGGACACGCGATACTCCCCGCCAAGGCCATCTCAGATCGCTATGCCTCGCGCCGATCAATTTTGCGTATATAGCGTATATAGCGTTACCAATGATGCGGGCGACGTGATCCATCGAACCCCGGTGTTAATTATGGAGTACAAGGCGGCACATAAGCTGACACTAGGACATATCTATACCGGGTTGAACGAGATGGATCTGGATGATATAGTACAAGAAAAGCTTGACGAGGATATCCCCCAACGATGTCAAAGGCTCGTGGCCGCAGTTTTAACCCAAGCCTTTGCGTACATGATCGCGGCGCGGTTAGAGTTTAGCTACGTCTTTACCGGAGAAGCTTTGATCTTTCTCCGTGTCCCGGAGGACGACTGCTCGTGCTTGCAGTACGCTCTCGCGGTGCCGCAAGGCGACGTAGGTCCCACGACCGGCTGGACCGAGGGATTGGAACATGATAACCGTTTGCATTTGACCGCTGTGGGCCAGCTTCTCGCTTTCACATTAAGAGCGATTCAAAGCCCGCGTCGCGACCTGCGCTGGCAGCGGGTGGCCGAGGCGCAACTCGAGACGTGGCAGGTCTTTCTGCAGGAACTGCAACAGGATATACCGGACGAAAAAGTTCCCGGGTCGGAATATCGGCCACCCCAAGGGGAATCGGCGCAATATCTGCGGGATTCACCCATTCGTCGTCGACTACGTCCGCGGGAGCCTGTGATAATAAATGACGAAGAGCACATGGCCAGACGAGCAGCTATAAGTGAGGATGACAGTAGCGACAACGACGGCAGGGGTCATGGCCAGACACCTAGCCGCCCTCCTGCAGATCTCCAGCGGGGGAGGGCACAGGGAGGGCTCCGCCGTGGACGCGCGACCACTGATGACGATCCATCATCCTCAACCCACCGGTCTCACCGACAGCGGGAGCTGGGGCCGTATTGCTCGGCTTTGTGTCTCAAAGGACTGGTGGAGAATGGTGATCTGGATTCGTCGTGTCCGAACGTACACCTACATGGCTGCGGTCCAAAGCACCAACTCCGTATGCAAGAATTCCGGCGTCTGGTGCGACAAATACTGCAGAAAGACCTCGAATACTGCGAAGAACTCTATTTGTGGGGTGCGAGAGGTGTCTTGTACCGCCTACGTCTTCCGCACTGGGGTTACACCGTGGTGGCCAAGGGCACACGTCCCGAATTTGTGATGGATCTCCAACACGAAGCAAAGATCTATCGCAAGCTAAGGTCGATACAAGGAATACATGTACCGGTGTATCTCGGGAGCTACACTCTGGATCGGCCGCTCCAGTATGCAGGGTCAGTGCCGATTGTGCACATGATGGTTTTGTCCTTTGGGGGATATTCCTTAAATCATCTTCGCACGACGCCAGCTACCACTGATACGGCCATTGATGGCTTGCTTGCCATTCACAAACTGGGAATTCTGCATCGCGATGTGGCACGACGGAATATGCTGTGGGATTCAATGACGGGACGAATTATATGGCATGACTTCGGCCAGGCCAAGGTCTATCGACCTCGCCTCAGGACTCCAGCTGCAAGATCTGTCGACCGCAGAGGCGTGCCCGACTTTGGCCAGCAGTACCAATGCGATGCTCATAAAAAGCTAGCGAGCGAGATTTCGAAAGCGCTCGCGGAGCTCAGACGGTAGACGATGATCATTACTTGTGCGGCAGTCCTACATATCCTTGGATAAGAAACATTGATAACAATGCTTATTTCAGCCTGATCGTTTGTCGCTGCATGCCGAGCAAGTACACACGCCCAAGACAAGAATGAAGTCTCACTGATGACGGTTTACACGTCTCGAGCACAACGAGTACGTTAAGTATTCTATTATTTTCTCATTTGCCGGTTTGGTTTTCGCTTTTCGAATAGCTGCGAAGTTAACATATTAGGGGTAGATATAGGCTATTACACTAGGCTAGGTTACATTACTAACGATATAGATATAGTACGCTTGGGGCACCGTAATATAAGTTATAACGAACGTATCCTAAAGATCTTTTTGCATAATACCCGAAAATCGACTAATCATCCTTTCCCCTTCCCCGTGGGTGCCCGACGCACGAAGCTTGCGATCTTCAATGACACCAACGAAAATCGCGTGAGTCAGATAATCACCCAATCTACGCAAACACTGACACTCCACGTAGAAGTCTCGACAATCCGAACCCCCCTTTCCGCACCCCTTCCATCACAAGCAGTTCAGGATCAGACTGCATATGACATTTTAGGATACGTGCCGTCAACTGAATTGGTCTTGTCACATCTCGACGGCACAAGGGTGATAGAGAGGGTCGTTGGGCAAGGCGGAACTGGTATTGTCATTGAGCGGGAACATCATGCATTCAAGCTCCTTCACATATCAAGATATACCAAGATTTATGGAGAGCCTGTGGAAGACCTAAGGAAGGTGACTACGATGACCGACCACCTCTTATCCAAGCAATCCAGATTGAGAAGGCGATTTACAAAAGACTGGGTGACCACCATGGAATCGTACGCTGCCACAATCTTGATTCGACCGATATCTCGATTCAGATGGATCGAATGAATGGTGGCGTCCGTCATTATTTAGCGCAAGATAGGCCTGATCGAAAGACACAATTCTCTTGGTTGACGAAACTGGCATATACTCTGGGATACATCCACGAGCATCGCATTATTATCGCCGACGTCCGATATGACAATCTATTACTCGACGACGCTTTAGACGTCAAATTCTGTGACCTCGGGGAATCGGCTATGATGCCTCTCGATTGGCATCTAGAGGGCACTGACGATCTTGGCTTCTCGATTTTGACCGATACTGGACAGTTTGGCAGAGTCATGTATGAAGTTATTGCCGGAGTTAGATGCAAATTCGATCTGACCCTAAACCGGAAAGAACCTGAGGATCTGTACTCTTGTCCGCCACGAGACAGTCTTCCGTCACCCAGAGATATATGGCTAGGCCATATCATTGACAAATGTTGGACTCAGGCATTCAAGTCTGCCAGAGAGCTCGCCCTGGAGCTGGACCAGGAACGACTTCCCTGAGCTATGGTTCGAAACGGGGGAAGTGTTTTGCAATACTGAGGTCGAAGCAGCTCCGTATGTGAAGCGCATGTTAGCCTGAGTACACGCTTTAGCCCCGCAGCCTTGCTATCCAACAGCATTGATCAATTGACATTGAGCATCTCTCAAATTTGAGACACCTTGAGGCTTAGAAATGACCAATGCGATCCGGATAAGTTGATACTTCTACAGGATCATCCACGTATGCGCAGTTGTCAGAAGATGGGAATAATGGTGGCGTTGTCCAAGGTGACTTGAGGTCTAGAAGACGAGCCCGGAAAGATACGACGAGAAATTGGACCGGGCACCCTGATCCATCGCCGAAAGATTTAATCCAGTGAGCGTCGACGTGCGAATGGATGGAGTGCCTTGAAGTGCCACCAGTGCCATGAATAGCTCCGCTCCTGGCCGCCAAGAGATCGATTGTTTTCCCTTTTAGGAAATAGTCCGCAGGGGTCTACAAGGCTCGAAGCACTATCGAGCCAGTCTACCCAGCAATTTGTCCAATGCTCGCGGAGTTACGGGTGCTTTCAACAGGCAACCGGCTTTGTTTTCGACCGCAGACTCCATATCTCCAGGTATAAAGGTCATGCTTCTCCCAGTGGTACCATGGCACACTATCCTGTCTCTCTTTCCCTGTGTGTTCTGGAACGGGAACGACCCTGATAATTCACGCCATCGAAACTCTGAAGAGCATCACGCTATAAATTCCCTGTCTCGCTGCTCCCATGGCTCTAGGTCTCAAGTCAGTCCTCATCACCGGCTGCTCTGCTGGCGGAATCGGTGGAGGTTTGGCAAAGGCCTTCCATGACAACGGCTATCACGTCTTCGCGACGGCACGGACGCCGTCCAAGATCTCACAGTCGCTCGCTCAAGCACCAAACGTCTCGGTCCTGACTCTCGACGTGCTGTCTTCCGAATCGATCGCCGCCGCTGTCGAAAGCGTTTCCTCCGTCACGGGTGGCACGCTCGATGTCCTGGTCAACAACAGCGGCCAGGCCATGGTCATGCCGGCGCTGGACACGTCGATCGCCGAGGCCAAGAAGCTGTTCGATACCAACTACTGGGCCGTTCTGGCTATGATCCAGGCGTTCGCGCCGCTGTTGATCAAGGCCCGGGGCTACGTCGTGAACAACACCTCGGTGAGCGGCGTGGTCCCCTTCGGCGCCTTTGGCAGCATCTACAACAGCTCCAAGGCCGCGGCCCTGCTCGGCAGCGAAACGTGGCGTCTCGAGCTGGCGCCCCTGGGCGTCCGCACCCTGACGCTCGTGACCTCGGCCGTCAAATCCAACGGCTTTGTCAACATGACACCCCCCAAAATCCCCGAGACGTCGTACTACCGCGTGCTGCAGGGGTACGTTGAAGAACTGTGCGACGGCAGACTGCAAAAGGACGGCATCACGGCCGAGGAGTTTGGCAACAAAGTCGTCGCACAGGTCAACAAGGGCAGGACGGGGAAATACTGGGTCGGTGGATCAGCGGCGTCTGCTCGCTTCGCTGCATGGCTGCTGCCGGATTTCCTAATGGTGAGTCTCTTCCCATCCTTTTTCCCGTATTTGTTTCAATCAATCCTTTTTGTCTTCATCGTTGTTTCCAAATTGATTTCCTCCTTACTGATTGCGATGTGATATGATTTGATCAGGACATGTTGATGGCATCCTTGTTCCCCTTTGCCAAATTGCTCAAGGCCCAATCCAGCAAGAAAGAGTGATATCCAGTGGCCGAGGAAGGAGAAGGAGGGAACGTGGTGAGAATTGTCCGTCCTAGCTGTCGAGACGGGTAGGTTCTACATGCTAGGCGCAACATAGGTCTCAGATATTTCAATGAATAAATAAGGCGCAGGGAAAACCCATCACAGACACATAGAGTACTTGTATGCATATGTATATGTATATATGTACAGGAGCGTAAGCTGCGGCCTTGCTGGTCTCCACAAGCACAACATGCTCAAGTTTGCCGCGCACCAGTGAGGCGCATCACGGCATAAAGCGACTGTCGCATGTGTCGCATCTGACCTTCGAATAGCTCACGCTCTCTTTGAGCAACAGGAACAAGGGCAAAGGAGCACAAGCTTAGGACATGAATCCTGAGAGTTCTTATCCGGTAGCGAGGCAAGTCGTTTTGCGAGACCATACGGCCCAGATTCAATCAAGGATGTTTCAAGAGTCCACATTTTGATCAAACCCCAAAGGAAATCCAAGCAGGGTACGCAATGTTGCCCACAATCTTCTCCGCCAGTCCGCTTCCTCAACTCAATACCCAGGAGAAAGAGAACTTTCCTTGAAGCGTCGGCACTTAGCTTGCTGCGCAAGTTATTCCATTGTCCACTTTCCGTCCCAATAAGCAGATCGCCATCCAACACCCCCATCGCTAGACGATATCCAATAGCCAAACACCAATCTGTGACTCGTCCAAACAATCATATACTTTCAGAGTTGAATTCTCTTCTTCTCTGGACTTCTGCTTCGTGCTCGATGCTCTTTACTGGGGCTCCGAGGATATTCCAACTGTTGCTGCCCGACGAAGCCAGGATCACCGTGCCAGCCCACATAAGGCTGTTGTGCATACGATGCAGCCGGGGGAAGTGTAAATTGCCCCATGTGTGCAGGATGTTGCTGTGGATGCACGTATGCTCCAGAGGGTGCTCTATAGACATTCTGGTTCTCTTGCTGGCGTCGATATAGGGTAAACGTCGCATTGTTGACCACCAAGCCCACCACAACCAGTGTGATGGTGAAGATCATGGTTTTTAAGCTGATGGGCTCGACGAAGCTGTTGAAGATTTCGGCGAATGTATGTGCACTCAATCTCGCCCGTTTCACAGCACTAGGATCCCGCTTCATGCACAACTCCCAATTGCTGCACACAGCTTCCAGAGCTGGTAGCCGAGTGTCGGCGGCACATCGATTTTCGATAAAGTTCTTGGAGCAGGCCGCCATTTCCGCTAGCACTTCGGCCATTGCATCCTCGCTGGCGCGGTCTACATCTGCCTGGATGGTAGCGTAGAATGCCCAAAACATATACAGACAACCACCAAGTATTGCAGCATTGAAGAAAACCTGGAGGTACTTGGCGATGATAGAAGGTGCGTCAGGATACGTGTGGATGAAGGTGAACAGGCCAGTGATCCATCCTACTTCTTCCACGGGCGGCTTTTTAGGCTCTGGTTCGGTCGGACTGGGGGCGCTCTCATCGTCACTATCGTCTAAAGAACCCTTTCTCCCGACCACCAGTTGTCTGTCAAATTGCTGAGCACGCCGGCGCTTCTTGTGGATTCGTCTCGCGACAGCATCACTCGTAGGCTTTCTGATCTCTCCTCTTCCCGGACTTGGTGCAAATCTGCCGTATAACCCAAACAATGAGTTTCGCTTGTTCTCCGTTTTTGAGGGGCTGCTTTTGAACTCTATGGGGAGCGGAGTTACATCTGGGGTGTCCTCATTCTCGGTCGCTGCCAGGGGCGAGGAATTCTCAGGAGGGGATGAAAAGTCGATGTCGAATGGTTTTCGCGGGGTTGTAAACGAGGGATTTCGAAAAGGGGACGACTCAGGTGGCGGCGCCGGGGCATCTGAGAAGAAAAAGGGCTGGTTGTTGGGTTCGCGGAGCGTTGGAATTGCTGGTTTCTCAGGGGACCCGAATTCGCTATGAGTTCCTGCAACTATTAGTACAGCAACACCTGGAGAGGACAGCGCAACTTACGCTTTTTGGCCTGCATCTCGACAACACGTTTGTGGTAGGGAGAGGTGGGATCAAGAGGACCGTGGCCTTGCCATTCAAAATCCATGAAACTTTCTGTACCGCGAAACGCCATTTTGGGGGGGGGGGGGAAGAGGCAGGAGAGTGCGAGGCCAAAATAGAGGTGGTCAGAGGTGGTCAGATGATTCTGCCAGTACCACTGGGAAGTGGGAGGCAACACAACACAGACTTCGATTCTGGAGATTTATTTCAGTAGGCCAAACACATGCGCTCCCGAAGAGGGAAAATAAACAAAAGCATCACAGCGCAGCGCAGCGGGATGTTTGCTAGCCTGGACAAGCCTGATTGGCAAGGGTCTGGGATCCATACACGCGGCATCCCCTCTCGCATCTCGGATTTCCAAGTCCCATCTACTCAGAAGAAGCTTTGATTCGTTCGTCCAACAGCCACCCCTACAAGTACTGTCGAACTCTCCTCTACAGTCATGGCTCGAGAGAAATCAGAGGAGGCCCAGTGGTGGTACGAAGCTGTATACTCAGCCATCCAGCAGATTCCCCATGGCAAAGTCACTAGCTACGGACACATTGCCCTGCTCCTCGACTTCCCCAAACGCGCGAGACAGGTTGGCGTATGTCTCAAACACCTCCCCACGTTCGATCGTGCCAATCCAGACTTATACTTCTTCCACGATCAAAATGTCCCCTGGCAGAGAGTCGTGAACTCCAAGGGCGGCATCAGCCCGCGCGGCGATGATGGAGCAGCGGCAAACAGACAGGCAGAAAAACTGCGTGCGGAGGGTGTGGAAGTCAACCCAGCCAGAGGCATTGAAGAAATGACAGTCGATTTTGGGAAATATGGCTGGTTTCCGACAAGACTCCCTGACGAAGAGAGCGAGGATGACATGCAGAGCCGGTAGGACGCAGCGAACAGGAAATAAGCCGTGGGAATAGCACAGCGCATCTGTCTCTTAATAACCGGAGAGACATTGCACAACAACGCGTACGCTCCTCAGCCGGTACCTTGGGGGAGTATTGTGTATCTCCCGTTGCTTGTCCTTTCACAGTTCGACCGCTGTCGAGAACCCTTGGGTGTCGACTAACTCCCGACCACTGAATCCTGCGCTTTGGAGCTGTTACTACCCGTTGCCGAAACACATCTCTGGGGCATCTGTTTTTTCCGGCAGCACTGCTTTCAGGCTAGCGGTGCACTCGAATATTTGCACTTCATGAGGATACCTACGATCCATACGATTCTGACGCCCTCCTGGAGCGCTATGCTTTGAAGAAGTCCGGAAGGCCTATGGTTTCTTTATGGTCGTCGACCCGCTCAGATACAGGGAGAGTTTGAATTCTGCCCACGATACCGTTTGGATCAATGTTTGCGCGGGGCCACGGAAAGAGTTTGGAGTCATATACCCTTCCCAAATTGAGAGAGAAGCATGGCATACGAGGTGCGGCAAGCTTGATAAGTGTGACGGGCCATTGTCCTGGCTGTTCTCCCTGTGTTATCGCTGTGGCCTCGGCATTCTACGAGGCCTATTCCTGGGCAACTGCCATCCTCGACTGTGGAACGAATTAAGGTCGAGGAATGAACCGGCGTTAGGAAGGTAGCTTGGATGTGTAGAATGCCCTGTTGGATACAAGTATGTGCTGGTGTTTGTCGGCGGCAAATTCAAGCTGGCGAGCGCATTCATAAGGTGCTGACAGGAAGTCGAGGAGCAAGACTCGCCCTTCTACGCGTCACAACAGGGCGTGGGCGAGTTTACCTAGCACTCAGCAATTTCCCGCAGACTAAAGCTGAGACGCTACTCACTGTTTACAGTAAGAACTGAGTTATTGGAGGCCTCCTTGGCTGTAGAGATGATTTGGGTTTGAACTGGGTGTACGACCAGTCAGCCATTCACGGGAATGACAGAGGGCAGCGATACGAAGGCTGGAGAGCAACTTGAGTCATTGGCACGGGAGTCATAGCCAGTGCCGTCATCATGGTAGATTGGTGTTGATCTGTGTCAAGGACCAGAGGTTGGAAACAAGAGGTGATGGATCTTGCGAAGCTTACACCGAACATGAGCACCATAGACTCATAGTGGCTGTGAGAATGTATCACATGGCCTGAGGCAAACAAGGAGCGGCAGCTGGTGTGAGGTCATGGTGAGGCTTCTGTCTAGGCGTCATAGGCAAGGTGGCCAGGGGGGTGCCCTCTGAGAGAGGTCCCTCGAGAGCACAAGACCCAAGGGGAATAGGTAATGACACACCTAGGCGGGGGTCCCAAGGGAGGCTGTGAGTCCCTGAGTCCCGAGTAGAATTTCCCTGCTTTGCACCTATCCACCTCTCGGCCTTTGTGATCGAGTGTTGTTGTCCTTGTTTTGGGAAACCCCCCTTCCCTCCCCTCCAGTGCCTCCCACGCTTTCCCCTCCTCCCTCCCTCGGTATCTTGGATCTCCGTCCTTGTGCTCAAGCTCCCGAATCCCCCAAGCCACCGAATAATAACATGCTTCCTGGTTCGTCAAATCGCTGACTGAGATTGTTTTTAGCACCTGGTGGCGTTGCCAAATGACTCCGTTCGAAGCAGCTGTACCAATCCCATGCTTGTTCCTTGACCACATGCATGATCCCCGTTCAACTGCCAGTCCAGCATCCCGCGTCCGGCCTCAAAGGGTCAAGCATGCACTGGCATGTTCATACATCAGCCCCTCTTCACATCACGACTATCGCCTGCTCATCGCCTCCACATCTCAAATCAACACCTGAGGCAGAGATAGCACATCGCGTACTCGGTACAGCCCTCATATCTACGAGTACCAAGCTTCGGGTGGGAGTCAGAAACCCATCATCTCGGTCCCTAACCGCCCCGCGTGCCAGCTTCTGAGCCAGTGGTGACTGCGTGTGACAAAACATCCTCCATCCTCGCTCCCTCATCATCCTCAGCCCTCCGATCGACTCACACGTCCGATTCAAATAGCACAGTACTCTCCTTATCTCCCGAGCCTCCCTCTCTCTTCTTTCATCTCTGTAACACCTTGGTTGTTACTCACTTCTTTGTCCACACTTGCCCACTACATAGTACTCATCACCTGCGATCTCTCTCCTTTGTTCCTTCCACCTACGGTCATCTCTGCACGCGTCATTCTTTGGCTCAGTTGGGACCTGACTAGGTGCCGTCCCTCTTTTGCATCCTCCCACCTCCACGGAACCTACGGCCCTTCTCCAGTACAGCACGCATCATCACTTCTCTTATCTCAACCTACACTAAGCTCCACCACCTTCCAAAGTCCATCCCAAGCCTATATCATGTCTGCCTCGCCTAACAACGACCTTCGTAGCGAAGCCAAACCGTACCTCCGTGAAAAGAACCACAACAAGAAGTGGGCAAGAGGGGCTCAAGAGGCTCCAGACCATCACTGCCACAAGCACACATATCCTGAAGACAACTGCCGCAAATGCATGGGCAGGCCAAATCGTCGAGATCAAGATCGGAGGGTTGGTCGGTCAGAGGCCAAATACAAGCATAACCTCCAGAACAAGCTGAGCGGCCACGCTGCGACCTTGGCTCGCAAGGCTTTCCGCAATGAAGTGGTCGATGCCATGGATGGCCCTCTGGCTCATGTCTCCGACACCTCTGAAGAGGAGGAAGTCCTAGACGCGTCTGAGGCCCCCGTTCCAGCTGAAGGAGACTTCATGTACAGCTATGACCACGCAACTGGCCCACGAGCTAGTGGAGATATTCTCAGTCAGGCTATCATCCAAGCTGTCCGACGATTCGAGAACAACGAGACCGAGAAACTGATCAGTGCGGAATACAACGTCATTGACGACAAGGAGATGGCCGAGGTTTCTACCGAGGACGATGACGACGATTTCGAGCTCGTCCACTACTCTCACTTGAAGTGAACTCCCGATCTTGTGCACAACTCTCTGTGAGGTTGGAGCAGACCTGGGATCGGCGTTGTCGGTTGCTTTTCACACTTGTAATGATTCTCAAACAGGGCAACCGAGTTGCTGTTGTTTATATGATTTTGTTTCGTCAAAGATACCCCAAGGACTCATTAGGGAAGCGAGGCTGTATCAATAGAGCTATCATCATGGGTACTACACGGCGCTTCTTGAGGATATGAATGACCTTGGAGAGGAGGAACACTGCCAACTGTTTATGAGTGTTCCTGCGTTGTTATTGGCGTTTGATTATCATACCACAGCTGGGAATGGGGAGCAACGGAGGATTAAGCAATACTTAGCATTAGAAATCCAGGCAACCAGTCTCATCGTCAGAGCACATGCTCTCACCCAACCTCTCCTCGGATTCTGAACTATGGGTAGCATGTGACGTGTTCGGCTCCAAACAACAATGACGTCTTTTGAAACTAGCAAACCGTGCAAACCTAACAAATATCACAAACACTGGGGAGAAATCACTCTCCAATATTATCGCAACTGCGTCTTTATGTACCTGCGCTCACAACCACGCCGTTTGCGCCCAATAACCAGATCCTGGTAGAGTGCGCGAACCAGAAGAACACAGCAAAGCAAAGTTCCCGGCATAATGCCCAGTGCAAACCTTGCCGCATACCTAGCGAAGAACTATCTCACAGCTTCCACGTCTCAGTCTCCTTCCCAATCTGCCTCGTCAGATTTCCAAGATTCGACTCGCCCAAAGAAGAAGCGGCGCAAGAATAAGGATGAACCCGTCGAAGGTGGACTGGTAATCGCTGACGATGACGAATCCCTGTCCCTCCGAGGCACCGCTTCAAGAGGAAAGTTTGGGGAGGAAGAAGAAGATGGAGACGTACCAATATTTGAAGCTGGCGTCAAGTCTGCAGAGTTCAGGAAAAAGAAAGGTGGAGGAAGCTGGAAGGTTGTCGCGACTGCAGCTTCGACGACTTCCTTGACGTCGGGAAATAGGGATGAGGACCAGGAAGCAGACAGGATCCTTGCTGAAGCCGCGGAAGAATCTCGACTGCGCCGCCAGGAGATCGAGGATGAAGACGCTCCTACGATTGTTGAAGAGAAAGACGGCGGCCCTCGCATGCAGTCTGGCATTCGGGCCGGTCTCCAGACTGCTGCGGACACCGCCGCCCTGGTCGAGAAGGAAGAGCGTGAAAAGCAAAAGGAACTTGAATCACTCAATTCGAGGACCAAATCAACGAAACACAAGGATCGACCAGTTAAGGAAGAGGAAACCATCTACCGTGACGCCACCGGCCGACGCATCGACGTCAGCCTGAAGCGAGCAGAAGCTCGAGCCGCAGCGGAGGAGAAGGCGCGAGCCGAAAGGAAAGCAAAGGAGGATGCCATGGGTGATGTGCAGCGGCGGGAGCGGGAAGAACGTAGGAAAGAATTGGAGGAAGCGAAATTCCTGAGTCTAGCCCGGGGCGTGGACGATGAAGCGATGAACGATGAGCTACGTGCTAAAATCAGGTGGGATGACCCTATGGCTGAGTACATGGCACAACAACAAGCGGAAGAAGCAACAACGGAGCGCGCTGTATCAACGAAAAATTCTGGGAAGGTGGCAGTGAGGAAGAAGGTTTATACAGGTCCTCCAGCCGCCCCGAATCGGTATGGAATCCTCCCGGGCTGGCGGTGGGATGGGGTCGATCGAAGTAATGGCTTTGAAAAAGAATGGTTCCAGGCCCGTTCCAAGAGAGGGAGAGAAGAAGAGTTGCGGTATCAATGGCAGATGGATGAGTGATCTGAGGGTGTTCCCGGGAGACAAGCACGGTGACGAGGAGGGCAACTGAAGTAAGATTGCCATGGGTTCGTCCTCACTGCCTACTCTTCCACGACCCGTTCGATTCAGAATATAATCTGCAGCCACTTTTGATTCTGATCAGTACTATGCATTGCCTCTCATTGCCTTTGATACCTCTACGAGGCATGTGGCGGGTCTATGCTAGTTTGCACGGAGGATCTGGCCAATCATCAGCGCGACTAACTCCAGGGCATGTTCTGGCTAACTATTTTCGGACATACCATAGATACTAAACCGCTGTCTTCTATTCAAAACTTTTTCCACCACAACTCCTTCTCCATTCTTTTCAAATGGAAGAAGCATCAAGTGGAAAAAGATATATAATACAGAAAGCACACCCATCCGTCCCGTGACTGACAACTCTACATGAACTCCTTCAGCAATGCGATCCTCCTAGGACATTGTGTGCCATTGATCCAGATCATCGTTGCTTGTGGTTGATTGACGGTGGGATCCGCCACCACTCCAGTCGACCTTTACCTGGTCATCCTCACTGTTCACCAGCCTCCCTCCGCTTAGCAGGCGGAATTTCAGATCGAAGCTTCCAGGAATGAGCCTGAGACGGAAATGGGCAAGCTCATAACGCTCTCCGAAATTCCACCAGTGCTTGTTTCGCACATGCCGGTCGACCAGTTTAAGATCGACAGTCACCGTGCAGAGTGTCCTCACATGGTCTTTCTCGGCCATGCTCTGTGGGAGGGCGTCTATAGGTCGTGTCGACACCACGAATTGCGCTTGCCATGGTTTTCGGTACTGTGCAGGACTCAACTTCGCCTTGAACATCTTCTCGAGGCCATTATCGGTGACTTTGTCACCCTTCGCTCGAGTCAGTCTACTTGATATTGTTTTTCCAGCAAGAGAATAAGGAGCGACTCACCTTTCGGATCAGCCATTCAATCTGGTCTACTGCCCACCTCTGTCCGTCTCTTTTATCTCGGACGACTCTTTGGCCAAAGTGTCTTTGTTGGCTGTATTTTTGATTGACAACAACGCCATAGCTGACAGGAGCGCAGCGCTGCTCAATTGGTGGACGACCTTTGCTTATTTCTTGGGCACGATAGCTGACGAGTCCTTGGACCACGGCAAGCTGCCTATCAATATTCGTCAGTCTTCATTCGCAAGCGGCATGATGGTCAACTGACAAGTTTTCGGCGAGAAGCATGCGCAGGCCGCGTATATTGGGGATCTCGGCTCCTGCTCCGGACTCAAAATGTGCCTTCACCCTGCGCTGGATGTATTCGGATGCTGACAGGCCTCCAGACATGATCAAATATGAGACTTGCTCTCCGGGGCGGTTTCTCTTGAGTGCATGCAGCTGCTCTTCTATCAGTTCAAGCAGGCCGTCGACTTGCTCGTCAAACAGGTGCTGGATGGTATCCTGATCGATCTCCATGTGAGAGTCTCTGATCCCGGCCTGCGGGTAGTCCAAGCCCGCAGGGAGCCCAACCACTGGTAAGAACAACTTTGGGGCCGTCATGCCTGGGCTTCCGAAACTGCACTTGAATCTCTCGAATCTGCCTAACATCATTCTCTCGGCCGTCTCTGGAGGGTGCAAAATCTCCGGAACCAAGGCCAACCGGCTGGCAAGATGCTGTTGTACCTTGATATCGATGAGTGCTGAGCCGACCTCTCGTCCTTTGCAATGAAATCAGCCAAGTAGCAGACACACAACTTGCAGCACTGACCTTCGACCTGAAGCAACTGCTCCAGTCTGAGTGTCTCTCCCATCTCAGACTTTACTTTCATGATGTTCACGTCCTTGTTCAGCTGTCAGCGGCATGACCACAGCGCGGTCAAGTCACTTCCATACCGTCGTGCCTCCGCCTGCATCGCACACCAAGATCACGTCGTCACGCTATGCGCGGTGTTTCAGCATCAAATTGAACCAGGCGGAAATGAAAACCAACCTTCAACATCTGCTTCGCAACACAAACAGCTGCTGCCTCAGCCTCAGTCAACGTCACCACCGAGGAATGGTACTGGCCATCTCTTCCAAAGCCAGCGAGTTTAAGAATCTCTAAAAGGTCTCGCACCATTCCAGCGTGCTTCCAAGTTGTGGGGACGCTGAAGTTCCACTCGACTCGCATTGTCGCCCATTGTGCATATCGAGTTTGGAAATACCGGGCAATATGGTCATGCACACATCTCATGTAGTCCAGATAATAACGTCGGGCGTCTTGGTGTGAGAGGAGTTTCCATTCTCCATATTCAGGGTCGAGATGGAGCTTGAAATACTCTTTGATGTCGACTGTCTTATCCGCGACGTCGGCGAAGAAGCCCCAAGACTTTATATTCGCCGTCCCATGGTCATATGCCAGACGCGACGGCGCCTTGTTGAAAAGCTCGGATGCAATGGTAGTCCAGCTCTGAAAAGTTGAAGGATTTGTCCATGGTGCAGTGCAGTATGCCACGCCTACATCAAGTCAATTGTTGTTCTACGTCGGGCCCGTTGGAAATACCTGTCTGTGACATGCCAAAGTCAACTCCAATGACAAGCTCGGGTTGGGCGTTGCCGGCCATGATTGATTTTCTGGAGACCTCTTTTCAAGCAAGTTCAGAGAAGTCTCGGGCGGCATAGGTTGGCCTCTTCAGGGAATCAGACCAACGGCAGTCCAACTAGTCTCTCATCCCTCTCGCTCAGCCTAAGAAGCTATCGTCACCCCAGCACGGAGGCTGTGTATGTCCACCGGCATCCTTAAAAGCAGCAAGTGAATGGAGGACCACCCTCTTCATGCACGTCGATGGGTCCAAAATGCATGTCAGTGAGACAAGGTCGTGGTGGGCTTGTTCTGGATCAGGCTGGCGGCCATGGTTGCTTGGTGCATGGGGGCTGTGAACCCACCCACCTCGTATTCATGAATCCCAGCCTCACCGTGTTCGGTGCAAAGGAAGAAAGGACCTTGACCAGGCAAAACAATTTCAAATGAATTAAACGGTTGAGCGTCCTCTTCTTGCACGAATTCGTTCCCGGACGCAGATATTGACCCAAAGAGTCGGCCACCATGTCTGAGAATCCCTCCCCCGATACTCAAGCGTCAACTTCAGACAATGCCTCTAATGCAGCCTCATCGAGCACCACCACCAGCAGTTCTCCAAGCGACTTTTCAGAACCCTCAGCAAGCAGTACACCAGCAGCCTCTACGGAGACTGACACAGACAACATACCGGCTCTCTTTACGAGCACCTCCTCAAGTCTTACAGCAAGCATCCCATCAAGCACTCTCACAACGACAAATGCTTCATCGTCACCTTCCTCCGGGGCGACAGGCACTCCACAGACCCTACAGCCGACGGCTTCAAACCACCTTTCTGACGGAGCAATCGCTGGAGTGGCCATTGGTTGTGCCGCGCTCGGTGCTCTTCTCGCCCTCATACTCATGATCCTCTTACGTCGACGCCAGTCAAAGTCTCCGTCCAGACATCACAAAACACACTCTCGTCTCGCCCACAAATCGTTCAGAAGTGACAAGGACCCAGGCAAGTCTCTGGTCCGCTCGAACATTGCTCCCGTTGCCGCGCAGGCCGACGTCAACATCGATGCTTTCCTCCCGCAGCAAACCGACGATGCCACGGTCAAGCAGAGGGTTCTGCTTCTGTTTGACCAGATTGAACTCCACGTCGACAACTACTACAGCGAGCAGCCCGTGCAACTGACGGCCGAGGAGCAGAACGAGCTCTCCAGGTTTGGAACCCCCGAGTTGCCCATGCCGCTGGGTGCTCTGCTGGAGACATCTCACCGCAAGGTCACCGTCATCAAGCACTGCCTCGCCTATCACGCCGTGCAGCTGGTCACTCCATCGCACTCCTCGGACTGTCTACTACCTTACGAGGTGTCTAACATGCTTCTCCTCGCCACGCCCAAGTCCAATGACCGCAGTACGTCTCCCCTCCCCCCCCACCCCCAAAAGTGTCCTGTACAACAGACAAAAAACTAACCAAAAGTATAGACTTCCACCTAGCCCTCTCTCGCTGGCGCATGCTCACGGCATACCTGCGCCCAGACATATTCGACGGGAAGGAGCTACCCGAGTCTACCGCCAGCGCCGCAACAGCAGACCAGGACGCCCACCTGTACACCCTCGCCCAGGCGTTCTCGGACCGCTTCGCCGCCTTCAGCCAGCCGCACAACGCGGAGCAAAAGGTCAAGCACCTGGCCGAAGTGCTGCGCACCGCGGTGCGAATGGCGCTCTGGCTGTACGCGCAGCCCGCGACGTTCCGGTTCGACTGGGGCCCGGGGCCCGCGCCTCCGCCGGACATGGCGGCGGCGCGGCGCGCGACGACGCCCACGGTCGTGACGGTGCCGTCGCTGGTCAAGACGCATGACGGGATGGGAGGGGAGATCCAGCCCGCCCAGATCATTCAACTCCTCGTCAAGAGGCGCGTGTGAGGGTATTCTCGTCTCCTTTGAGGTCTATTGAGATATGTCTTTTTCCTTTGATTAGTTTCTGACCTGAGGTAATATGACAAGGAACAGTGGCTGGTTCATTCACTTCATTTCATTCCCTGTCTTTGTTTTTTATTTTTCATTTACTTGTACTGTAGGAGGTAAAAAGCAAAACCCTCAACTACATACATGGACACATGCGTTGATATAACGCCTCCGGCCCCCACAGACCGGAGAAACTCTCAAAACTATGAATTTCTAAATCAAGTCAATAATTAATGAATGGCCCCTCCTTCTCGTTTTGGGGAGTGGTCCTGCTTCAGACCCGGTTTACTACCCTGGCCCTTCGCTCCCTGAGAATGCTGGACTTCATGGCCTGGTGCTCCAGCCATGATCTCGGCTGGTACTCGCCCGTCCCCAGTGTGGATCCGGTTATTGACCCGGTCCCTGTCGCCGAACCCGGTGCTGACGCCGTCGCTCTCAAGGGCGCCATTGGTTCGTCCCCACAGGGGGCCTCGACCAGAGTGCTCGATTCACTGCGGACGGGGCTCGGCCAGGGCTCGCTGATCGGACTCCGCTGGATTGGGACGTTGCGGAAGAACTGCGCGGGCACGTCGGCCGGCATCTCTGAGGGGAGTTCTCTCATCGTTGGAAGTGGTGACTGTGACTGTGCGGACGGTGGTGGTGATTGTGGTGATGGGAGAGGTGGTGATAGTGTCGTAGGTGTCGTTGGTTCGAAGTTTGGCGTGGTCTCTGCAAGGGGCTGTTCCCGCAGAGCACGGGCGCGGAGGTTGTCGGTGCTGGGCTTCGGGGTCGACCTGCTCATGTGCTTCCACTGGAGCAGCTGGCTGGTGTTGTAGCTGGGCGGTCTGTCTCTCCTGACACGGGCGGGATCACCCCCCGCCGTGCCGTACGACCGCAGAAGCCGCAGCGTCGAGATGTTCTGGGTGAGCGTGGTGTGGACAATGTTCAACCGCTTCAACGCGGCCGTGACGCTCGAGTTGTCGCTCAGCACCCACATGACCCGCGTCGAGAAGTGGATGCGACAGTCGGCGTCCTGGTCGACCCGGGCGGGCTCGAGGAGGAGAGCGACCTCCTCGGCCGCCCTCTTTGTCTCCTCCAACACGCGCTCATAGTCCCTGCGCTCTGACAGCGGGAGCAGATCTTGCTGGTGGCTCAGTAGCTCGCGGCAGGTCTTGATGTTGGTCCAGGCGTGCTGGGCGGTGATGAGGTATTCTCTCGTCTGTTGATCGACGGCCCTCAGGGCGTAGGTGACCTCGCAGATCTTGAAGACAAAGGTCAAGCCCGAACTGACGCCGGCCGTGATAGCCGACCACGGATTCGCGCTCATGGTTTTTTCTTTGTCTCTTTTTTTGGTGAAAGGTTCAAAGATTCAGGTCAAGAAGGGAATTAGAACCCCTCGCTCCGAATGATAGTCCTAGACTAGAGCGTGAGCGATTTTACCAGTCTTGGACCATCCTATCGCTTCCGATCGAAAAAAAAGGAGTCGAGTGATGAGGCTGAAAGGGGGCACACTTGTTCAGAAAAGAGGGGTTGCTCTCTCGCCAATATTCTCGTTTCCGAGTTTCTGGGCAGACAGAGGAGACTCGGTAGACACAGAGTCAGCCGACCACGAGGCAGAACCAGGCGCAGTTGTGGGTTGCGAAGCAGGGTGGTCTACTGGGCTAGTTGGACAGGAAAAGGCACTCGAGTCGGACAATCATCAGGTTACTCAACGTGCAGACACGAGGACGAGGTCCTGCTGGACCAGTTAGTCCTGCAAGGCAAACGGATCCAAAAAGCCCCAAAAGCCCAAACAGCCCAAAAGCAGCTTGGGAAGGGGGCCAGGTCGGTCTGGGCAATTTCTGGTCATGGATATGCAGCCAATGACGCTGAGGCTCAGCCTGATCGCGCATTGTCGAGGACGGTAAAAGCAGCATGGCACGCGTGGCAGCTGAGAAGTCGAGTTGCTCTAAATCGGCCCCCTGCAGGAGACTATTGGGCGCTATCTCTCGTATACCTTTCACAAATTCTGGCTGTGCATGATGCCATCAAAAGCCACCAAAAGCCAGACTGGGGGGAGGGGGGGTTGGGTGAGGGACTGTGGCGACAGCCGCAAGAGCACCATCAGGCTGCCGGTGGGAAGATGGTTTAATGCTTAAGAGGGGCCGAGGTCAGGGAAGAGATATTCTAGGAATAAGTCCTTTTTTATTTTCTGTCAATCCAAGGAGGGGGAAATTGGAAGGAAAAGAGCTCCTCCCTCGACGAAGAGAATAAGCGTCAAAGGACAAGATACTCACACCGCAAGTAACCACCCAGCACCCAACCAAACCACACAAGCCATGTTCTGTGCTGTCGTTGCCCTTTTCTGCCATGTCCTGGGTCTGGTGTATGCCCTCGACTATGCTGGAGCCATCGAAACTGGTGTTGTCGGCCTCGATCCTCGTGGTTGGTCACCAGTGCCGACTCCGGCGCCATACTATAATGTCTATCGCCGCCGACTGCAGAAGAGAGACCTGACCGACACATGTGCCTTGGTCAATGATGCGCCGTTGACATGTCCCTCAGGTGAATACTGTGCATACAATGCCGACCTGGGCTACATGGGATGTTGCTCTGTCGACGCCCAGGGCAACTTCGTCAGCGATTGCTACTACACGACCAGCTGTGTCGATGTGGCTCAAAGCTCATCCATCTGCGGTGTGACCAGTGGATGCCTGGGTCTACAAACCGGTGTCTGGTATGTTATTTACCGTCTCTTTCCTTGGAGAAGCCTCGCAAGCATGGGAAGGTTGCTGATATTGACGACTTCTGTCTCTATACAGTGGACGAAACACGCTTTATCCCGAATGCTTGACCATCGTCCTCTACTACGGCGCTGTCAACTCATACACGACCTACCGGTGCGGTCCGTCCGCGGCCTTTGTGACGGCAAGTGCAGCGCCCTCGGATACTACGACGACGTCAGTAACGACGACGACAACGACAACACCCAGCCCCCCGCCGACCACAACGCCACCCACCCCAGTTACCACCCCTCCCACCACCTCCTCAGCTCCTTTCTCGTCGACGACGACGACCCCGATAGAGACCGAGAAATCCAGTTCCAACCACACGGGCGCCATCGTGGGCGGCGCGGTCGGTGGCGTGGGAGGCCTCCTCATCATCGCCGGCATCATCGGCTTCATCATCTACCGGATCCGCGTGAAGAGACGCGAGGCAGAGTTTGCCGACGACACGCCCGAGATCCCTGGCACGGCTCACGTACCGAAATGAGATTATTTTCCCACCTCTCCCTTGTCTGTCTACAGTACCTACAACTTCCTTTACCAACATTGTGTTATGAGGTCCAAGCTCAGCTCGAGGGATTTCCATCTAGTCCTAATCCTAGTGTCTAGTGTCTAAGTGCGGTGGCCATCTCTCTCTCTCTCTCTCTCTCTGCATCTCCATCTCTATTTCTCAAAATATAGGTTATATCCACCCTAACCTCAGAGGCTCAGCCTGGGACGCCGTGGGGCCCACCCTGCACATACCGGGTTTGGCTAGCTGCTGGACACCCCAGTGAAACGGCGACTTACGATGATGAGAGCGTGTGTGTGGATGGATCGTGCGGAGTCATGTCTGTCTTGTGTGTCTGTCTGTGGGAACAAAGGATCCTGTTGTGTCTTTTTTCAACTTCAAGCTTTATAGTAGGGAGGGCCTTTTGCCGTTTAGGTGGTGGTGATTATGACTATTACTCGTCAAGATCTAATCAATGCTGCTCCTCTTTTTGACGGATGGATCTCTGCGTTTCATCGTGGGCATACGGAGTACCGATTAGGTCCGGGCGGGTACTCGCGTACGAGTGAGCCCGCCTCGCCGCCTACGGGGGCCCTGGGCCCCAACCCACACGGCCGCGTCTACTCGGAGAATAGATCTGTGGTGGAGCAATCCCGCGAGGCCGCCCGCATAAGTTGATTATTATCCCCCTTGGCGTGCCTGGCTAGAATGTATCTTTTATAGATCCACCCTGCAGTCTACTCGTACAAGTGGCTAGAATATGCCTGCACCGCCCATATGGATCTCGAGACTTTCACAAGGTGATACCTAGTGCGGGCGAATATAAAATTTTGCCTAAATAGCTCGATCAAGAATCAATGTCTACCAGTGGGTGATCAAAGTTAGACGGGTCGGAGCTTCCTGCTTTTACACCTTTGCCTTGGAAAAGCTAAGCTCCCTCAAGATCTTGTCATTGTGCTCTCCCACCGCGGGGATCGGGTCCATCCTTGCGTCCACATCGGCGCTCATCCCCGGTGGCAAGAAGGCTGGGATCGGGCCAACCTCAGTGTCAACCTGCCCGAAGCGTCTGCGCGCCGCGAGCTGCTCGTGCTCCCATACCCCTTGCATGTCGTTGACTTTTGCGTTGGCGATGCCGGCCTTCTCGAGCCGTCTGACGACCTCGTCGGCGCCGCCGCCCCACGAGGCGAAGATGCCGCTGATGATGGCCTCGAGTTCGGCGCGATTGTCACTCCGCGAGGCCGTGTCTTTGAACTTGGGATTGGTGGTCAGGTCCTCGCGCTCGAGGACATCCGCTGCCAGGATCTTCCACTCCCGCTCGTTCTGCACGCCAAGCATGACCTGGGCGCTCAGGCTGCCATCAGGGGAGATTCCGGTTGAGAATGGGCCATAGGGATAGATACTCGCATGAGCAGCTCCAGCTCGCTTGGGGGCTGTCTGGCCTTCAAACGCGTAGTACAGGGGGAATCCCATCCACTCGACCAGCGACTCGAGCATGGACACGTCAATCACACATCCCCTCCCAGTCTTCTGTCTTTGAATGATCGCTCCCAGAATACTGCTGTACGCATAGATTCCCGCGGCGATATCCGCTATCGAGCATCCCACCTTGGCCATCTCATCCTTGGTGCCTGTGATGCTCAACAAGCCCGCCTCCGCCTGAACGAGGAGGTCATACGCCTTCTTGTGTGCGTAGGGACCGTTACCTCCATACCCGCTGATCGATGCGTAGATCAACCTGTCGCCCCTCGCCTCGCCGGGAAACGCGGCGTTCATCATAGCTTTCATGTCTTCGTAACCCAGGCCCATCTTCTCAGCGTCGCCGGGCCTCAAGTTTTGAACAAAGACATCGGCCTTCTCACAAACCAGCTTCCGGAGCACTTCCATATCTTGGGGTTTCTTGATATCCAACGCGAGGGACTCCTTGTTGCGGTTCGTCCATACAAAGTGACTGCAGAGCTTCCCCCGGATGCGCTTGTCGTGGTGCCGGACAAAGTCCCCAGTCCCTGGACGCTCGATCTTGATGACTCGAGCGCCGAGATCAGCAAGATGGCGAGTTGCAAGAGGCATGGAGATGACCTGTTCGAGAGCCACGATTGTTATATCGGAGAGAGGTCGACTGGAGGGTGCATTGAACTGGAACGCTTCGGAGCTGGGAACGTTGAGCGTGCTTTGATGGCGGTGAGACGACACCACTACGCCTCTGTGCGAGGTCGACCTCGGATGGACATCCCAGCGAGAGAGTGGTATCCGGTTGTTCCTTGTTGTCCCTGTCTGGAGCGAGAAGGAGTAGTTCCTGGTACAACGGCCATTCGTCCTCCACCAAGCTTTTCTCAGGGAGCTGACCTGATAGAACAGCCTCGTAAAGTCATGCTGCACGGATCCCATCTTGATTGTCGTTCGTTCGTAGTGCTCCAAATATATCTGTGTGACTCCTCAGCAACTCGATGGGTTTTTTTTTCAAACTTCTCAAGTCCTGATAGCTAGATTGTCACCGCTCACCACCAGAGGGACAATCAGTAACGTGGTTAGATCTGGGGAATCTGCAGTACCTCCGGGCTCGGTCGTGGTTGACACTGGGAGCCTTTCCCCGCACGAGGCTGCTGCGTCGGTGATAGCAACCGGTGATTCGCCGGTGCGGGGAAGCACCGTCACGTGTCAGTCCACTCCCGAGGAGTATCTTGCTTGATTTCCGATTTCGGCCACATATTCTCTCAGCCTCGACGACCCGTAGGTTGTGGTATTGTGAGACTAGCGTTGAGGTGTGCCAGAAAAATAATGGGCAACTCTGTACAGAAAATGCCACTTCTGCTGGGACCACCCTCTGAAAAAGAGCCATGCTTGAATAGCGTCCCAACAGCCCATCGAATGAACCTAGGGGCTGGCCGCTGCGGCATCTCTGGGCAGCCAGTTCTCTGCAAGCCTCAATCAGCGTCCAGAATCACTAGACTACGCACGAGTCCACGGTAACCATGAAGACACCAGAACATCAACCCCTATCTGTCAATAACTCGCAGGAACACAACGTGGAAAGGCCTCGTGTCCTGTCAGAGGGCACGTCCCTGGACCAAAGAAGCTTCCTGCATAATCAATGGCTTCCACTAAGTGGTTAAGGCTGTGGGGGACGGTCCCACCCCCACCACAACCGAGCCGAACTTAAGCCTCGACCATGTCTGCAAGACAGCCAAGTCGCCGAGGCTGGAAGCGGTCTCGAATAATTGGATTCCGGATTGTTGGTATTACGGGGCAAAGCAGCAGCTGGAAGTTCCTCGATACTGGGGAAGGGTCTTGAATGTGACTGAAGGAGCTAAGGACCTCCCCAGCTACCAACAAGCGAGACTGTTAACAGCCGGCACCACCGGTTCTTTTGAAACTGCTCCTTCTCATGTCGTTACTCTACTTGTGTTCTTGGGCCAGCCAACAATTACTCGCCGAAACGTGCACCCACAGTTTAAGCAGAAAGGTATCCATAATCATCCCAACCGGCCCGTGCACCAGAGTGCAGCGGGTGAAGTCTCATGTTATCCACCGGCTCAGCATATCACTGCACCTTATGTCAGCAGAGCTTCTCCAGGAGAGAGCACTTACAGCGACACATGATCAAACGTAGGGCATTGCTCCAAACTCCTGTGACGAGAAGGCTGATTGAATCCTGGGGAAGATACGGAGCTGCGAGCATTCCGCTGTGATATATGCTCGCAAACATTCAGCAGAAGGTAAGTGACCCACTACTTCTCCAAGTTTGGTTTCGAAGGATTCAAAATTGATCCCGTTTGTGCCAGTGACGCTCTGAAGAGGCATGCCTCTATCCACCAGTTTCCGGAAAAGGCGTCTTCGTCCTCAACAACCTCCAGCCAGGGAATTTCAACCCGGTCAAAGCGAGCTTCTGCTGCTTGCGACGCCTGCTCCCGATCAAAGACGAAATGTGATGGGAAGTTCCCTTGTGGTCAGTGTCTTGCGCGGGGAAGACTTTGTACGTTGGACAGACCACATGTCCTCAAGCGGCGATGTGTCCTGCCGGGCCACGAGCTTGCTCGTCAGAATCGTGGCACTAGCACCGAGGCTCGTGAGGAGATCGAGGCGGCCGACGCCCGACCAGAAGATTTAGCCTGGCAAGGTCTGCGAGTAAGTGTTCCCACCATGATAGTCAAGTGCAACCGCTGACTCCTCGTTCTCATCAGTCTACCAACGAAAGCATGGCATGTGCAGCTGGCCAAGGTAAACTGATGCACGATGAAGAGGGAGGCTTGTAACGTCTAACAGTGACATAGACCGTGTTGAAACGAGCAGGCAGTCTGGCGACAATTCTTGCAGTCAAGTGCCCGTAGACGGGGACTTAGAACCCCCTTCTCAACAGCAGTTAACAGAGCCACTGGTAAACCCTGCAGACACGCAACCCCTGCATTCACTTGGTCTGAGTGATGGACCTATCTGGAACGACTTTACTTCACTCGACTGTCACAATCCATTCGAGTACGAGAACCTCACACAACTTTTCTGGTTTCCCGAGACCTTTGTTGTCGACGACCTGGCTCTAGCACAAGGGTCTGGCCAGAGTTCTGCCCATGGAGCACATGGGTCAAGCAGTGCGGACAGTGCGGTGGATCCATATGCGGATTGGGTTCATTCTCATCCTTTGAAAAAGGGACCTACGGTTGATGTGATCCGGATTTGTGACTTCTTGCACGATTCGAAGAGTTGGGCACAGATTAACACGCTCGAGGGCAGACCGGGGTTGAAGCGAACGCTGGGCCCGGTGGTCGCGGACGGACTGCGTGACACTGTTTCTTCTCGGATACACGTCATGGTGTCCAAGGCACTTGATCAAGATCTTGTCAGAAAGATTCCGCATCTATTTCCGCCTCTCCAGACCGTCCAAGGAATACTGGCAGAATACCATCGGAATCTCGCCCTGCTCTACCCGATGGTACATCCGACTACCTTCCTCGAGTCCACCTGGGGCGAAGATGAAGCTTATTCCGACATTGGCCTCTTCTTTTCCACCTTGATGGTCCTTGGCTGTGTCACTATACCTCTGGCAGAGGCTCGATCGTTCGCGATCCAGCTGGCCTTCCTCATCCGCAACATGATCAACGAGACCATGACGAGGGATGAAAATCAAATCAACGATATTTGGACCATGAGCACCGCGCTACTGGTGACGGTGTTCAGCGCTTGGTGTGGTAACAAGAGACATGCGGAGCTTGCAGAAGCGTTTCGGGGCACCTTTTCAACGGTTGGTGAGCCCTTGAGCCGCTGCTTTGAATTAATATCTAACACAAATCCAGGCGTTTCTCCGCCGAGGCTATTTCAAGTCTGCTGCTCCCGTTGATGACGGGGCTATCTTCGCCAATTGGGGAGCCTGGATAAACAGAGAGCGAAAGACTCGGTATGTGAGATCTCCTTCCATTCTCCTGTCTAACAAAGGGAGATTTCTTTCCCCGCAAACCCCACTGACATACAGCCTCTAGTATGGGATATGTCTGGTATATTGTGGAACAAGAAATTGGCCTCTTCCACTGTCTATCCCCTACAATCCACTTCTCGGATATGCGCAGCCCCATTCCCTCGGCGGATGAGCTCTTCTTCGCCGAGACGGAAGAAGAATGGAGTGCGTTGGTACGGAGCTACCGTCAACTCGAAGGTCCAGGAAATATGTCGAGACTACACCCGCCATCCCTTGCGGCGTTCTACGGCATGTTCCTTCGGCACAATTTTCTTGAGCGGCACTGCCACGTCACCCCGTTGCAGTTGAGGCTTTTGCTGTGTGCGATCCAGACTCAAGTCACCCAGTTCGTCCAGAGCAATCGATTCGTTAGTACCGAACAATCCTATGCCGACGACCCACATGTCGAAACCAGCAGTTTCGCATCCCTCCGGCAAGAAGAACTGCAGACCATGCTTGTAAAGTGGTACATTCTGAGACAGAAAGTCCTCGGCACTGACGGCGAGACTGAAATGACCCTTGCATGCAAGCTGATTTACCATCTGGTATGGCTGGAGTTGCTCATCTGTTTCAGTGACATCCAACTTCTGGCCGGCCGGGAGGGACCAGCTGGTGCCAAACCGCTGATACCACAGTTCCAACGCTGGTTTCGGTCGCCATTCTCTTTCAAGGCGCTGGCACACGTAGGCCAAGTCCTGGAAATCTTGCAGTGTCCGAGGCATACGGTCCTGCGGCCGCTCTGGTGGCCGGTCGCGTTATTTCGCGTTTCCTTGATCATGTGGGCTTATAGCGTCGGATTGAAACTCCAACCGAGCCGCGCGCAGCAGGAATACGAGCTGGAGTTCGGGTCTGCCCCGCGGATACCACTGAACGATACCGAACAAGGGACAGGACCCCACGGAAGGGTCATCCGGCAAGGGGAGGGTATCCCGTGTGTGCTTCACCCCACGGGGGCATTGATCCCCGTCACAGAATTCCACGACGCTTCCAAAATGTGTCTGGATCTGCTGGAAGAAGGGAGAGTCCAGAGTACCCCTATATGTGAGGATGTGTACCGCTTCTTGCAAGCCATCAGACAGTACGACTTTGTCGGCACGAAACCGTGATTTGGGCGATTTGCCTTCTGCCATGGTGGTGGTTCACAAATCACAGATGAACTTTGGGATTCCTGTCTTCGTCATGAATAGAGGTAGGACAGCACGGACTCGATCGTCTTGGTCAGTCCGCCAGGAGAAGGGGAGATGCCCACCGTGGTCTGGCTCCAAAGCACCTGGGATCTCGCCTGGTCTGGCCGGCTGGAGACTCCATAGTAATATTCCGTTCTCTTGACTGTCTTCCTCTTGGATGAGGAGTACCTCATATAGCTTACAGAGTAACAAACTTTCTTTGGGCGCATTCCGACCTCTTGGAAAGATTTTCAAGACGTGTGTAGCGTGGTTAAAGGTGTAAATGAAGTATCCTTTTCGGGCCGAAGGTTGTGCTGGGGGAGAATAAGGGGCCCGTCGCCCATCCAGCCATTTTACCCCAGAGCAGATTCGGGCCGAGCGAGAAACCAAGTTGCATGGCTTTTGCGAGCAGCTGTGCTTCGGCACTGCACACCCCATTCAAGCCAGACACAGCTCTAAACAAGTTCACCGCCTGTCATGAGAAGGTCAATATATCTCTCGATTCCTTTCGTTTCGAGGTTTCCTCCTTGACACCGCTAAAGAATACTTGTGTGGGTGTATTCTCGACTCGCCAGGATGTTTCTCTTACCACCAAGCTATCTGTATCTGGGAGCGATTGCCCTTGTGGTATATTTGGCTGGCTGGATCATCTATACGACGTACTTCCACCCCTTGCGACACATTCCTGGACCGTTTCTCGCGCGCGTCAGTCGGGCGTGGATCACATGGCACATACTCCGGGGTGACATGGACCACGAGCAGCGGAGGCTGCACGCGAGGTACGGGCCTTTTGTGCGCATCGCACCGGACGAGGTGGCATGCTCGGACCCCAGGGCCATCCCCGTCATCTACCCTATGAAGGCGGCGCTTCCCAAGAGCGACTTCTACACCATGTGGCAGAACCCCAACATCGGCAACTTCCCGGACCACTTCAGCCAGCGCGACGAAAAGGTGCACGCCGAGCGGAGGAGGATCGTCAGTCACGTCTACTCGCTGAGCAATATCCTGCGCTCGGAACCGTACATCGACCACTGCTCCGAGGTGTTTATGGAGAGGATGGGCGCGTACGCGGACGCCGACGAGGTGGTGGACCTGGGCGAGTGGCTTCAAATGTGCGTACGCAGGTTGTTCAGCTACTCTACACGCGCAAAACCCAAGCGTGGTAAAGGGGGAATCGTCTCATTCTCTAACTGACGGGACGGGCCCTGATAGGTACGCATTTGACGTCGTCGGCGAGCTCTTCTTCGGCAAAATGTTCGGCTTCATGAACGAGGGCCACGACCACGAGAACTGGATCGCCTCTCTGGACCTGCTCATGCCCTTTCTTACCATCACCAGCGTCATCCCCAGCTACCTGCGGACACTCCTGGCCGTCTCGGCGTTGTTGTTCCCCAAGGTGCGCCAGGCGTTTCAGGCCTTGAACACCCTCGAGGCCGCGGCTAAGAGATGCGTCGTGGAGCGTAAGGAGCTTTTGCAGAATCCCAACGCCGCCGCCGACGACAAAGGCCCGGGGCCGCGTCGCGACCTGCTGGCCCAAATGTTTGCCATTCAGCAGAGTAAAGGCGCCGACGTCAATTTTTCGGAGAAGGATATGACCAAGGAATCGTATTCTGCCATGTGAGTGTGCACGAGATCTCTCTCTCTCTCTCATCGCAGCTCCTTCAAATCAGTATTCGTGAGGTCTGACTCCTAGCCTCGCTTTTGGGCCTAAACAAACAGATTCGCAGGTTCCGACACGACCGCCATCGCCATGCGAGCCACGCTGTATTTCCTCATGACACATCCCACAACCTACGACCAAGTCATGTCCGAGATCGACCAGGCGACGGCAAACGGCACCATCCCCACCACCGGCCCGATCGCCTACTCCCAAGCGACCAAGCTGCCCCTGCTGTGCGCGAGCATCAAAGAAGCCATGCGTCTCCACCCGAGCGTGGGCCTGACGCTGCCTCGCGACGTACCTCCCCAGGGCCTGGTGATTGGCGACACGCCGATTCCTGGGGGCGGCACGCGAATCGGAATGAATGCGGCGGTGGTGCACTATGACCGGTCTGTGTTTGGAGAGGACGCCGACACGTTTCGACCAGAGCGGTGGCTCGTGGACAGCACGGCCCAAATGGATCGTTGCATGCTCCATTTCGGGGCGGGGACGAGGACGTGTCTTGGGAAGAATGTGAGTTGCCTTGTCTACCCAGTATTTCCTTTTTCTCTTTGCTTTTTGAGATATTCCTCAATGTCTGGCAATCGAATCTGGGCCCGACCAGCTAGCTCAGCGTGCAAAACGCAACACGCCCCGCGTGGGGGAACATTCATGAAGGGGGACAAGATCTTCTCAGAAAGGAGCACAACACCTGGACTGACTTGTTCTTTTTTTTCCGAGAAAACCAGATCTCCCTGAGCGAACTGCACAAGCTGATCCCGACTCTCCTGCGCGACTTCAAGCTGGACCGCGCCACCGAGGAGCCGTGGAAGACGTATAATTTCTTCTTCACCACGCAGAAAGGCCTGTTGGTCCGGTTGCGACGGCGGACGCCGAAGAGGGCAGAGACCGACACACCAGAGATGGGAGGGAGGCGTCATATTCTATAGTTTCTGCGGGCGAGGGTGGGACGTCTCTCTGCGCATAGTTGGGTTGGAGAGGAAGTGTTGTAAACTACGAAAATTGGAAAAGGATACAAGACAGGGCGGCTATATTGTCTGAGATGTCCTGATTTGTCCTGAATCTCGACAATAAGCAGACCATTCGATACACAGGACACAGAGGGACGGGGGGGGGGGGGGGGGGAAGAGACTCCATGTCTGGTTCTGGTTCTGGTTCAGCAGCAGTGGAAAGTGGCTTTCTGGTAACAGAGCAGAGCAGAGAACAGTTCTCCTGCGACAGGGTATCACTGCGAGGCGTCCATTTTGTTCACCTATCCCTATCTATACCTCTCCCAAGGGGGCCGCGGGTAATGTGTGAACCACGAACTCGAACAGTTCAACCCTGTGAATTCATCCATCAATCGCAATCGTCAAGACCACCAGGTCAAGGCAACACTCCCCGATATGGCCAGACGTGATGTTATCCATTTGACAACATACTGTGATCGAGGATGCCATGATGGCCGTCCATGGCCACACACCTCCACCTGCAATTCACCATTGATGTGATGGGACCTCCTTACCCAGCCGAGGAGACTAGTCATGCATGCATGCACGGTCCTTCTCGCGTAGCCCTCTGTCTTGGTAGAGAAGGTGGGGATCCCACCACACCCGAACCGAGCCTAATACACAACTAGCGAGGGAGAGAGAGAGGCAGTCAACAGGTATCAGGCATCTCTCCAGAGAAACTCGAAACGGTCCAACCCAGACAGTCACGCGGCATGCCTTGAAAATTAAGTTTCCTGTTCCTCTTATATTATTTGTAATTGCGGGATGCGGGATGGGGGGTCATCAAGCACGAGAGGTGAAGTCATGCTGTGATGTGATATACCTTTCCTTGAGCACTAGACACTTGGACAGGTGACAGGTCAGCACAGAAAACAAAGCAATACCGCAGGGTGATATCTAGCATATACCATACTTGACCACACGACGCACCTCACCATCGAGTGTCTAAGAGTCACTAGTGCCGCCATCTCCAGAGCAAAAAAAGTGATAATAGAGGAGATGGGCTCGACGACACGAGAACAACAACGCACCGCACGCGCCGAGATCACGGCAGTCATGCACCGCTACGCGTCTCTCGCGCGCGAAAACGCCGATTGGGACACAATGGCCGCGCTGTTTGCCCCGGACGCGCTGTATCGTCTGCCCAACGGGGTCGCCGTGGACCCCAAGCGCATGGTCGAGGTGGTACAGGGCAACGAAGCCAAATACATCCGCCACCACGTCACGACCGTCGACATCACCTTTGTGGGCGAGGCCGAGGCGCATTCAGAGGCGTTTTACCTGGCGGTCACGGACCGGGCGAGCCCGGATCACTGGGGCATGTGGAAGGATGTGTTTCGACGGAGGGAGGAGGATCACGTCTGGCTCATTCAGGATCGGACCATCTATGTCGATGGCGCCGCGCCGGGAGGGTGGTATGCGACGGTTTACGGCATGCCAGGTGCAACTGTTGATGGTTGAATTAGGGGATGGAGTCCCGTGGAAGAATTCTGTCACTCGACAGGGAGGGAGGGGGGTAGTCATGAAGACAACAATGTGCTCCCTGGGAGCAGAGAACTGCCATCTGTTTGTTTACCTCGAAAATCTGGATTGGATCCGAGAGAAGTAAAGTTGCTGTCTCCAGATCCCAATCAGGCGGGGAGAGGTCTTCCTTGTTTGATAGTGGTAACCCATTAGTCCAAGAATTCTTCTTAAGGATTCATCAGGAGATATTGGAAAAGTTCTGTCTTCCGACCATATCCATCTTTCTGACCTCGAAACATAATTTGAACCATTGGTAAGTAGGTGCGGGTGACGCATTGTGAGCCCGCTGTCAGATCAACAAAATCGGCTGAATCTGGCCCAGCATACCTCGTGCTTGGTGGCATCCGCTTCGTCTAGCCCAGCCAGCTGGTGTTCTGGATGTCACAATGTCTCGAACGAACTCTTGAGCAGTCGGCACGGAAGTGGTGGGTGACTTAGAGGGCAAAAGGCTGACTTTTCTGAGCAGTCGCCAGTAGTGGCAATAACAGTGGCCACGGCACCAGCGAAAGTCGAGGAACAACAGTCAGTCATCGTCCATATGACCAGCCATGGCTCCGTTCAAACCGCATATACTCCGATACATGACGTGTCTGTCAGGGAAGAACTGGGAGATTCCGCTCGATTGCCCATCTATAACTTCTGTCTTTCTGTGAGTTATCAAAGCCATAAAGGAGAGACACGAGAAGAATGGGCTCGTCAACGACGCAGACACCAGTTCTTATTGCAGGAGGGGGTCCCACTGGTCTCTTTCTGGCGTTACGCCTTGCCCGGGCGGGGATCCGGACGGTGGTGTTTGAGCAAGACACCGAGCTCTATCCCACGCCTCGTGCATTGGGGTATTTTGGCCCGTCACAGTTCGCTCTTCAAAACGCAGGGATCTGGGAAGAAGTTCGAGACAAAGGCTACCTGCTCAGGGGCCTCTCGTGGAGGAAGACTACTCAGCAGATATCTCCAGACATCCGAAGCTGGGGTCCTCTGATTGCTTCTTGGGACCTGACCAAAGGATCCGCCTCGAAGGAGGGTGAATGTGGTTACGGCATGACGATCCTCGGACAACATCGGTTGAGGGAGATCATCCTGGCCAATCTAACCGCCTCGGGGCTTTCCCACATCTATTTCGGTCACAAAGTTATCGGTGTTGGCCAGGACCAAAATTCGGAAAATGTGAATGTGACGGTCCTCGACGAGCAAGGTGGCCAGCGTTCCTTTGAGGGATCATATCTGGTGGCGGCCGATGGAGGAAAGTCCACAGTACGCAAACTGCTCGGCTTGTCCCTTGACGGAATCACTTGGCCTCAGGTTCTAGTGGCGACGGACACTTGGGTCGACCTTCCAATGCCCGACGATGGCCCTCCATTTGCGTATATTGTTGATCCAGTGGACTGGGCTCTGTTTAGCCCCATACAACGGCCGTCTGAGCATGGACCCAGCTACTATCGCATCACTGTGGCCATGTCTCACGAGCAGTGTGAACCAGACGTTCTCGACCAGAATCTGAGACAGAAACTGGAAAGGTTGATTCCTGGCCCGCGACCAGCCAAGTATGAGGTGATACGGTCGCAGAGGTACGAGACTCATCAGCGAGTTGTCCCATCCATGCTCTCTGGGAGATGTATGCTGATCGGTGATGCGGCGCACCTGAACAATGTACGTTGACCTCCCATGTTCTATCTCTCTCTTTACAACTTCCTCCCAATGAGCATATGCGTGAGAGAAGTGCTGATGAATTGGATACAGCCCTGGGGAGGACTGGGTCTCAGCACGGGCCTGCTTGACGCGGACTCCCTGGCCGACGCCCTAACACACGTCCTGAGTCAAGGTGTATCGACATCAATACTTCGACGCTGGGCCGATGCGCGAAGAGAAGTGTTTCTGAAACTCGTCAGCCCGATTTCTTCGGCAAACAAGCTTCGCTGTCATGAGACAGATCCAGACAATCCCAACTCCGATCCTTTCTTTGAGATGCTCAGAAAGGAGGATAACGAGCAGGAATTGGCGGCTTTGATGTCGGACATGTCAGAAATGGCTACCGATGTGTCGCAGCTCATAGAAGTTCAAAGTGAAGCTGCAGGGAGATCTGTCTGGAGCTAGCAGTATCGATAGAGAAACAAGCATCTGGCAAAGTTGAGCATTGTGAGAGCGTGGCAAGCTAGAATTACGCGGTTTCAAAGAGTCGATTCTCGGTGCTGACCAGTCAATGAGATCTGAAAACTGCGCACCCACAAGTCTGCATCTTCAGTTCCAATTCTGCCTCGCTCTTCACTTCAACCACTTCCTCGATGTCAATGATTCGCTTGTGGTCGCTTAAACTGTCCTCATTCGAGAAATTTCACTTTCCAAAGTCTAGCAGCCGATTTGTCCCAGCCTCGTATCCGCGGTCTAGAACCGAAGAGCCCGAGCAGCTGAACACAACCCATGGAAACGCTTCCTGGAGGCCGCGGTCCCAACCTCCGCCCTAGGGACAGTCTGACCATGTCTCGTCCTTCGCAGTCTCATTGCGACTGAATCCTGCTATGTCTCCAATGTAGGCCTGCGATCAAACCGCTCTCACAGTCGAGCTGTTGCACTGTCCACGATGCTCTGTGAAATCTGCGACCAGATCCCATTCGGAGAGTTACCATCAGAAGAGCAAGATGCTTTACCGCATCATGCTAGCCTCGACGCATTAGAAGCCTCTAAAGAGTCATGCGCGATATGCAGGCTCATCTGGTGGGCGGCAGGCTGCTCCTTGGTGGATATTGGTGGAATGGTGGCATTCAGACCTGGCGTGGAATACCCTTCGGGCCGCAGAATCATGACACGAGAGACCGAGAGCAATTATAGCTCCCTAGGAAGTTTACGTGCCATGGAGAATGGCGCATCCATGTTTGACAATTCCGACCCAGAACCTGACCTTCGCAAACCAGCCTTTCTGGATCCTCGACAGCGCTTTCCGGCTGAGGAGGAGAGCAGTGGCAAGATTCGACCATGGCTCTTTGGCAGCTGGTACATGTCCCCCTTCACAGATCGACCGCTTCAGTTGATAGGCCTCGGTGTGAGGCTGGGTACAGGACCTAGTGTGGAAGAAGCTGAAGGCAATAGTAACGAGGATGTTCGCATGAGAGGGACATTCCTCAGGATCCGTACAGACGACGGTACCATATCCCCTTACAAAACAAACTAATACTGTTCTAATTTCCTACCAAGATGCCGACCTAGCTATAACAGTCCCAGGCAGGCTTCGAACGAATCATCAAGGTTCTGCGATCGCGCTGCAGCGAATTAAGAAATGGTTGAAAGATTGCAATGACGGCCACGACTGCAATCGAAGTCATTCCTGTTCAGACAAACCTTCGTCACCACCATTACCGACTCGAGTCGTCGACGTCAATGGTCCAGGAGATACTATTCGGCTCGTGGAGACCAATGGCCGACACGGACACTACGTAGCCCTCAGCCATTGCTGGGGGCTCTCGCACCGCATTACAACAACAAAGAAGACATACGCAGACAATTGCAAAGGTATCTCGCTCGATGGACTACCGGCAACTTTTCAACAAGCTGTCACCATTACTCGCGAGCTTGGGGTTCCTTTTCTGTGGATTGATTCCCTATGCATCATACAGGATGACGATGTAAGTCTCTTTCGTGTCTGTTAGAATGTTTCCAGATCTCTACTTCCCACCTCTCCTTTGCCTCGGGCAAACCTAGGTACACTCACCTTCAAAACATGTTTTCATCGCTTACGACGTGCCAGTTTGACTGGGAAATGGAGGCTTCCAGGATGGGCATTGTCTACTTTGCTTCTTACCTGACACTGTCAGCTATGAGCTCAGCAGATGACTCCTCTGGCTGCTTTCGCGATGGGTCGAAGCCAATGGAAGTGACGTACTCCAGACCATACATCTCCGTCGATACTCTGTCCACAGGAAGACGATGCATACCGCTCGCGGCGCCTCTGGTGGTAGACTATACAGGTGATGGGGTTGTCTGCAGGACATTCAATAACATGTTCGGCATGCGTGGCACCCAGAAATCTCGGGTGTACATCACTCCGGAGTGGATGCCATCATCTCTGAAACAGAAACCAAGGATATATGTTGTTGGAAGCTTTGGGGCAACGGTCCAGCCATTGAAGCACGAGCCGTTGAACAAGCGCGGATGGACACTTCAAGAGCGACTGCTTTCTCCGCGAACGTTGCACTTTGGAACCGAGGAGCTCTACTGGGAATGCGAGCAATATGTGCTGGCCGAGGATGGTGCCCTTTTGCGTAGAGAGTTTCCCACGTTATCGAGGGTTGTCAAGTCATTCCCAGGCTCGAATTTCGTTGCTGACGGCTGCGTCTCCAAATCCGGATCGGACGACAAGGAAAACAATGCATCCACCTGGCCCAACGTCTGGCTACGTCTGGTTGAAGAATACACTTCTCGCAACCTGACACGAGACAACGACAAGCTGCCTGCTCTGTCAGGTATCGCGAATACTGTGGGCACTCTGACAGGGGACGAGTACCTCGCTGGTCTCTGGCGCAACGATCTTCTCCAACACCTTTGCTGGTCAATAGAGACGTTCGAGCCAACTCATCAGTGTAGTGACCCAGCACACGATGCGGCAATGCCTCCCCCGACCAAGTCAGAGGTGAGGTATCCGCCGAAATATCGCGCACCATCTTGGTCTTGGGCCAGCCTGGACGGGAAGGTGAATTTCCATCCTCTCAATAGAAAGAATCTGAGGGCTCGGTGTATCTGCGCACATGTTGATATTGCGGGAAAAGATCGATACGGCAGGGTCAAGAAGGGCTGGATCACGCTGGAGGTAAGGTCTCGCCACTGATATCTTTTTTGGGTTCCCCCTTTTCGCGCTCGACCACGTTGAACTGTCTCCAACTATCGTCCATGAGCCCTAATAAAGATCCATACAGGCCCCGCTATACCTCCTCCAAGCCGCCGAATCGGATGCAAAATATCGCAAACTCCACCCAATGTCGACCGAAGTGGACATTCTTGTTGCCGGCGACACCAAGGGAGCAGCAGTGCATGGCCGCGGCTCCGCAACCTTTGACGACAAGCCTCATTTCCCCAGTTTCGCCCTCATGATCGACGGTCAGCAAGGCCTAGTTCTCAAGGCTAGGGAGCTATGGGAGTTTGTCAGGATTGGGACAGTCATGTATGGGCCCATGCAAAGAGGTGGAAGGGCCGCTGATGGTAGTAACACTGTGGAGGATAACGAGTCTGCCGAGCTTGTGAATGGTGGAGGCTACTCGGCAGCGGAAATCACTGCACTATCGATAGCAAAGGGGATGGCGCAGAAGATCACCATCTATTGAGTCGGTTGGTCAGGTCGTATGCAGTGGTCGCGCAGAGCCAGCAACAACAGGCGAGTTGAAGAGATGAGATGGTAGTGGTGCGCACGAGCGATATTAATCTAATGTATAATGCTCTCCAGTAATCTACTCAGGCTTCGATGTGTTTTGTTTTGGGCCGGGAAGGCACCAGTCTGATTTATAACTCCAATTCCTTTCCTTTCCTTTCACAGTACGCCAACCTCTTTATTAACTACAGATTGTGAGAGTCCAAGCTTATTCCTGGCTGTAGGATTCTCAATTCACTCTAGAGAGACATGGCGGAGAGCTTGAGCGAGGGAGCCGCATGAAGACTGGGCCAGCAAAGGAAATTTACGGCCATTGTTGAATTTTCTGCAGGGCTGCAACCTTTCTCCGCGCATGCAGTCTTCGCAAGCATTGTGCAATCACATTGATCGGGTGGATGCATGATCTTGGACCTCCGAGCCAGCAGCGGCGCAAACCGCACACTTCGTGCAAGATTCTGATCATGGTGCTCAGCACAGAACAAGTATGCAATGCGAGGTGGAAAGACGACCTGGTCAATGTCTCCCTTACTCCTTCTCGCACTTCCCACTCCCATGCTTTGGAAAGCATCGCTCACCAGTCAACCGAGTACCTACGCAGGGCAGTGCCGCGAGGGCCGCTCGTCGAATTGTGACAAGCAATCTGCAGGCCGACCAAGATCGACGCCTCCATCTCACGCCAAACCCTTCAAATCCTGTTATTGAAGATATATCCACAAGCGAAATGTGGCTTCGAACCCGTCACCTCCCAGATTCTTTCACAATCACTTGTATACCACACCGCAGCACGCACAATGCAGGGGTCGACTCAAAGAGGAGGTGAACAAGAACCAGGCGTCTCTCGAAAGAAGACAATTTCAAGATCATTTTGATTCCTTTGGGGCAATATCGACGAACACCACCGAACATGCCTCCGTCGAATTCCCCGAAGCGCGCCAATAACAAGCCATGGCCACGCCATGGCCTCAACAATGCCCCAGCGACCGGTGGTCAGCAAAGATCTAGCGAACAGCGGCTCTAGTTGACGTCTTTTTCCCACAGAGTGGGGGAGCATTCGGCATCCTTCCTCCCCAGTAATCCCAGAATAAGGAGCCAGTCACAATCAAGAAGGCGGACTGCGGTCGGAGTCAATCTCTGCAAAGCTTGGAGCATGTGGTGGCGGCCCTTTGCTACGGAGTAGCACTCGGTACACATGTTTGAGGCCCATGTGTTTCAGGGGCAGCCGAGAAATCCGAGCCCAAGACGCCCACAGGTGACGAGATTACAGGACCGGGCACGAACTTGGGTGAGGAATCAAGCCAAACAGTCCGGCGGCAATCTTCGACTACTCTGGGATCACGAGAAAACCGATGAGGACGTCGTCGGCCTTTGACTCTACTTTGCTGCTCGGTACTTTACGACTGAAATAAGATCGATCCTCCTTCATCAGTGCGAGGTCTCTTAGGGGGATGTCTACATCTCGCGCGGCCAAAAGATCAATGGGGTTTTCTAACTCAGAGCCATCCCACCTGTCGGAAGATTTCTGACATGCGAGAGGACGCCACGCGAGAGACTAGGGAGAACCTGAAGCACGCCAGGCCCATAGGTTCCAAGCACCCGTTAGACGGCTGCATCTGTGAGTGGCTCCCTCGAACCTCCGCTCTCCATCTTTTCCCTGACCCTGTCCACTGCGTTTCCATCACCCTCAGGTCTGCAACGGCAGTCGTTCGAAGGATGGTCTCAAGCCTGGTGCCGCCCTCTTACAGACCCCCATCATCAATAATCTCACTGCGCCACAGCCGACTTGGCTGAAAGAAACAATGCTGATTCGGCTATCGAAAAAAGGTCGCATTGACGGCCACCAACGATCGTTGTACCTGCATGCCACCTCATCCATGCAAGTCATGCTCTATCCCGGTCTGTTCTGTGTCCCCTTCTGCAACCTCGTGTCGGGGTGAGCTTCTTTGCCCATTCCCCAGTCCCTGTCTTTGCTGGGCAAACAGTGGCACGGCGGTTGGTCGTTCAAATTTTTGTTGCAGTTTGTGCGTCGGATTTCGTCTTTGCTCTCTCCTACCTACCCACCAAACCCCCAGCCTGGAAACACATCGGACATCGTCAATCATAGTAAGAGTTGCAGGCGACAGACCGCCCGGGCGTGTCACGATGCTCACCTTGTAACTGTTTCATGGTGCCCTGGGTCCCAAACTTTGCTGGGGCGAGTTGCAAGGTCACCCGCCTCTCAGGTATTCCTTTTACAGTCACTCATTTGTCCCTGTTTTGATCGGTTTCCTTTTCCCTACTGGCTGGTCCGGAACTTTGAACATGCCGACGAGGTGGTTGTCCATTCGCAAACGGAATCCTCTTCTTCACAACGCGTCGACCGCTGAACCGACTGCGAAGCAGCAGGACTTTGATTTTGCCTTTGGGGATTCATCTTCGACCGGCCAGAGTGCTGCAGGCAGCGTTGGGCCCAGGCTGGTTCAGATCCGTCCAACGACATCCGGTGGCCCAACCGGGAAGCGGAAACTGCGTGTCGAGGTCCCCTCCATCCGACCGCAGACATCAGAGAATCACCGACCCTCGCCTCTGCAGAACGTGAATGGTGTATCGAAGTCAGAAGACAGCTTGATAGGCCTGGCTTTTGGCAGTCCTAGTCACCCTCCCGCATTCTTCTGTGTTCCTCCCGAACAGCCCGGCGTTTTCGATCAAAATCCTGTCCTCCGCCAGCATCAGGAAACCTCGAGCAATACCGCTCAGATGAACTCTAAGAGATGGAGGAAGCTAGGGACGCTGTTCAGATCTCGACAAGCCGCTATCAGACGAGATGAGGTCCCTTCGGGCCCGACGATAGGCCTTCCGACCGGCTTCGTGGTTTTGGACAAAGACACAGCCTCCGAGGCAACGAAAGCTGATGGAGATAAGCTGCGAACGACGCAACCAGAGCATCCCAGACGTGATGCACCGCCACCCCCATTCGAGAAGGATCAAAGATCCTTGACTGCGAAGACGACGGACTTAGTCATTCAGAAACCTGAAGACGACTCAATCTCAAGACCGTCAACTGCAACCGCGACCGATTCTGGGTCTGTAAGAGAGCCGTATACACGCCCGCCTCTACCGAAGCTCGAACTGGATATTCCTTTCAATCTTCCCGCGGCCAAGCGCTCTTCCTCACTTCTTGCAAGACGAAGTAAGGCGCTGGACAGTCTTAAATCCTTCGACGACAGTCGGCCGACAACGAAGGGAACCGGAAATGGTGAACACGACGACCACAAAGGTCCTGAATCAGAACCTTCCACGCCACTGATGCCACCGAGACGACTGACGACGCCAACCATGACGAGGTCGCCGGCAGCAAGCAAATATTCGCTCTTTCCAACCACTTCCCCTGCCCCTGTGAAGATTGTCGGTCGAGTCCCCGACTCAGGTTATGATTACCTGCCACCTACTCAATTACGAAGATCAGCCACTTCCCCAGCCCGTTTGTCTCCTATGCAAGACCACTTCTCCGTGCCAAAGCCACAACCTCTCAATCCGATCAAGATTGCTTCTCCGAACGATCAGACAATCAACAGCCCTGAGGATAATACGGCGTCGACGGATCGCGAGCCGCCTTGGAGCTCTGCTCACTCGCTCCAATCATCTGTTTCTTCCGCAACCACGGTCGACGAGATATTCTTCGATATCAAGTCATTTCGAGATTCCAAGGGCGTAGAGGACGGCCATTTCGTCATGACGAGACCTGATTCGGTCCAAGTAGAGCTTGCTCGGACACGGTCGAAACGGGCACCTCCCCCCAGCCACTTGCGGCACGTGGAAGCTTCAGCAACAGGCGCAAGTGGTGTCTCTGAGCGGCACACCCCGATTCCACCAGAGCCGCCGACGGCATCTAGCGGTGGCGTTTCTGCATGGACGACAAAGCACACGTCGGTCAACACGGCCTACTTCGACGAAGCAATTGCTGCAGTCGAGAGACTAACAGCACCCACGGGCGGTGGCACCTCTGCCGCTGAGAAAGTCCCCAGCGTCCCTATGCTCAAGATTGCAAACCATGACGAAAAATCGAATCAACCGCCTCCAATCGTTACTGTCCAGTATCAATGGTCGTCCGACCATCAGTCTCGACTGGGCAGCAAGACTCACGAAGCAGTTGGCCGTCTGATCCCTTCGCCCGTGGTTGAAATAAAGGAAGATGACTCTCCTAGATCGAACGCATCGACCGTGAAGGTTGCGAGATCACCATCAGTCCAGCAATCGCAAGCGCCGAAGAGTGTACCTCCTCGCGTGGCCGCGGTCAAGCGCGTGGATCGCCCCATCGACGACTCACCCACAATTCCACAAGGCCCTCCCAGCCCAAAGAGAACAGTAAAGTCGACGACAACATCACCAGCGGACGACAAGCCGCCCCCAGTCCCGAAAAAGGACGCCAAGTTCATCCCTCTCTCGAAATACGCGGCAAAGAGCACTGTGACGGCCATTGAGCAACGTTCGGGTGTCATCCCATCGAGACCTGTGCGTGCTAATACGGAAGACCTGGCTCTGCGGTCGGCGGCTCCTAGGGCGTCAAAAGAACGATCTGCGACGTTGCCTTCATCTCTGCAGCCCCATTCCCATGAAGTGATGCAGAAATCGTCGCTACGTGGCCTCGAAAAGACCGTCCCTCCCCGATCTAATCCGGTCGCCTCGAATCCAGTGACTGCAGAAGTCGCAGTAGCGCGAACTGTCTCGCTTTCTCGGAAGCAGTCCGCGCGCATCCACGTCCCTGGACCCAGACTCGCCGCACGCCGCGCCGAAGCCCAGGCCCAAGCTCAGGCACAGGCTCAGGCCCAAACATCATCGCAATCACATCTCCGAACAGGCTCTGCACAGAAAAAGCATGCGCGCAATCCATCGACCACGTCTCAGAGATCGAACAAATCACAACCCTCATTCCTCGGGGGCGGACACCGGCACAAACGCACGGCGTCTTCTGCTAAGTCAGCCTCGCGCGGCTCCAAAGACCTCTCCGGCGCCAAGAACACTCTTAAGGTCACCAAGCCGCAGCCAGACGGCAAGGCTGGGTCCACGTTCGGCAAGTTGCTGTGGAGCAAGGAGTCAGAAAAGCAGCTCATCAAGGAGGCGCGCAAGTGGGAGATACTCGAGAAGAAGAGCTACAGTCCAATCGTGGTACCAGCCGCGCGAGGACACCGGCCTGGAGTCAGTGTCGGTGTTGTTCTGGAGAATGTGTGACTTCTTTCGAGTCTCCGTGGTTTCTTTACACTTCCGATTCTTGTATATATATATACAATTTTTACATCTCTCCTTTGTCCTTGTGTTTATTTTGGCAGGGGGGTTTTTCATGCATGAACTAGCGCCAGCAAGCGTTGAATGGGGCATCTTTTCCGTCTATCTATCTATCTACCATGGCGGTAGTGCATATCTATCAACCCACATCAACTTATACCTACACACACATGTGCGTGTGCCGAGCATCATCCTCTGGTATGATGCGAGTTGAGAGCGGGTATCTAGGCGTTTTGTATATTTTACCTGCATTGCATATATGCTCATGGCAGGGCAAGGCAAGGCAAGGCAACGCTGCCCTGGGCTGGGCTGGGCTGGACTGGAACTGGGATGGGATGGGCGCATCCTCGCCAAGGGGATTCGAATGGTTATTCCCAGTCCGAGCCGCAACTGGAGGGGCGAAGGGCGGAGGGCGGAGCACTTGATATGGCGACGGTGACGGCGACGTACGGTGACGGCTTTAGGGATGAGGAGGGTGAGCTTGGCTTGGGGACTTCTTTATGAACATTCACAACTACGAAAGTCCGTCCATGCATATCCATACTATATGATATCCACATGGATGCTGGGCGGACCTCTTTTTCACATCAATACTTTGAAGAGTCTGTATTGGATTCACGGGAGCAGGAAGGGGAGAGCGACAGAGAGCGACACAGAGAGAGAGAGAGAGAGAGAGAGTAAAGCACCATGTAAGACTCCTCGGTATTAGACACAGAATTACATGGTCGCGTACAGAGAGTATTCCGGAAATAACATTCTCCCTTTGATGCATTCTCATTGCTGTCACTTGCCTCCGCCGTCCAAATAACCACTGGTCCCCGCCTGGACCGTGAATTCGTTCATCAGTCATCAGAGCTTCGTCTGCAACCCATACTCCCGTACTCCTGTACTCCCGGAGAAGAAAATCGAAGAAAGGAAACCGCGTTCAGTCCAGATGTGTGTGTTCACTCAATAACCCCGCCGACCCACCCTCTCCCAAGCTCACAAGAAATTCAAGTCCCACCGACCGCCGATGACGGTTTTTCCCTCCACGGCAACAGAGTAGCGATGAATCAGTAGACTCGGCGGTAGTGGATGCCTATGCTCGAGAGCGAGGTGCTCGGCGAATTCACGCACGGTGGCGAAGGCGGTCAATCCGCGCTCAAGCTCGTGGCCGGTCGCGAAGCAGAATACACAGCCGTACTTGACCACGCCGTAGCTATCGCGCCGGTTGTGGGTTGTCAAAGAAGTCGAGGTGGACAAGCTGGACGTCTTCTCCGACGGTGGTAGGTATAGATGGCACTTGGCCAGAAAGGAGCTGCGATACTGGATGTCCAAGCCGGGGTGCTCGCGAATCTCGTCCGTGTTGTGGATGTTGGACGACGTGCTGGCGGCGACGTGGTAGCGTACTTTGCAGGCGCAGTGGGAGCATTGCCAGTTCAAGAATGCGCCACCAAAAGCCTTCAGCGTGCGCTTATTATCGTCGTTCAGCTCTTTCTTCTCCACAAACCCTAGTCGGCCTCTGTCACGGTGGTTGCTGATCCCCAAAGCCCCAGGACAGAAATTGCCAAGTTCTGCAGGCCTGAGGTCTTCTGGGGCAGCACGGTGTGGGATGCTAGGACACACCGCAGGCAGCTGCTTGATCTGGTCCTGTCTATAGAGAAGAGTTTCCCAGATGGTCCCAAAAGGCCGACGCTCTTGCAGGTCCCGATCGTAGTGTTCCACGAAGATGGTCTGGACTCCACGCACGGAAGACAGTAGCTGCTCTACAATTTGTAGCAAGTATTGTGAGGCGAGATCGTCTGAGCCGTCGATCAAATAAGGGAGTCGCTGGTAATCGATGGTAGCGAGAGATTTCAATCGCAGCTGTAGGATCTGGAGTCGTGGATCATAGGCTTGAATCGAATTGGGCACAACATCCGGAAATATGTACCAGTCGATCAAGGTGCGAAGTTTACGCCGGATTTGGTTGAGGGTGACTTGTAGGTCGTCGATGGCTTGCCGAATTGTTATGGGTCCAGGTGGAGGTGGCATGAGACCAGGATCGAGAACGTTGGCGGCCATGGTTTCTACATCGGTCGATTGAGGATTGTTGACGTTTTCGCAGCTTTGAGCTTCAGAGCTATAGGATATGGGCGGGCGACACAGACTGTAGCACGCACTGGAGTGAAAGCCGTCGGTGATGAGTGGACACGGACCGAAGCGCTTGGAGGTCAAACGGTCTCGGCATGAATATCGTGCTTTGTGCAACGAAGCTCGCGCGGAGACTTTGACGAACAGATAAATGACTGCGTCAGGAAGAGAAACTACCTTTTGAAACTAGTTGCGGCATCAGGATTGCCTTGATCGAGGGTCATGCGGATTCAATGTTGTGGCCGCCTTTTTGGCCGAATAAGCTTGCGTTTCCCGCCCCAACCACGATCGAACAAGTTGGATGGGGGATAGTTTTACGACAAGGCGAGGAAACAGGGCGACGAAAGGCTGTTTAAGTGCCCAAGAGAGCGGGCGCCTGCATGTGCATCGTGGCGCAAATCAAGGCTGAAGCGCTATGATGCTAAGAGGTTAATGAGGCGAGGTTCGCATGATTTAGCGTGGAGCATGGACTCTGCTGTGGTGTCGATGGCAACGCCGACGAGGGGTGAGAGGGGTGGAGATGGGTTTTTTTGGACAGAAAAGCGTGGGAGACGAAGAGGAGGGTGCGGTTGGCTTTCGGTTGGTGTTGGCTTGCTTACTTGCTTGGTGATGTGGTTGCAGCGCGGGGTGCGCAGTCAGGCAAAATATGTCGTCATTCGTGTCATTCGGTCATTCGGTCATTTGAAAACTAGGCCATTTTCGGACCTCTATCAAACTCATCAAGGTGACAGCGTGCCTGGAATGAGGCTTGTATCTTCAATCGCCTGGACTTCCCCTCAGAAGCACGCTCATCATGCCCACCGAGTTGGAAGAGGTAAGCCCAATCTTTGGAAATTCATGGCTATCACGTCTAAATCGTCCTAGTTGCTCGAGTTTTTACATCATGGAAACACTCAGATTCGACAACTTGGTAAGCAAACCCCTTCGTTTGAGTATCTCTGCCCTCGACTTCCCCTCGACTCCCCTGGGTGTCTCAAAATACAACTAGAGAGTTACATGGCAGGAAGACCCGAACTGACAGAATCCCTCTCATTCAGCCTGTGATCATCTTGTTGGACACTCTTCAGATCCGGCAGTCTTCAAAAAGCCTCAACTCGTCCCTGTGAGAGACCTGAAACTGCTCGTTAAGGACTATACGGTACGTCTAAGTCTATACATATATATCTTTTACACCGTTCTGACGCAGCTTCATGGTTTGGCTCTAGCCCATAGCTAAGAATGCTCTCACAATTTTGATCAACATCAGTCATGACACTGAAATCCTCGAGAACCTGGTGGCAGACGATGAACTTATTGAAACCTTGCTCAGAAAGATAACAGTATGTAGGTTGGAATCCACCTCCAGGCCCTCGGTTTCATGCCCACGTTACCAAGGGGAAGCTGACTGTGATTGAAGGACCCAAAGGAGCAAACTGCTGACGAAATTGCCATGCTCCTCTCTAACCTCGCTAAAAAAGACGACATGGAGAAGTTGATCAATCTCAAACGAGCCTTGCCCGTCAAAACAGTCTCTACATCCCCCTATGCCCTCGATCAACTGCTTGACTGCTTTGTGAAAGGGGCCGATGGGTCTCTCAACAAACACGCAAACTTCGACTATGTGGCATATCTCTTGGCCGACTTGTCAAAACACAAAGTGGGCCGGGATTATTTTCTGAGCAAGAGGGATTATGATGGTGTGGTGCCCATAAGCAAACTAACAGTCTTTACAGAGCACAAAAGCCACATTCGGCGGAGAGGGGTGGCCAGTACAATCAAGAATGTTGCCTTTGAAGTGGACAAGCATCCTTTGCTTCTGGCTGACGACACCGAAACCGTGGACGGAGTTCCTGGCGTCAACATATTACCTTACATCCTGCTACCACTTGCTGGATCAGAAGAGTTCCCAGAAGAAGAGTCAGCAAACATGCTCCCAGATTTGCAACTCCTGCCACCCGATAAGGCTAGGGACAGCGACAACGACATTCTTACAACCCATCTCGAAACCTTGTTGCTGCTAACCACGACGAAGGAAGGACGGGAAAAGTTGAGACAAGTGCAGGTTTATCCGCTGATTAGAGAGACGCATACGCACGTCGAAGATGAGGGCGTTAGGGAGGCTTGTGACCGACTAGTGCAAGTACTCATGAGAGATGAGGAAGAGAGGCCAAAGGTCGAAGAGGTTGACGAAGAAGAAAAGATAGAAGAGATATTTTGAGTAGACGTCGATTACAGCTCGACGGGTTTGCAAGGCTCCGGATGTTATGTTTTTCCGAACATGCACGCCGAGACGCTACGATGCCAAGCACTACGGTGAGTCATAGATCCAAAAATGGCAATAGTCACGGAGAAGTATTCACACCGACGCGTAACATATCAACTCCGCCCTTTTTGCTTTTCATTGACGCGTTTGCGATTCATTCCCACCGACCCATGGATGTTTTGTGTGAGAGCTTATGGCGCCAGTGTCTACTGCACGACAGTCAAATGGCCTTGAGCCTCCGCCATCCTCGATTCTAGCAACGCACGTTGTCCACGGAAATGGAGTCACTGACTTTGATCAAGACAATTTCAATCAACTCTTGGCCGAAGCTCTTGGAACCGATGATCAAGGACAACCCAATCTGGGTGCCGATGTCGCAGTCAATCACAAGTTGATTTGTATCGTCTTCCAAATAGGCATCGAGCGTGTCCTCGAAGAAGATCCTTTTCGCTCCTCCACCGCTGCAGGTAGGGGCAACTCACAATTCAGAACGTGCCTTGAAGTACTTCAAGTCGCAATCAAAAGATCACCACAAGTTCTCTATGTGAAGTCCGATACCCAAGGCAGGCTCTTCAACGGAAATGGATGCCCCCTGTATTCCTGGCTGATCCCGACACTTCTTCCATTGGGCGCTTCAGCCCAGGCATCTGTAGACGGGGATGCTATTCTCGAACTGTTCGGTTCGATGGTGGAAGTTGACAGGAAATGTACAAACCTTTACTCAAGCGATATCATTCTTGACTTTCTCAGGAATTGTGTATCAGGTCCGCCACTCCACCTTCTTGGAATCTTGCCTATCCAACCCTGACTTTGACTAGGTATTCTTACTGTAACCCAATCACTCCCACACAGTCGGCCAAACAAAACCGTCGTCATCGACGGGGAAGACTTTGCTTCTGCACTTGCTAGAGGCACCAATGGCCTCAATATCGACGTTCCCAGTCTCAAATTTCCCTCTCTTCATCAGCTGTTTGTCGGATTGGCCCGGGTTTTGAAGGTAGTGTCAAGATACTCCGAGTCGGCCCAAGCCAAAGTTCAGTTTCGCAAAGTCTTCTCGCGATTTCGACAGTTCGTTCAAGAGAACGACAGTCCACCAAATGACGGTGAACACACCGAGGTAATGTTCTACTGCCCTTGACAGCCGATCACTGCTTACCACTGGCCAGAATCTCAGTGATGAACTCCGCATATTGAGTGTCGCACCCCCTGCGCCACCAAGAAATTTATCCGAAGACAACGACGAGCCGTGGCCTGATAATGATCGCGCGCGGAAGCGACCACGACTGTCGACCGATAACGAAGATGGACTATCGAATGGGACCTTACAACAGAACATCTGCCGGCGGCTGACCTTGGAATTGACTGGGAGCGCTTCACCTGATATTGATGGACTGTGTCAAACATCATCCGAGCACTTCAAGCGCCTGCCCGAGGAGAAACAATGCAATGCACTCGCCTTACTCGGACTGACCGCGTGTCAGCTTTCTTCATCCACCCTGGATAACTATTGTTCAATCTGTGATGAGGATATTGAAACAGCGAGTACTACTTCCGAACCGGTTTCACCTGCGAGCTCAGAGTTACTCAAGACTTTGGTCATTCTCATTCAGACAATCTCACGCCGATCCCGAGCAAGAATAATTGCAATGTCTTCTCTGCGGAGAATCATTATGCACGCAAACTCGACCGAGGACTTACACCTTAGCCAAACACCCGCTGGCGACTGGTGCCTTCAGTCTCTCAAGAGTTCCTCCAGAGACTTGAGAATAGTCGCTGGTAGAACTTTACAGGCCTACGTGATGAGAAGACAACAACACGACTTGTCTTTGGCACGGGAAAACAGAATCACGGCACTGGATTTTCTGGACACTTTATGGCACAAAGAAGACTTTCCCCTGCAGGAGACTACAGTCATGGCTCTGACGCAGGTGGCTAAAGTTGTCGGGGACGAAGAATTAAACATCATTCTGGTCCGACTTGTAGAGTACCTTGGCCACTCGAACCCATATCTTGGTGGTTTGGTATATGCTGAGATTCAGTATCTTGCCCAGTCCTTGCAAATCTCAGTGTGGCTGCTCTTTCGGCCATTCTGGCGGACTCTCGGTGTGGTATTCGCGAAGTCTTTGATGTCTCGGTCAAACATTGCCCATCAATTATCCGATCTACTCGGCATGGACATCACAAGTTTGATGGGGCACACTGCTGAGTTTGCCCTTCCATATCTGGTCCTGCACAAGGCCAAGGATGTGATCAGGAAATTCGCCGATGCAAGTGGGCAATCGACCACCCTCTTCGACCTATGTACACAACGACAAAATCTTATTGCGATTCTGTCGTTCCTGCTCGTACAGCCATTTCCAGAGGCGGAACAGTCCATCATCTCAATCTTGTCAGCGGTATCTGAAGACTTTGGCAAGACTGATCTTGCGGACTGGGTTGCCCTAGACCCCATCCACATCACCTGTGAACTCCTGAAAGCGATCGGGGATAGCGGTCAGGGCAAATCTTCCCGCATTTACCAAGCGCTGCAACTGTTGGCACAACTGGTAGCCCGTCAACAGGGACAGCCATCTGGTACGAGACGCAGTGATAGTATAGGCGCCTTCTTGGAGAATAATGTTCTCGCAATCGTCACACACTTCACCGCTCTCTTGAATGACTGGGAGGCAAAGGAGTCCAAGGTGGACAAAAGACGATGCCTCGCCGCCCTGGGTGAGGTCGTCAAGCTGGGCAAGACCCGAATTGTGCGAGCTCTTCCTCAGATTTGTACTTGTCTCAAATCCGGACTGGAAGACCCCGGTCTCTGTGATGCTGCCTTTACCTCTTGGGCTGCCATGGTCAAGTCACTCAAGAAAGACGATTTGAGGCCCCTCGTTGACCAGACCCTAGCAATTATTGTCCGCACGTGGGATGCACTCGACACTCCATCACAACGGTTAGCATATGACTTTGTTGGAGATCTACTCAAAACCCACACAGATATCGTGCGAGATCAATTTGCCACAATGCCATCATTGGCTTCGATACCGACCATGGCCAAGTTCGAGTCCGAGATAATGGCTCTGAAAAACAAGCTGGATGAGCGTCAGCAACTCAATGCTTATATCCAGAGACTGCAAGACGAAAATATCGCCGTTGTTGAACAAACGTTGATTGAGTTGGCGCCATTCCTATACCACAAACAAGATCTTCTCCAGAGGTCTATCCTCAGGGAACAGCCTGATGAGTTCGTGGCCGAGTTGACTCGTGCATTATTGGATTGTTGCGTGAAGTTCAACACAAGCAACGAGGTCTCAAGGCTGTGTGGGCAGTGCCTGGGCAGTATTGGCTGCATGGATGCCAGCAAGATCGAAAGCCTGAGAGACCGGAAGATCATGGTCGTCAGCGGAAATTTTGCAATCGCTGATGAGGTTATCCAATGGATTTTCTTCTTCTTGGAGCACGTACTGGTCAAAGCCTTCTTATCTGCCAATACAACACGAGCTCAAGGCTTCCTCGGCTGGGCTATACAGCATTTTTTGAACGCTTGCAGGCAGAGTACGTCGTCGGATGAATCCGGCAACCTGGCCTCAACCCTATGGAACCAGCTGCCTGAATCCACCCAAAACGTTTTGACGCCATTCATCAGCTCCAAATATACGGTGCAGGAGGTTCGGGCTCCTGAAAAGAGTCACTACCCTGTTTTCACACCTGGTATGAAGCACCGCGACTGGCTGCGAACCATAACATTGGACTTTCTTCACAGAAGCACGGGAGATAACGTCGAAATTATCTTCCCCATATGTTGCCGCATAATTCATGGTCAAGATGCTTCTATTCCAGCTTTCCTTCTGCCGTATACTATGGTCAATCTCATAATTAGTGGCATAGAGCAAGACACTCAAGACATTATCGCCGAAATCAGTTCAATTCTCAGCCAGTCGCTAGACGATTATGATCGGAAAGTGCAGGACGACATTAAACTATGCAGTCAAACAGTGTTTGAAATCCTTGACTACATGTCTACATGGCAGCAACAAAAGCGCAAACAATATGCCATGCTTCTGGCAAAGTCAGATCGTGGACTCAATGATCTGGTCTTGGGCAAAGCTGCAGAGGAAATCCGCAGTATCGAGCGCGTGCTTGAGCAGATTCCGCCCGATGTGCTGGCTCGACGAGCGTTGGAATGCAAATCTTATTCAAGAGCCCTGTTTCATTGGGAGCAGCATATCCGGAAATGCAAGAAGGACGACGTTGAAGCCGAGCTCCAGAGGTTGCAAGACATTTATGCACAGATTGATGAACCTGACGGGATCGAGGGTATTTCTTCTCGAATGCACGTACTGGATATCGAACAACAAGTCTTGGAGCACAAGAAAGCCGGTCGGTGGACTGCTGCTCAAAGCTGGTATGAGATGCAACTGGTGGCTTGTCCAGACGACAGTGATGCGCAAAAGAACTTGATGGCTTGCCTCAAGGAGTCCGGACAGTATGACGCCCTCCTTCACCACTTCAATGGTATTAAGAGCCGCAGCAGCAGTTCCACAACTTTACTGGCTCCTTACGCTCTTGAGGCCGCTTGGGCAACCAGCCGCTGGGATCTCCTGTCCAGTTATATTCCCCGAGAGATTGGACACGATTTTGCTTCGCACATTGCAGAAATCATACTAGCCGTCAATGCCAACGACGTGGCAAAGGTGACTCAACTGCTTTCAGAGGTATTTCGCACCACCGCCTCTGAACTCAACCTCAACAACATCTCCTCATTCCAGGCTTGCCATGACACGCTCCTACGCTTGCATGTTCTCAATGACATGCAATTGATCGTCCAAAGTCCCAAAGAAGATCGTGCCGCCGTTCTGGGCACCTTACGCGGACATCTTGACGTGCTCGGATCGAACGTCGCCGATAAACAGTATATCCTGGGAATTCGCCGGGCACTGATGTCTCTCAGACCAGATATGTTCAGCTTAAACGATGTTGCGGCCGCATGGCTCTCGAGTGCCCGACTTGCCCGCAAAGCACGTTCAAGCACTCAAGCTTTCAACGCCGTTCTCAAAGCTTCCGTGCTCGGTGACAAGTCTGCAGCAATTGAACAAGCGAAATTGATGTGGTTGGAAGGACAGCACCGAAAAGCTATCCAAACTCTGGAAGGGGCCATTGAGTCAGGGGCATTCGTGGCCCATGATTATGTGGCTGAAAATGGACCAACAACAATGACTGTGGAACAACGCCACTCCCAGAACGAAATCACCGCGAAGGCACATGTTCTTCTTGGGAAGTGGTTAGCACAAGCTGGTCAAACTCAATCGGAAGTCATTAGAAAAACGTTTAGAAAAGCAACAGAAACCTTCAGCAAAGGGGAACAAGGCTGGTACCACCTTGGCCGCTACTACAACAAAGTTCTTGACTCGGAAAGAGCAATGCCTCCTGGCAAGGAGAGCCAGACTTATCTGACGGGAGAAACGGCGAAACATGTTATCGAAAACTATTTACGATCACTCCTCACTGGGAGCAAATACGTTTTCCAAGCCCTTCCGAAAGTGCTCACACTCTGGCTGGAACTAGTAGATGGAGATCTTCCACGAGATGACCGACGAGGTAGCGCCGAGTTTCACTCCAAAGTTGCAGCGCAGCGAAAACGCATCATTGAGGAGACGAATAACCAGATCAAAAAGTACACTGACCGTCTGCAGCCGGTACTACTCTATACCATCCTCCCGCAGATTGTTGCACGTATATGCCATCCCAGCAAAGTCGTCTGCGAGATTCTCAGCAGCATTGTGGTCAAGGTAGTGAGAGCGTTCCCTCAACAATCATTCTGGACGTTGCTGGCCGTGGTTGAATCACAACAGAAGGAGCGGGCACTGAAAGGTTTGAGCATCGTCAACAAGATCGTCGAGGTCGCGAAGAAATCCAGCAAGGACTCATCCGCGGCCGAGCTCAGAAGCATGTTCACCAGCGGCCAGAAATTCGTCAAGGAACTCCTTCGTGTCTCCGAATTTGAAATCAGGAACAAAGTCACGAAAATCAGCCTCGCCAGAGAACTAGGCTTCAACCACAAAATCGCCCCTTCGAAACTGGTGGTCCCCAACCAAACTTGCCTTATTCCCAGCATGCCCACAAGCTTCGAATCGGCACAGCTGAAAGCATTCCGTCCTTTCACGAAAGAACCCATCACCATCAGCGCCTTTATTGACGAAGCCCTTGTGTTGGCGTCTCTCCAGAAGCCCAGGAAGCTCACCATTCGTGGTTCTGATGGCAACCTGTACTCCGTTCTTGCCAAACCGAAAGATGACCTCCGCAAAGACCAACGGCTCATGGAGTTTAACAACATGATCAACCGCTGTCTTAAGCGGGACGTTGATGCTGCTAAACGGAGACTCTATATTCGCACGTACGCCGTTATTCCGATGAACGAAGAATGTGGCTTGATTGAATGGGTGGACAACCTGAAGACTTTCCGGGATATCATTCTCAAGCTGTACAAGGATAAGTCCATCCATCCGAACTACATAGAGATCCGGAATCTACTGGACGAGTCCTGCTCAGGAGATCCCGAGAACGCAAAGATCTTCACGAACAAAGTCCTCAAGAAATTCCCCCCAGTGTTTCACGAGTGGTTCGTTGAGAGTTTCCCCGACCCAAGCGCGTGGTTCAATGCAAGATTGAGATATACGCGGTCGGCGGCGGTGATGTCGATCGTGGGCCACGTCTTAGGCCTGGGCGACCGGCATGGCGAGAACATTCTTTTTGAAGAAGACAATGGCGGGACTTTACACGTGGACTTCAACTGTCTATTCGACAAGGGCCTCACGTTTGAGAAACCCGAGATGGTCCCATTCCGGCTGACCCACAACATGGTCGACGCTATGGGCGCGTACGGTTACGAAGGCCCTTTTCGAAAATGCTGCGAAATCACCTTGACGCTCCTGCGATCCAACGAGGACGCCCTCATGACCATCCTCGAAACCTTCCTGCACGACCCCACCACAGACTTTATCAACGCGGTCGGACGCAAGAAGAAAGTCGTCCCGGGCGTGCCCAGCACCCCGGTCGAAGTGCTCGAGGGTGTCAGCGGCAAGGTCAGGGGCATGTTGCCGGGCGAGTCGGTCCCCCTGAGTGTGGGCGGCTACGTCGACGAGATGATCAGCAGGGCCACAGACCACCGCAACCTGTGCAGGATGTACATCGGGTGGTGTGCTTTCTTTTGATCCCCCTTTTCCCATTGTCCTCGCTGTCAGATTCCAAGGGACAGCCGCGATCTGTTGTTGCTTCGAGGCAGATCTAGCTTTGAGGCTGCCCTCATGTGCCACGCAAGTGATTGGTGACGGCGAGGTCGGAGAGTTGTGGCGAAACACAACCGTCAAAGAGCCGTTTGAACAGTTCAGTCTCAGATATTCGGACATTCTCATGGAAGAGAGGAACTAGCCACAAAGGCTAGTTGTAGCTCGGAGAACAATTGTCGGATTGCGCTTGGTCATTTGAGCATAGCTGTACAGCCACCTTGGCCTAAAGTATATAATGCATAGAAGGACAACAAAATATCGTGTGGTATTTCCACAGCGAGCATTTCAGCATCTCGTTCCTCGTCTCGTGTCTGTCTCCGTGCACTCGCTGTATACCCAAGTTTCCCGCTCTCTAGACAAAACGAGTTCGATTCTGCATAATCACATCTATCCATTGCAACAACCATCATAACCTCGCGATGGGTTTCGAAATCGTCAGGCTACGATCTTGTATCTGCTCATTCGTTTTGCATGGGCGATGACGAGAACATATCGCCGGCGTCGACGCCCTGAGACTCTTCTTTTTCCTCCTCCACCGCTTCGATGCTGGTACCAGCAGCTCTGGATGTGTCCGCCTCGAGGGGGGTGGGGACGTCTCCACTGCCGGACTCCCCAGTCTCTTGGTCTTGAGTTCGCGCAGTGGTGCTTGTGAGGCTTGATCTCCGTGGGGCAGTGTCCAGGTCGGCAAGGCCCTGAGAAAGTCCAAGACCTACTGGTGCTGTACCTTGTAGAGGGGACGAGGAGAACATGTCCGCTCCATAGCTTTCATCCGGCCCATCATCACCAACGGTTGCCTCAGAACGAGGAGGAGTCGCTGCTCTGACCGTGCGTGGAGATCCTGCGGGTTCTCTGTTGGTGGTATGTTGCCGTGCTTCCTGTTCGGCGAGCAAGGCATCCAGGTCATCGTCCTGGTCGATATTCGACTCATAGGCTCTAGAAGTAGCAAGGTCTTTGGACTGCATCGCCGAAGCCTGTATGCTGGGTTGTATCCGTGCCTCCTGCTCTGCTAGCAAGGCATCCAGATCGTCCATGTCATCGTCATCATCGTCGTCGTTCCCGCCGAAGGGCGAGGGATTTAGCTTGGGCGCAAATGTAGGTGCTGACTGGGAGATAGTCTTAGGCGGAGGTGCACGCCTCATTTCTTGCTCGGCTAGTAGGGCATCGAGGTCATCGTCGCCCTCGGAATCGTTGTCGTCTATTGGTTTCGAGACGGACAAGGGACGCGCTGTGCCACGTGTCTCCTGTTCGGCCAGTAGAGCATCAAGCTCGTCATCATCTGGAAGAGCACCATCATCGTTCCCGTTATTGTCCTTGTTGCGGACGTCTGGGACGAATAAAGAGTCATCCTCTGCGCCAATGCCAGCATTCGAAGCCTCCTGGCCTGCAGAAAGTTGATCTGCCGCAAACAGATTATCTGTCTCCTTATCTGCCTCCATCTCTTCCCCTACTGCCTTCTTCGCCTCCCTTTCTCTGATGTATCCTGGCTTGCCCTCATCAATCCACTCTTTCCTCATGACTTGCATGCGTCGACTGTGCCCGGCCTTCTCAATCAGTTGTAGTCCATCAGCAAACTTGGCTCGAGGATATAGATTATCGAGCCATAGCTGATAGTAATTCAACAGCCGTGCGACGTCTGAGAACTCATGGCCCTTTCCTTTCAGTCGCAACTTTTTCGAGAACTTCCCAGAGCGAGCATCGGCGCGTAACTTGGGAATTCCTGGGGCCGAGAGGAGTCTCGCTTCGTCGAGTTTTGAGATGGGTTTCCTCTTTTTGGTGATTTTGACCTCTTCGTCCAAACCCAGAGTTGCGTCGAGCGGGTCTATTGCTTTTCGTTTGGAATTAGGGCTCGACATTGGCTCATCATCACGGTCTCGCCGAGGTGGTCTGTCGTTGAAGCCATCTTCATAGTCAGAGTTGTCAAGGTTCAACAGGCTATCAACGGTTGCTGCGGTCAGAGGATCTGCTGCCATTTTGTGGTGATATGTTTGTGGTTACTCTGTGTTGTAGAGAGGTTGACAGCAGCACCAGCGGTCATTGCACTGAAGACGTGGGGAACGCGTTCACACGAGATTCGGACGCGTCGAGACTTCGCCGTGTAAAATACGTCATTTGAAATAAAAGGCTATTCCACTTTTGATCTAGTCCCTTGGCACCTCCAAAGCTCCGCATGCTCGATGAACCTCACGATTCAATGCTGAGGACTACGTTCGAGTGAGCACTGTCGCTACAACCATGGCTGACGAGCAGAAGGTGTTTATCCCGCCCAAGCGGGTGGACACAGACTACCCGGTAAGGTGGAAGAACAACGGGATGCAGAATCAAGCTAATATCTACCTGTGACAGATTATCGACACAGACCCGTACGTTCCTCGTTCCTCGCACGTTTTAGAAGCTTCCCTCGACCTGTTACTGACACAATGATCCTTCAGTCACTGGAGAAGAGCCTTCGGATATGCAAGAAGAGAAGACTGGTTATACGGAGCCGGAATGGCAGCCGTGGGTCCGGCTTTCATGCTCGTCACGGAACGCTACGCACCCTCGTTTTCCGGCAGAGGCGCATTTCCCATGGCCTTTCGACTTGGGTGTGCCGTTGGCCTGATAGCAGGCGCTGGATTGGTCTATCAAAGAAGTTGCTGTAGGTACCACCCGCGAGAACAAATTCGCGCACCGGAGTCGATGAGCGTGGGCTGATGAAGATGGCGACGGCAGTGAGATTCTACGGCTGGACGGAAAACGAACGAGAAGTCAAGATGGACATGAGGGAGATGGTGGATAAAGTTAAGAGGGGGGAGCCGCTTTATGGCAAGTCAGACCTCACCCCGTACATGCAAGGTGTGGCGGCGCGGAACAGCAGATACTCGGCACTGATGGCAAATGTGGTACCATGGGCGAATTTTGTCAACCACAACCAGGTAAGAGTTGTTCCCTTAGCTGATTGAAGGTGTGACGAGCTGACCCGTTCCAGCACGGTGTGGACACCGCCAAATACTATCAGCAAGCAGAGCGAGAGTTGGAAGCTGAGAGATTATCGAAAGGTGGCAAGTGAGAGATGGAAGTTCCAAAAAGACTTGAAACAGAGACGACAGGTCAAATCAACTGCAAGATCTGACTTGCTCATACTCCCACGGATTGTACATAAGGGCACATCAGGTGACCAAGAAGGAGGCTGGATGCCATTCGGGCTCAACTGATGCGCAACTGAAAAAGACCTTTGAGACTTGACTTTCTTTTCCCTTTCAACTCTTCTTCTTTCCTCCAAGGTCTAGTATATATACATATCCTGCTAATTTGAGTCCAGGATCTCTAAGGCTCGATGGTTGCTTGCACAATTCTTGTCCAATTGCCACATCTTTCAACACCAACTCGTTTTGTCCTGTCCTGTCACTTCACATTCCGGATAAGTTCCCAGGTTTGGCGACTTGTCACTTGTGGAATGATAATATCACCGTGAGCGCGCCAAGGCATTTGCTTCTACCAGCACTGAATCTCGCTGCCCTAAGTCTCGCTGCCTTAACCCTGGCTGTCTGTGAAGATGGACCTTTTGTTGTGTGTGTCTTGTCAAATTGATCAAAGACGACACTTGGAACTCTTCATCTCGCACATACATCATCGTCTATCCAAGATGCGCGCGCAAGCAGAAGAGAACGCTTGGGCAAATGCCGATGTCAGCTACCCTTCAGCCGTGTGGGGAGAAAGTAAGTGATATTGCTCTACATCGTGCGCGCTTTCATTAACCAGACTCCAGATGTTGCCGCCAGCCAAGTGTTCATTCTTCCGACTTTTGCGTCCGGTGAAGGCACGCGCCAACTTCTGTCCATAACAAAGCAAGGCATCAACGACCTCAGTGTCCAAACCTGCGAACTCGCTCACGAGGCCAGGACTGCCGATCATGAACAATTCGCCATCAAGTGCGCCGTAGTTGATGAGCACCGTCGCCAGCAGCGAGCACAGGGATCTGAATCACAGACTTCCGACGTGAAAGTGCTCTCAGCAAAAATCTCCGCCTTGCGAATCATCAAAGATTTCGAATTTTACGCGGTGCTAGTTCAGCAGGCCCATGGTGTCGCAGAGCATTTGGTGGGCAAATTCGAGCAGTTGCAAAAGGTGGCACAGACGGTGCTCACCGAACAAGAGGAAAAAGGCACCAATCTCGCGAAGACGCCCGAGGCTGTCAAAAAGCTCACAATCAGCATGAAATGCGTGGACTCGATCTGGGCCGACATCATCGCATCATGGAAAAAGCTCAAGAGATTGGACAGTGGAATTCAGAAGGGCAAGACGACGTTGCCGCCGCTCCGTGATAACCTGAAGCTCATCGGGATTAACATTACGGGTGCAGAAGAGAGCGATAATCCTGCACTAGAAGGAAAGGATCAAGATATCTCAGCCACCGACAGCGAAGCCAAATTTGTTCACAAAGCTACCCTTGAGGAAAGCCCGATGGAAGAGAAGGGTGACGCCACCGAACCGTCGTCATCTAACGCCAACTCTCTCTTCGATACGGATGCCATGGGAGCGCTGATCGAGAAGTTTGTTGAGAAATGCATGATCAGAGATGCCCGACACTACGCCAGCGAGGATGGCAACGACGCGAATCTTAACGCACCAGCACTGAAGGATTCGGATTCCGACAAAACAAATCCCAGCAGCGAGCTTGTCAACACCAAGGGCACCCAAGGGGAAGTGGAAAACACCACTGTGGCTGATGCCGGGGCAAATGGCGAGGAAATCGCAGTGTCGAGCGAAGGAGATGAGGAGGATGACAGCGATGAGCTCGACATCATCTGCAGCGAGCCGTCATCGCCGGCTAAGCCTGCGTTGGCAGAGCGTTAGGTGAACAAGACCGCAGAATGACGAGAAACTCGAGTGCATGTGGCCATGAATAACGTCAGGCATGAAAGAGCAATGTGGAGTTTAGGCTGGGGCTCGAGACAAACAGGATATTCATTCATGAGTCCAATCCATAGGGAGGATAGGCAGTAATACACAATGAACCAGGAACTATGGATAAATCTGCGTACCAGCCTGCTACCTGACTGCGCCTCCCTTCAACATCTAAGGAGTTCTGTGAGCCTTGCACAGCTACCTACGCACGCTGCCTGGTCGTTTGTTGTTGTCGTTAGTTTCGTGGCGTGGACGAGGCTGTGCGGTTACCTAGTTTAATAAGGCTGCGCTTCGTTCAGTCTCAGGAAACGCTGAACTTCCTCCTTCTTTCTCAACCATGACATCCTCCCAGTCATCTCGCCTTATACCTCCAGCCTCTGGTCCCCAAGTCATGGCAGACAACACCCCTCATGTTATTGTGCATGACCCAGAAAAAGAGCATCAAGAACGGCTGCGTTCCATCCAGAATTATCAGTATGTTTCAGCGGAGCAGAGTCCAAACCATACCTTCTGCGCTCGGTGCAAAGTCATCAACTTTGATGCCATATTCAAATTACTGGAGACCCAGTCAGACTCACAAGAGACTGCGGTCGCTGACACTGGCAACCTCAATCGGATGATGTTAACCGCGACTTGCCCCTGTTGTGTCTTTTGTGCACAAATTGTCTTCCTCAACAAGCCGCAATATCCTTTCGACGAGGTTAGTAGAGCCTACATCGAGGCACGGTCTTGCAGGAAGGATGCAAACAATCAAGATGGAACGAACCAAGGGCCCTATGGCTCCTATCACAAATGTTTGAAGCTCCGTTGGTCTGGCCCAAATTTAGGACCCTTTGACAACTGGAGAACTGGACCTATATCAGAACACCTCATCTTTCCAGCTGGCCAGAAGACAGGTAGTGCATGGGCTTTTGGAAACACCGCAGCAAAGGCACGACATATTGATCCCAACACCATCGAATATGGCCACATTGTTGATTGCCTGCGACAATGTCGGTCTAGCCACACAAGTTGCAAGAAACTAGACCCTGAATTGACTGTCAAGACAAGGTTGATCAATTGCCGAACTAACCCTCCAACCCTTATCGATGGCTCGACGGACATGGACTACTTTGCGTTGAGCTATTGCTGGGGCCTTGCGCAGCCTGGTGTGACAAGAAAAGCGTATACAGCAGTCGGAGCCTTGGAGGTAGCATCGCTGCCCCAGACAATAAAAGACGCCATTGTTGCCACTAATAAACTGCGGTGTAATTATTTATGGGTTGACGCAATCTGTATCAATCAAGACGATGCAATCTCCAAACAGGTCCTTATCAATAAGATGGACTATTTGTACAACAAGGCAGACCTTGTCCTCGTTGCTCTGGGAGACGATTCGCAAACAGGGCTTCCCGGAATCTCGACACCCAGATTTACACAACCTGCTCTCAGAGTCGGTGGCACCAAACTAGTCTCGAACATGTCTGAACTGCGCGGGCTATTACAAGGCTCCAGGTGGAGTAGTCGAGGCTGGACATATCAAGAGGCGCTACTGGCTCGAAGATGTCTTTTCTTCACTTCTGAGCAGTGGCATTTTGTGTGTAAAGCTTCATCAGCTTATGAGACTTTGGTGGAGGATCTGCCAAAGTTTGACGACTGCCGATTGGATCTTTATGCATTACGGTCGACGCTGTTTCGGACGGGAGCAAGCAATGCGCATGATCTCGAGATTACCGAAGATATTCGGGAATATACAATCAGGGACTTATCCTTGGACGCTGACTTTCTCAACGCATTTCGGGGAGTTTTGCGCAGGAGTGGGCTGCATTCTCTGTGTGGAGTCACCGCATTGAAACCAAAGAACTGCCGTTATGTGCACCAGGACCTCGAAAGCGGATTTGCTCTGGGACTCTATTGGGCCGCTCAAGATCGCCATCTAGAGAGGACGGCAGGTCCAGGTCCCCCGCGCACTACCCGTCGCCCTGGCTTTCCCACATGGTCGTGGCTATCGTCACGCGGTGTGATTGAGATGACTTGGAGTAATCCCCAGGATTTCATATCAAATTTCTCAGGGATAGATGTCCATGCCTCGTTCAGCGTGCTGGACAATAGTGGTACCGCGACGCCTTTAGCCACCCTGTGGCAGAACAGTGCCTCAGGAGGTCTACTGGACAAATTTCTGGATTTACAGCCCGGCCAGCATCTTCAAATTACCGGTTATATTGTCAAGGTCCGGTTCATGAAGCCGACTCAGGCCGTCATGTTCCAAGAGTACTGGTTCGTCTTGGACGGTCCACTTGTGCTCTTCCCGGACGATACTTGCAATCCCTCCACCCACAAGCCGTCAGCGTTCTACTCGGCAACCTTGAAAATCCCAACCGGAGAACCTCGAAAGATTCACGATCAGGAAAGCGTTGGCTTTGACGCGGAGGCGTTCTCCGACCCCGGCCTCCGTGGGCGCATCCTTGTGGACGAATTCGAGTTATTGTTATTAGCTTCCCACGGGTATGAAGAGCGACAAGTGAATTATTGGATTATTTTGGACAAAGAGAACGGGAGAAGGAAGAGAATTGGGACTGCCAGCTGCAAAGGTTACAGATACACGGTCGCCGATCCCAGTCAGCAGGGTAAGCCTCGCAAGTCCGCCCACGCTGATCAACCATCCGAATCTCCTAACGACTGCATCTTCCTTCCAAAAAAGACCACTATTACCATGGTGTAGACGTCAGTCAATCGTTGATCCTATCTGCCTTTCGAGCTCTATCTTGAACTGTTCTACAATCTCCCTCAGGGCTCCCACCACCCGCAAGTTTGTGCATGAATTGAACAGTGCTTCTGCTCTGGCGTCTGCCTCAGTCCAATCGCTGTCCAGATAAGCGTCTTGCGCCGTCTTAGACCTCCTTTCTGGACTGTGATAGGGATATATGATGCCAAAGTGTTTCAAGAGCTGAGTGAGGTTCTCCTTGGTGCATCTCTGGAGATCTTCAATGGCACTGCGGAGCAAGTGGTTGGCAGTGTTGCTGGAGTCCAACGAATCCAACGCCAAGGCCGACAAATGATATTGGACAACATTCTCGACCTCCTGGATCGCTTGGAAATAGAGGTCTCCTTTGTGAAAGTGAGGGACCCCTGCTTCACTTAGGTCCGTTGCACTTGACGGGAAGGTCATATCTGCAAAGGAAG